ACTAAAAGTAATTTTAACTAAAACTAAAAGTAACGAAAAGTATTGAAACTAAAAGTAATTTTAACTACAAGTATTGTTACTAAAACTAATAGTAACGAAAAGTATTGAAACTAAAAGTAATTTTAACTACAAGTTTTGTAACAAAAAGTATTGAAACTTAAAGTAATTTTAACTACAAGTATTGTTACTAAAACTAAAAGTAACGAAAAGTATTTTAACAGAATTTATTATAACTAAAAGTATTTTAACCAAAACTAAAAGATGCAAAAAGTATTTTAATAAAAAGTATTATAACTAAATGTATTGTGACTAAAAGTAATATGTAACTACAAGTATTGTTACTAAAACTAAAAGTAACGAAAAGTATTTTAACACAAATTATTGTAACTAAAAGTATTGTAACAAAAAGTATTGAAACTAAAAGTAATTTTAACTACAATTATTGTAACAAAAAGTATTGAAACTAAAAGTAATTTTAACTACAATTATTGTAACAAAAAGTATTGAAACTAAAAGTAATTTTAACTACAAGTATTGTTACTAAAACTAAAAGTAACGAAAAGTATTTTAACAGAATTTATTATAACTAAAAGTATTTTAACCAAAACTAAAAGAAGCTAAAAGTATTTTAATAAAAAGTATTATAACTAAATGTATTGTGACTAAAAGTAATATGTAACGAAAAGTATTTTAACAGAATTTATTATAACTAAAAGTATCTTAACCAAAACTAAAAGAAGCAAAAAGTATTTTAATAAAAAGTGTTATAACTAGATGTATTGGGACTAAAAGTAATATGTAACTACAAGTATCGTTACTAAAACTAAAAGTAACGAAAAGTATTTTAACAGAATTTATTATAACTAAAAGTATTTTAACCAAAACTAAAAGAAGCTAAAAGTATTTTAATAAAAAGTATTATAACTAAATGTATTGTGACTAAAAGTAATATGTAACGAAAAGTATTTTAACAGAATTTATTATAACTAAAAGTATTTTAACCAAAACTAAAAGAAGCAAAAAGTATTTTAATAAAAAGTATTATAACTAAATGTATTGTGACTAAAAGTAATATGTAACTACAAGTATTGTTACTAAAACTAAAAGTAACGAAAAGTATTTTAACACAAATTATTGTAACTAAAAGTATTGTAACAAAAAGTATTGAAACTAAAAGTAATTTTAACTACAATTATTGTAACAAAAAGTATTGAAACTAAAAGTAATTTTAACTACAATTATTGTAACAAAAAGTATTGAAACTAAAAGTAATTTTAACTACAAGTATTGTTACTAAAACTAAAAGTAACGAAAAGTATTTTAACAGAATTTATTATAACTAAAAGTATTTTAACCAAAACTAAAAGAAGCTAAAAGTATTTTAATAAAAAGTATTATAACTAAATGTATTGTGACTAAAAGTAATATGTAACGAAAAGTATTTTAACAGAATTTATTATAACTAAAAGTATCTTAACCAAAACTAAAAGAAGCAAAAAGTATTTTAATAAAAAGTATTATAACTAAATGTATTGTGACTAAAAGTAATATGTAACGAAAAGTATTTTAACAGAATTTATTATAACTAAAAGTATTTTAACCAAAACTAAAAGAAGCAAAAAGTATTTTAATAATAAGTATTATAACTAAATGTATTGTGACTAAAAGTAATATGTAACTACAAGTATTGTTACTAAAACTAAAAGTAACGAAAACTATTTTAACACAAATTATTGTAACTAAAAGTATTGTAACAAAAAGTATTGAAACTAAAAGTAATTTTAACTACAATTATTGTAACAAAAAGTATTGAAACTAAAAGTAATTTTAACTACAAGTATTGTTACTAAAACTAAAAGTAACGAAAAGTATTTTAACAGAATTTATTACAACTAAAAGTATTGTAACAAAAAGTATTGTATTCAAATGTATTGAAACAAAAACTATTGAAATTGATACTAACGAAAAGTATTATAACTAGAAGTAATATAACTAAAAGTGTTTTAACATAAAAGTATTGACACTAATTGAAAAAATTTTTTTAACCGAAAAAAATACAATACTTTTCCATATAATATTTTTAGTTAAAATACTTTTTATAATTAGTGTCAATAATTTTTTCTAGCAATACTTTTTGTTATATTATTTCTTGTTATAATACTTTTTACTTACTTTTAGTTACGATACTTTCTGTTGCAATACTTTTTTGTTATAAATAAAAATATAATAAAAAGTATTGTAAATAATTTAAACAAAATTTATTGTATGTTAAAATATCGTAAGTAAAAAAAACTTTTTGTTATATTTTACATCTAGTTATGATACTTTTTGTTGGTTTTAGTTACAATACATTTAATTTAATTACTTTTAGTTATACAATTCGTCTTTTTTAAAATACTTTTTTGTTACTTTTAGTTTTAGTAACAATACTTTTTGTTACAATATTTTTAAAAGTAAATACAATTCTTTTAGTTGCAGTACTTTTACTTACAATACTTTTAGTTGCAATACTTTTTATAATATTTTTACTTAACACAAAACAATATTGTAACAAAAAGTATTGTAACAAAAAGTATTGTAACAAAAAGTATTGTAACAAAAAGTATTGTAACAAAAAGTATTGTAACAAAAAGTATTGTAACAAAAAGTATTGTAATAAAAAGTATTGTAACAAAAAGTATTGTAACAAAAAGTATTGTAACAAAAAGTATTGTAACAAAAAGTATTGTAACAAAAAGTATTGTAACAAAAAGTATTGTAACAAAAAGTATTGTAACAAAAAGGATTGTAACAAAAAGGATTGTAACAAAAAGTATTGTAACAAAAAGTATTGTAATCATTATTATTGTATCTAAATGTAATGTAACTGAAATTTAAACTAAAAAAAAATTCTTTTACCAAAAAAATATTTAAATAATAATAAAAATTATTTGAAAAAAAAAATTATCAAAAAACTTTTATTTTGTTGAAAAAAGTTAATTTTTTCCGTGTTAATGAGCTGAAAGAATGAAGAAGAAGAAGAAGAAGAGAGAAATATGAAAAACAAGAATGAGAAGAACGTTTTTCCATGAGTATACAAAATTAATTAGAAGAAAGAAAGGAAGGAAAAATGGCCTCGAGATTTGTTTGGGGCGCCATCTATGGTTTTAAAATTGTATCCAGTTTGTGTTGCTGATTGTGAATCTATGGGAGAAGAAATCACACTCACACACACACACACACACATACACACATGTAGAGGACAATTAATCATAAAAGGTATGGTGTTTTAAGCGGCAATAGCGAAGCTGAAAAAAAAATATATATATACGTATACAAAATATAAAGATGGCCGCGATTCGCTGATCAACTGTGCGAAAAGAGCGAGAGACTGGACGAAAAACCGGTTTCATATACATATAGCCTCGGCGAAATGATTTCTGTCTGGTTTTACCGACTCCCGACTTGTATTTATATATATATACGAGTATATATATATATTTTCTGCAAACCGTTTGTCTTTTCTTTTCTCATTTTCTCAATTATTCGCCACAATGTGAAACATACAATTCTCAAGTTTCATTTCTTTTTCTCATGGTTACAAATACTTCTTTTTTTTTGAGTTGTGTATTTATTTTCGATTTATATACATATATATATATATATATATATATATATATATATATATATATATATATTTTGAAACTATGGTTTTATTTTTCTAACCTTAAATTATACAATTAACGTGGTAAATTTTTTTTTTCCAAATTTCTAATCTCAATAAAATACAAATGACGGTTAATTTTCTCTTCTATTTCTATAGACCTCAAATTACAAATAAAGGTAAATTATTTTCAATTTCTAATCTCAAAATACAGTGAATTTTTTTTCTTATTTCTAAAATTTCTAAATTTTCAATTCCTAACCTCTAAATACTATAAATTTTTCTTCTATTTCTAACCTCAAATTACGAATGATGATAAAATTTTTTTTACAATTCCTAACCTCAAATAATACAAAAAACGATATATTTTTTCCAATTCCTAACCTCAAAATACAGAATTAATTATTATTTTACTTATATATATATATATATTATATCTAAAAAAGTATAATTATTTTTTAGGTTATAGTTAATCTTGTCAATTTTGAAGAAAGATTTGTTTTTATTCCAAACCTCAAAATGAAGATAATTTTTTTCTATGCGCATATTATTTAGTCGAATTTTTAGGTTAGTAAACTTTTGAATTGGCAATAAAACAAATGTACCAACTATATGAAACGAAAAAAAAGATAGATTATAGCGCTAAATTTAAAAAATTGTAATTTTAATGAATAACAATTTTTGAATATTTTTTTATAATATTTTTTTTGTATTATACAAGAATTTAGCACAATATATCATAAATATTACTTAATATATAATAATAATAATAATAATAATAATAATAATTTCATAAATAAATTTAAAATTAAATTAATTTTTAAAAAATTTTAAAATTAAAAAAATTTTTTTTGAATTAATTTTTTTGAATTAATTTTAAATTTTCCATTTTTTCTCTCTATAGTATTTACATATGCAAATACAAAAGATACAAAAAAATTTTTTTTTTAATATAACATATTTTTTACTACGCAATTTGTAAACTTATAATTATTTAAACTTTTGGAAAATTATCTTTTAAGGTCATCAAAATAACTATTAATAACGTTATAAAAGATAATTTTCCAAAAATTTAACCAATTATTTGTTTTATATATGTATATATAAGAATATATATATATATATATATATATATATATATATATATAAATGTTTGTGTATATGTGTATTAGAAAAATTTATTTCAAAACGACACAAATAAATATTAGTAATGAATACATAGAAACCATCTGCATTAAATATTAGACAATATATGTTCTAAATTTAAATGTATAAATTAATGATGAAATAATGTCATTAAGATGATGCAATTAAATTAATTGGGTATAAATACATATGCAAGAAAAAATTTTCAAAATATAACAATTTTTTTTTGTGTTAGAAAAAAAAAAAGTAGAATCAAAATGAATAAATGTTTGTTTCTATTTTTATTGTCTATTAATTTGACAATTGTTTTCGTATCCTGTTGTAATAATAATAATGATAATTGCAATGTTGATACATCAATAGATGAAAACATTGAGGTATGATATATAACATATTTTAAATTTAAAAATAAAAAAATTTTAACGTTTATAACTGATATTCCTTTTTTTTTTTTTAAATAGTTAAAAAATTTTTTAATATACATTACTGGCACTCTCAGATATATCACCGATACTGGCTTTAAAATTTATGAAAAATTTTATAATCATCTTGTTTGTACATACAACAACAGTAATAATTCTAAATTTGATTTGATTTACAATATGGTATTAAATTCTACACATAATGTGATAAATTCTGTAAATATACTAAATAAATCAATTTATTCATCATTAAATATTGAGGAACAGGATATATTTAGAAGAAAATTGAATATGGAATATTTTGAAATTCGTACTACATATATTGATTTAGAAATATATTGTGATATAAAAAATTTGGAAAATATTGATTATAATAATAATGTTTTACGAAAAGGAAATTTATTAAAATACTGTATGCATGGAATACGATATACAGTAGACGATGTTTATTTTATTTTAAAAAGTAATTATAAAGATACAAGACAAAAGTTGAAAAATATTTTAAAATATATGCCAGATTTTTTAAATGATTTAATTCTTCACATGAATGAAATTTATGTAACAAAAAAAAGTGAATTAGAAACAAAATTAATAAATTTGACGGAGGAAAATCGAACAGGATTAGAAGAAACAGATGCATCAATTTCAATAAATGATGAAACTGAATATTTAGATAAATTAGAAATAGACAACACAACTTTAACAGATGAAGACTCAAAATTTTTTGAAAAATTTGAAGCAAAATCAACAATTTTGCCAGAAGAAGGAACAACAACACCGATAGTAACAAAAGCATCATTAACAGAAACAACAGCATCAACTTTGACAGAAAATAAATCAGAAAATTTAAATGAAACAGAAATATCAGACGAAACAGAAGAAACAACAGTAGTTACTTCAGTAAGTAAAAACCCAATTAAATTTTTCTACTGTTGGAATTAAATTTTGTTTTCACATGAAAAATAATAATTTTATTGATAATTTTTAAACAAAAAATATAACCACTAACGTATTAAAATTTTTGTTTCATTTTTATTACAGATTGAAGATGGATTAATAGAAATTGCCTCCACTACGTATTATATCGTTCAAAAGTTTCTTGTAATTAGTTTAAATTTTTGTGATCAATTAATTTGCAATTATGATTTTAAATCTGATTCAACTTTAATGTTCACTAATTCAATGACACATTTGATTCATAGTCTTGAAATATTTAATGAATCTTTGGACATTGAGAACGTTAATGAAATTAATGTTTTTCTAATAAAGAACAAAATGGAACTCAAAGGAATTAATCATAAAATTTCTCAATTACCTTTAAATTGTGATACAACAAAATTACATATTAATGATGAAATTAATGACAATTTAATAATAAATTTTAGAAATAAAGCTCAAAAAATGATTTCATTTATTGAAAATAATTTAAAACAATCTATTCATTTTTTAAGAATAAAAGATTTTAATTTTAAAATAGAAGCAAGGAATAATCTACAAATATCGTTAAATACTTTAAATGCATTAAAGGCAAAATTTGAAACGTATAAATTTGAACAAAATTCAACAGTTTTAAATGGCAGTTTAGATGAAACAGTTACAAAATCAACAATTTTTAAAGATGATGATAATAAAACAACATCAAAAGTAATAGAAACAATGGAAAATGAAGGAGAAAAACTAAATGAAACAGAACTGACAACTAAGGAAGAAAAACCAATAATTGAATCAGAAACAAAATCATCAATTTTAACAGATGATGTAACTAAAAATTCAGAGGAAACAAAAATTAAAACAACAATTTTACCAGAAGAAGAAACAACAACACCAATAGTAACAAAAGCATCATTAACAGAAACAACAGCAGCAACTTTTACAGAAAATAAATCAGAAAAATTAAATGAAACAAAAAAATCAAACGAAACTGAAGCAGCAACAACAACAACAGCAGCTACTTCCGTAAGTAAAAACCCAATTAAATTTTGTTACTAATATATATTTTACATTTTATGTTTCATTTATGTTTTCAAAAAATATATTAAAATTTTTGTTTCATTTTTTGTTACAGATTGAAGATGGATTAATAAAAATTGCCATTACTGCGAAAAATATCACTGAAATGTTTAGTGTAATTAGTTTAAATTTTTATAATCAATTAATTTGCAATGCATCTGATTTAAAATTTCATTCACATTTAATGACTAATTCAATAATACATGTGATTTATGGACTTGAAAGATTTAATGAATCATTGAACATTGAGAATGTTAATGAAATTAATGTTTTACTAACAAAAAACAAAATGGAACTCACACAAATTATTCATAAAATTTCACAATTACCTTCACATTGTGATACAACAAAATTAAATATTAATGATAAAATTAATAAAAATTCATATATAAATTTTGGAATTAAAGTTGAAAAAATTGCTTCATTAATTAAAGGAAAATTAAATAAATTAATTAATATTTTAGTAAAATCAAATTTTAAATCTAAAAAAGTAACGGGGCAAAGATTAACAATGTTAATAAATATTTTAAAAGATTTGAAAAAGCAATTTAAATAAACTGAAGATTTTTAAAAATTAAAAATTTGTTATATAAAAGTATAAATGATCGAGGATTTAAGTAATTATAAAATTTTTATCAGAAAACGAATCGTAAAAGTATTTTTTTTATTTTATCGTTTTCAAATAAACAGTAATTTGTATGCCATAGAAAAAATTACTTGAATCTAATAAATGAAATAATTTACACTAATAAATACTGCTTTGTTAATAATTAATTATGAAAATTATTTGATTCAATAATTCATGTTATTGAATTCAAATAAATATTTATTTACAAGAATAAATTTTTTTTTTTTTTGAAACAACTAAAAATTTACTTGTCACAATTATTTTAATTCATATTAAAATCCCTCTAATTGCGTCAAATAATTAATTATTTATATCAAATAGAACATTTATTTAAATAAAATAAAAACATTTTTAAATTCAAATAAATCTCTATATTTTGACTTAAATAAAACAAAAAAATTATTGAACTCAAGTGATATTTTATTTTTTTTATCAAAAAATTTATTTTCTGTTATACAAGAATTGAGCACAGTATATTATAAATATTACTTAATAGTTAATAATAATATTAATAATAATAACTTAATAAATAAATTATTTAAAAAAAATTATTGAAATAAATTATCTAAAAATATTTTAAATAACTGGAAAACTATAAATTTTCAATATTTTCTTTTTTAGTATTTACATATTATGCAAATATATTTATAATTCACCTTGATATAAATACAAATGATCCGTAAAATTTTTTTTTTTATCTGAAACATATTTTTTTCAATTTTTTTATTCATAAATAAATAATTGTTTAAATTTTTGGAAAATTATCTATTAAGGTCAACCTATATATATAAATGTTTCTGTTGTATTAGAAAAATATATTTCAAAATAACACAAATATAATGTACGTTATTGACACATATAAACTATCTATGTTAAATATTAGACAGTATATAAACTAAATTTACATATATAAATTAATGATGAAATGATGTCATTATGATGATGCAATTAAATTTAATTGGGTATAAATACATATGTAAGAATAAAAATTTTCACAATATAACAATTTTGTTTTTTTTTTTCTTCGTGAAAAAAAAGTAATCCAAAATGTGTAGATTTTGGTTTCTACTATTATTGTCCATTAATTTGACAATTGTTTTCGTATCCTGTTATAATAATAATAATAATAATAATGATGACAATGATATATCAATAATTGAAAACGACGAGGTAATATATATATATATTTATTTTAAAATTAAAGAAAATATAAAACTTTATTTCTAATATTTATAAACTAATATATTCTTTTTTTTTTCCCCCCAAAAAAAAATAGTTGAAAAAATTTTTAATCAACATTGCCGACATTCTCAAAAATATCACCGATTATGGCTATAAAATATATGAAAATCTTTATGATTATCTTGTCTGTACATACAACAATAATAACAAGAATATTCCTAAATTTGATTTAATTTTTAATATCGCATTAAATTGTACATATAATGTGATAAATTCTCTAAGTATACTTAATGAATCTTCTTCTTCTTCATTAAATATTATAAAACAAGAAATGTTTATAAAAAAACTTGAAACTGAATTTATTCAAATTCAACGTGCAATTATTAATTTACCAATATATTGTAGTGTGGAAAATTTGGAATATATTGATGAAAATAATTCTAATTTACAAATAGGTTCATTATTAAAAGATAATATGCAACAAATACAAATTGCAATGAACAATATTAATTTAATATCAAATATAAATTATGAAGATTCAAAAAAACAATGGGAATTTATTTTCAATTATATACCGGAAATTTTAAATGAATTAATACCTCTAATGAAGCAACTTTATATAATGAAAACAAATGAATTAGAAATAAAAGAATTAAAAAATTTGCAGGTGGATAATTTAATAGGATCAGAAGAAACAGAAGAATTATTAATAGAAACAACAGAGGGAACTATAATAGAAAATAAAAGAGAAAAATTGAATGCAATTGATACAGAATTAATTAATTCGGAAGAAAAACCAATTGAGTTAGAAACAACATTATCAACTTTGACAGATGATGACAACAAAAAAGTAGATGAAGCATTACCAACTTTAGTAGAAAACGAACCGAAAAAAGTAGATGAAGTAGGAACAACATTACCAACTTTGACAGATGATGACATCAAAAAAGTAGATGAAGCATTACCAACTTTAGTAGAAAACGAACCGAAAAAAGTAGATGAAGTAGGAACAACATTACCAACTTTGACAGATGATGACAACAAAAAAGTAGATGAAGCATTACCAACTAAAGTAGATAACGAACCGAAAAAAGTATATGTAGTAGGAACAACAGTACCAATTTTAATTGAACGAATTGTCGATACCATGATAAATATCACTGATGAAGCCTATAAAGTTGGTGTTAATCTTTACAATCATCTTATTTGTAAATCACAAAAAAATGTGAAAATTAATTTACCATTAGAAATGACATTAAATATGTCATTTAATGTAAATGATGCTTTGAATTTATTTAAAAAATCTTTAGACACTAAATGTATTAATAAATTAAATTCTCAGTTAAGAGATTTGGAAAATAATTTTTATCAAATTCAAACAATAGTTCATCAATTGCCACAACATTGTGACACAATGAATTTGTCGTCAATTGATGAAAATAATTCTCTAGTAAAAAAGGCAAATCAAATTCTAAATGGTATAATGTTATTAAGAAAAAGAATGCCTCGAATTGGTGATGTTGCAAAAAAAGGTGATTATGAAACTCGTCAAAATTTAATAATATTAATAAATAAGCGTATCAATTTTATTAATAAATTTAGATTATATGTGAATAATTTATATAAATTGGAAGTAGTAAAAAAATCACAATTTGAAAGTGATGTAACAAAAATGCCAAATGAAATGTTAGAAACATTAATTGGAACAACAGCAGAAAATTTTAGTGAAAAATTGAATGAAACAATAACAGAATCAACAATACTTAGGGAAAATGAACCAACAACAACAGAATCAACAATAGTTAGGGAAAATGAACCAACAATAACAGAATCAACAATACTTAGGGAAAATGAACCAACAACAACAGAATCAACAATACTTAGGGAAAATGAACCAACAACAACAGAATCAACAACACTTAGGGAAAATGAACCAACAATAACAGAAGTAACAGGAACAGGAACAACAGCAACAAGTTTTATAGAAAATGAATCAAAAAATGCAAATGAAACAGAAATAAAATCAACAATTTTGCCAGAGGAAGAAACAATAACACCGATAGTAACAAAAGCATCATTAATCGAAACAACAGCAGCAACTATGACAGAAAATAAACCAGAAAAATCAGACGAAACAGAAGCAACAACTGCAACAATTTCCGTAAGTAAAAATTCAAATTAAATTTTTCTACTGTTGGAATTAAATTTGTTCTTATACAGGAAAAATAAAATTTTTCATAATTTTTGAACAAAAAATATCAACATTTTTTTTTTTTGTTACAGATTGAAATTGCCAACACTGCGAAAAACATTACTGAAATATTCAGTGTAATTGGTTTAAATTTTTATAATCAATTAATTTGCAATAGTAATTTAAAATTTGATTCACGTTTAATATTCACTAATTCAATGATACATTTGATTAATAGTCTTGAAATATTTAATAAATCATTGGACATTGAGGATGTTAATGAAATTAATGTTTTTCTAATAAAGAACAAAATGGAACTCACAGAAATTAATCATAAATTATCACAATTACCATCACATTGTGATACAATTAATTTAGATATTAATGATAAAATTAATAAAAATAGAGATATAAATTTTGCAAATAATATTCAAAAAATAATTTTATTTATTAAAAAAAATTTAAATAATGCCATTAATATTTTAGTAAATGAAGATTTTAATTTTAAAATAAATACAAGGAATATATTAAAAAAATTGATTAATACTTTAAATGTATTAAAGGAAAAAATTTTAATGCATAAATTGATTTTAAATAATAATTAATTCATTTTGAATTGAAAATTTTGAGATATAATTGAAATTTTGGATAATAATTTAATTTAAGTTCATTTTTGATTGAAAATTTGGATAATTAATTTTGAATAGAAATTTTAGAAAATAATTGAATTTTATTTCATTTTAAATTGAAAATTTGGTAAATAATTAAATTTTAAATTGAAAATTATGTGGATAATTATTGGATTTTTAATTGATTTTGAATTAAAATTTCGGGTAATAATGTTTATTTTAAATTGAAATTTTTCAAAAAATAATTCAATTTTATTGTGATATTTTTTTTTTTTAATTATAAACAATTGTTAAATATCATAAAAATTTGAATTGAAAAATAATTTTGATATAATTGAATTTGTGATGTATTTCATTAAAATTATTAAAAATAATTAATTTAGTGAAGAATCATTTTAGTTCAAAATTTGTTAAATAATTGAATTGAAGAAGATCTGAAGAAGATATAAATTTTATTCTAAAAAAATGTATTTTATTTACATTTTTTTTCAAATGTAAAATAAAAAATGTCGCATTTTATTAAAATAAGTCGATAAAAGTCGTATTTTTGAAAAAAAAAGTCGGAAAAATTCGTATAATCCGAGGCCTGTAAACATATATAATTTTCATTATTATCATTTAATATGTAATAATATTCTAATAAATTAAATTATTATTGATAATATTAATCGTTAATTTCTTTATAACAAACAATTAAATACTCAATTTGGCGCGCTTACGTGCGTTTAATTTTGCTAGTAGAAAAATAAACTTCTGCAAATTATATTTGGACAAATTTAATAAAATTAATTTTTTAAAAAAATTTATACGGAATATAATTTAATTAAATAAATAATAAATAAATAATAAAAATAAAAAAAATAATAATAAAACAAAATTTTTAAATTAAAATAAAACAAAATTAAATTATATATATTTATTTTTATTTAAATTTTAAAGCAGTTATTTTAAAATTTAAAAGCTATTTGGCAAAAATTTACTTTTTCGTAATAAAAAAAAAAGTTATCCTTTTTTTTTTATTTCTCAGTATAAAGAATTTTATGAATACTTCAGGTTTTGTTGATATAAATAACAAGATTCTATCATAATTTAAAGAAAAAAAAAATTTTTTTTTTCAATATTCTGAAACGATATTTTATTTTATAGAACCTATATTGTAAATTATTGTATTAATTAATATAAGTAAGATAATAACAATTAATATAATTAATACAATAATAATAAATATAATTATAAAAATAATAATTAATATAATTAATTTCAATTATATTAATTTTCATTTTAGAAAACAGCTAATGTAAATAAAATTATCCTAATTCTTTATTCTTTTGGAAATTGTGTCCAAATAATAATTTTTCCAAAAATCCAAATTCAAAAGAAAAAAAAATTGTTACGAAATTTTCAAATAAAAAATTGAATACCAAGTTTTTAATATGAAAAATTCAAAAATTCATCTAAATAACAAAATTTTAAGAAAATTTTTGAAATAAAAAATTATATTTCTTAAATGAAATTATTTCATTTTTTTACAATTTTCTTTATTCATACATAGATTGTTTTCGGTAATATAATTTATCATATACTAGAATTGTTTTTTTTTTATATATTTTTTTTTTTCATATCGTCATACTGCTTATTTACAACACTATTAAAAAAAAAGAACATAAAAATCACTAGTATATAAAAAGCGAGTTTTGTGTAGATTTTTTTAATAGAATTCCAAACATTGAAAAAAGTATTTTGTTTAAAGTAAAAAGAAAAAAAGTAAAAATATTTTGATATTTTATTTAAAAAAAAAAAAAAAAAAATAAATAAATAAAATAAAATAAAACCAAAAAAAATGTTGAAATTTTTGCCTACTATTCTTTTGATTGCGAGTTTTATTTTTCTCATACAGATTTCCGGCGGAGCAAACCAAAATGTAGAGGTAATAAACGTATTTATTATAAATAGTTTTGATTGGTGGTTTTTTTTTTTTTTTTTTTTTTTTTATTTTTGTAATAAACAAATAAATAAATATTAAATCTTTTATTTAAAAAAAAAAAAATTTATTCTTATTCTTATTGAAATTTTAGCCAGATATTAAAGATAATAAAAAAAGTACAATAATTTTTTTTTATTTTTTAATTAGCCAACTGACGCCTCCGACGATGCTTCTGTAAGTTAATTTTTTTTAAATCCAGTACTAATTTTATTTTCTATTGCTACCAAAAAAAAATATGCTTTTCGTTAGTAGATGAATATTAATTTTTTCTCTTACTATATGAAATTAAACTTCATTTTTAGATCTTTTTTTTTAAAAAAAAAAAAAAATAATTCATATCTAAACGTTTAATAATTTCAAGATTCAATATAATTGTATCATTAATGACAAATTTATAAATACTACTATCAATTATTTTCATTTCTTCATTATTATTATTATTATTATTATTTTGTAATGAAAATTTTTCTTTCATTTCAACTTGAGAAATAACAAAATTCACTTGTTTTATAATCAATAAATGCTTTATAATCAATATATCATTTTTATCAAAAGCAGAAATTGTATAATGTAATAATGGAAGAAAAATGTCATTAATTTTTTTAACATATAGAATTATTTGAAAATTATTGTTTGCTATTTTATGATATTCAATATCACTTAGATAAAAATTTTCATCACGTTTAACAATAATATAAGTTGAATAAATATTTACTAATATTTTTAAATTAAATTTATGTTTTTTAATTAAATGACAATTATTATTTAAATATAGACAATTGTTATTTAAATTAATTGGTGAATTTATTATAAAAATGTTAACATTTTTTTTTTCATATCGTCATACTGCTTATTTACAACACTATTAAAAAAAAAAGAACATAAAAATCACTGGTATATAAAAAGCGAGTTTTGTGTAGATTTTTTTAATAGAATTCCAAACATTGAAAAAAGTATTTTGTTTAAAGTAATAAGAAAAAAAGTCAAAATATTTTGATATTTTATTTCAAAAAAAAATAAATAAATAAATAAATAAAACAAAATAAAACCAAAAAAAATGTTGAAATTTTTGCCTACTATTCTTTTGATTGCAAGTTTTATTTTTCTTATACAGATTGCCGGCGGGATAAACCAAAATGTAGAGGTATAAAAATTATTTATTATAAATAGTTTTGATTGGTGGTTTTTTTTTTTTTTTATTATTTTTGTAATAAACAAATAAATAAATATTAAATCTTTTATTTAAAAAAAAATGTATTCTTATTCTTATTGAAATTTTAGCCAGATATTAAAGATAATAAAAAAAATAATAAAAATAAAGAAAAGAAAAAACACTAAAATTTCTTACAAAGTAATAAACTTGATTTTTAGTCAAATATTTAAATATAACAAAAGTTTTAAAATAATTTTTTTTAATTTTTGAATTAGGAAGAAAAAGCCACCACCGCTGCTTCTGTAAGTTAATTCTTTTTAAATCCAGTACTAATTTTATTTTCAATTGCTACCAAAAAAAAATATGCCTTTTGTTAGTAGATGAATATTAATTTTTTCTCTTACTATTTGAAATTAAACTTCATTTTTAGATCTTTTTTTTTTTTTTAAAAATTAATTCTTATTTTTATTGAAATTTTGTCTACACAAATTTTTAGCAAAAAAAATTATTCTTAAAATTTCAAAAATAAAAATTTTAAATTATTTCGGTAGTTAAAGAATTCAAATATTTATCGAAAAAAAAACAAAAGTTTTTCAATAATTTTTTTTAATTTTTGAATTAGGAAGCAGAAGCCACCACCGTTGCTTCTGTAAGTTAATTCTTTTTAAATCCAGTACTAATTTCATTTTTAATTGCTACTAAAAAAAATATGCCTTTCGTTAGTAAATGAATATTAATTTTTTCTTATACTATTTGAAATTAAACTTCATTTTTAGATCTTTTTTTTTTTTTTTTTTTTTTTAAAATAATAATTAATATCTAAACGTTTAATAATTTCAAGATTCAATATAATTGTATCATTAATGACAAATTTATAAATACTACTATCAATATTATTTTCATTTCTTCATTATTATTATTATTATTATTTTGTAATGAAAATTTTTCTTTCATTTCAACTTGAGAAATAAAAAATTCACTTGTTTTATAATCAAATATAGACAATTGTTATTTAAATTAATTGGTGAATTTATTATAAATTTAATGTTAACATTTTTTTTTACCATTTTACCAAGTAAAATTAAAGGTGTTGAATAACGAAAATCACGTTCTTTACTTGTTATTTGTAAATCTTTATAATTTACATTAAAATCAATTGCCGGCATTATTGAATTTAAATTTAATAAACGTAATTTAAGTTCTTCATTTATTAATGGTATTTTTGATTGAAAATTTAATATTTTTTCCAAATATGGTAATAAATTTATATTATAGATATCGAGTAATACTTCCAATAAATCGGTTACAAGTGACGCCTTCGCCAATGCTCCTGTAAGTTAATTTTTTTTAAATTTCAAAAATAAAAATTTTAAATTATTTCGGTAGTTAAAGAATTCAAAAATTTAAAAAAAAAACAAAAGTTTTTCAATAATTTTTTTTTAATTTTTGAATTAGGTAACTGACGCCTCCGTTTAATTGAATTTTCAAAGATTTAAAATTGAGATTTTTGAAATTAATTGAAAATTTAAGTGTTTTGTAATTAAAATTTTAGATGATTTCACTAAAAATTTATTATTAAATGCAGACAAAAGACAATAATTTGAATATCATATTTAATTGAAAAATGGTTTCAGATAGTTGAAATTTCAAAGAATATTATTAAAATAGTTAAAAATAATTGAATTTCCTTAGAGTTATAATTGAAATTATTAAATTTCAAAAAACAAATTTTTGATGGAAAATTTTAGAAATAATTAAATTTTAGATGCTTTTAAATTCAAATTATTGAAAATTCAATTAATTTTTAATTCAAATTTTTGAGAATAATGAAATTTTATTTGATTATAAATTTGGAAAATAATTGAATTTCAGTTCATTTTGAATTGAAAATTTTGGGATATAATTGAATTTTAATTGAAATTTTGGATAATAATTTAATTTAAGTTCATTTTTTATTAAAAATTTGAATAATTAATTTTGAATAGAAATTTTAGAAAATAATTGAATTTTATTTCATTTTAAATTGAAAACTTGGTAAATAATTAAATTTTAAATTGAAAATTTTGTGGATAATTAATGGATTTTTAATGATTTTGAATTAAAATTTCGGGTAATAATTGAATTTTAGTTTATTTTGAATTGAATTTTTTCAAAAAAAAATTCAATTTTATTGTGATATTTTTTTTTTTAATTATAAACAATTATTGTTAAATTTCATAAAAATTTTAATTGAAAAATAATTTTGATATAATTGAATTTGTGATGTATTTCATTAAAATTATTAAAAATAATTAATTTAGTGAAAAATCATTTTAGTTCAAAATTTGTTAAATAATTCTTCAGGTTTTGTTGATATAAATAACAAGATTCTATCATAATTTAAAAAAAAAAATTTTTTTTTTTAATATTCTGAAATGATATTTTATTTTATAGAACCTATATTGTAAATTATTATTGTATTAATTAATATAAATAAGATAATAACAATTAATATAATTAATACAATAATAATAAATATAATTATAAAAATAATAATTAATATAATTAATTTCAATTATATTAATTTTCATTTTAGAAAACAGCTATAATGTAAATAAAATTATCCTAATTCTTTATTCTTTTGGAAATTGTGTCTAAATAATTTTTCCAAAAATCGAAATTCAAAAGAAAAAAAATTGTTACGAAATTTTCAAATAAAAAATTGAATACCAAGTTTTTAATATGAAAAATTCAAAAATTCATCTTTAAAGTAAAAAGAAAAAAAGTGAAAATATTTTGATATTTTATTTCAAAAAAAAAAAAAAAAACAAAAACAAAAAACCAAAAAAAATGTTGAAATTTTTGCCTACTATTCTTTTGATTGCGAGTTTTATTTTTCTCATACAGATTTCCGGCGGGGCAAACCAAAATGTAGAGGTAATAAACGTATTTATTATAAATAGTTTTGATTGGTGGTTTTTTTTTTTATTTTTGTAATAAACAAATAAATAAATATTAAATCTTTTATTTAAAAAAAAAAAAATTTATTCTTATTCTTATTGAAATTTTAGCCAGATATTAAAGATAATAAAAAAAGTACAATAATTTTTTTTTATTTTTTAATTAGCCAACTGACGCCTCCGACGATGCTTCTGTAAGTTAATTTTTTTTAAATACAGTACTAATTTTATTTTCAATTGCTACCCAAAAAAAATATGCCTTTCGTTAGTAAATGAATATTAATTTTTTCTCTTACTATTTGAAATTAAACTTCAGTTTTAGATCTTTTTTAAAAAAAAAAAAAATAATAATTAATATCTAAACGTTTAATAATTTCAAGATTCAAGATAATTGTATCATTAATGACAAATTTATAAATACTACTATCAATTATTTTCATTTCTTCAATATTATTATTATTATTATTATTATTTTCTAATGAAAATTTTTCTTTCATTTCAACTTGAGAAATAACAAAATTCACTTGTTTTATAATCAATAAATGCTTTATAATCAATATATCATTTTTATCAAAAGCAGAAATTGTATAAAAATTTCATTAATTTTTTTAACATTTAGAATTATTTGAAAATTATTGTTTTCTATTTTATGATATTCAATATCACTTAGATAAAAATTTTCATTACGTTTAACAATAATATAAGTTGAATAATTATTTACTAATAATTTAAATAATAATTATTATTTAAATTAATTGGTGAATTTATTATAAATTTAATGTTAACATTTTTTTTACCATTTTTCCAAGTAAAATTAAAGGTGTTGAATAACGAAAATCACGTTCTTTACTTGTTATTTGTAAATCTTTATAATTTACATTAAAATCAATTGCCGGCATTATTGAATTTAAATTTAATAAACGTAATTTAAGTTCTTCATTTATTAATGGTATTTTTGATTGAAAATTTAATATTTTTTCCAAATATGGTAATAAATTTATATTATAGATATCGAGTAATACTTCCAATAAACCGGTTGCAAGTGACACCTCCGACGATGCTCCTGTAAGTTAATTTTTTTTAAATTTCAAAAATAAAAATTTTTAATTATTTCGGTAGAAAAAAAAAAATTGTTACGAAATTTTCAAATAAAAAATTGAATACCAAGTTTTTAATATGAAAAATTCAAAAATTTATCTTTAAAGTAAAAAGAAAAAAAGTCAAAATATTTTGATATTTTATTTCAAAAAAAAAAAAAATAAATAAATAAATAAATAAAACCAAAAAAAATGTTGAAATTTTTGCCTACTATTCTTTTGATTGCAAGTTTAATTTTTTTCATACAGATTGCCGGCGTGGTAAACCAAAATGTAGAGGTAATAAAATTATTTATTAGAAATAGTTTTGATTGGTGTTTTTTTTATTTTTTATTTTTGTAATAAACAAATAAATAAATATATTAAATCTTTTATTTAAAAAAAAAAATTTATTCTTATTCTTATTGAAATTTTATCCAGATATTAAAGATAATAAAAAAAGTACAATAATTTTTTTTTATTTTTTAATTAGCCAACTGACGCCTCCGACGATGCTTCTGTAAGTTAATTTTTTTTAAATCCAGTACTAATTTTATTTTCTATTGCTACCAAAAAAAAATATGCTTTTCGTTAGTAGATGAATATTAATTTTTTCTCTTACTATATGAAATTAAACTTCATTTTTAGATCTTTTTTAAAAAAAAAAAAAAATTCTTATTTTTATTGAAATTTTGTCTACACAAATTTTTAGCAAAAAAAATTATTCTTAAAATTTCAAAAATAAAAATTTTAAATTATTTCGGTAGTTAAAGAATTCAAAAATTAAAAAAAAAAAACAAAAGTTTTTCAATAATTTTTTTTTAATTTTTAAATTAGGTAACTGACGCCTCCGTTTAATTGAATTTTCAAAGATTTAAAGTTGAGATTTTTGAAATTAATTGAAACTTTAAGTGTTTTGTAATTAAAATTTTAGATGATTTCACTAAAAATTTATTAGTAAATGCAGACAAAAGACAATAATTTGAAAATCATTTTTAATTGAAAAATGGTTTCAGATAGTTAAAATTTCAAACAATATTATTAAAATAGTTAAAAATAATTGAATTTCCTTAGAGTTATAATTGAAATTATTAAATTTCAAAAAACAAATTTTCCATGGAAAATTTTACAAATAATTAAATTTTAGATGCTTTAAAATTCAAATTATTGAAAATTCAAATTATTGAAAATTCAATTAATTTTGAATTCAAATTTTTGAGAATAATGAAATTTTATTTTATAGAACCTGTATTGTAAATTATTGTATTAATTAATATAAGTAAGATAATAACAATTAATATAATTAATACAATAATAATAAGTATAATTATAAAAATAATAATTAATATAATTAATTTCAATTATATTAATTTTCATTTTAGAAAACAGCTAATGTAAATAAAATTATCCTAATTCTTTGTTCTTTTGGAAATTGTGTCCAAATAATTTTTCCAAAAATCCAAATTCTAAAGAAAAAAAATTGTTACGAAATTTTCAAATAAAAAATTGAATACCAAGTTTTTAATATGAAAAATTTAAAAATTCATCTTTAAAGTAAAAAGAAAAAAAGTGAAAATATTTTGATATTTTATTTCAAAAAAAAAAAAAAATAAAATGTTGAAATTTTTGCCTACTATTCTTTTGATTGCGAGTTTTATTTTTCTCATACAGATTTCCGGCGGGGTAATACAAAATGTAGAGGTAATAAAATTATTTATTATAAATAGTTTTGATTGGTGGTTTTTTTTTTTTTTATTTTTGTAATAAACAAATAAATAAATATTAAATCTTTTATTTAAAAAAAAAAAATTTATTCTTATTCTTATTGAAATTTTATCCAGATATTAAAGATAATAAAAAAAGTACAATAATTTTTTTTTATTTTTGAATTAGGCAGCTGAACCCTCCAAGGTTGCTTCTGTAAGTTAATTCTTTTTAAATCCAGTACTAATTTCATTTTTAATTGCTACCAAAAAAAATATGCCTTTCGTTAGTAAATGAATATTAATTTTTTCTCTTACTATTTGAAATTAAACTTCATTTTTAGATCTTTTTTTAAAAAAAAAAAATAATTCTTATTTTTATTGAAATTTTGTCTACACAAATTTTTAGGCAAAAAAAAACTATTCTTAAAATTTCAAAAATAAAAATTTTAAATTATTTCGGTAGTTAAAGAATTCAAAAATTTACCAAAAAAAAAAAAAACAAAAGTTTTTCAATAATTTTTTTTAATTTTTGAATTAGGCAACTGACGCCTCCGACGATGTTTCTGTAAGTTAATTTTTTTAAATTTCAATAATAAAATTTTTTAATTATTTCGGTAGTTAAAGAATTCAAAAATTTATCGAAAAAAACAAAAGTTATTCAATAATTTTTTTTATTTTTGAATTAGGCAACTGACGCCTCCGACAATGTTTCTGTAAGTTAATTTTTTTTAAATTTCAAAAATAAAAATTTTAAATTATTTCGGTAGTTAAAGAATTCAAAAATTTATCGAAAAAAACAAAAGTTATTCAATAATTTTTTTTATTTTTTGAATTAGGCAACTGACGCCTCCGACAATGTTTCTGTAAGTTAATTTTTTTTAAATTTCAAAAATAAAAATTTTAAATTATTTCGGTAGTTAAAGAATTCAAAAATTTATTTAAAAAAAATAAAATGAAAATAAAATTTGTATATAATGAAATTTTACAATTTCTGTTTTTATTTATTTTTTTTTTATTTTTCATATAAAGATTATTCCGAATAATATAATTTATCATTCGCTACCATTTTGTTTTTAACTTTTTTTTTTTTTTATCAATTTTTTATTGCTTTTTTAATAATTTCAACGAAAAAATTTTTTTTTGTTTTTTTTTTTTTATTGAACCTAAATTAATTCTTTCTAACACTGGTAATAGTGAAAAAAAATAATTTATTTTTTCATCTTCCTTTTATACGTAGACAACAACGTCAGAACCAACCTCAGAAAACAATACTTCTATGTTTTGGAAAATTCTTGCAGCAGTTACTGGTACTGTTGCAGTATCAGGTATTGGTTATCTGGTATTTTTTAGTAGGGGATAAATGTTTCAAACACTCACTGTTTAAAATGAAATACAAATTTATTTATGAAAAATTGTATAATTATTTAATAAATCTGTAACAATTTACTAGTTTTTTTTTTTTTATTATTTCTTCATTTCCACATTTTCCTTACCAATATCGTCAAAATTTATTCCGTCTATTAAATTGGAAAATAAAAAAAAAATAAATTAATTCCTCTCCTATTCATAATAATAATAATAATAATAATAATAATAATAATAATAATAATAAAATAATATAATATAATTAACAAATTCCTAATTATTAATTGTTTAAACAAATTTTAGTTAACAAATTCACTATTTTGACATTTGTTAACAAAATAATTTCGTTTCTTCAGTAATAATTTCATAAAATTATTTTTTTTTTAATTTTGTAAAAATATACGAAAAGGAAGTTAAATTTTTTTTTTTTTTTTTTTTTTGAGTATATTTCCAAGATTTTATTTACTATTTATAAAATAATTAAAATTTTTTGGAAAATAATTATTTAAATAATTTTTAAATTTTCTTTTTTTCTTTTTTTATTTTCTTTTTTATAATTTTCTTTTTTTTAAATTTTTTTTCAATTTACCTGTACCTAAATTAATCTGTTTCTATATTAATAATAATAATAATTTGTTTAAACAAATGTTAATTAACAAATGTTGGTACTATTTAAATAATTATTACTGGAAAAATTTTGTTTCTTTAATATTATTTACATAATATTATTAATTTTTTAATTTTGTAAAATTAATTAACAAATTCATAACTATTAATTGTTTAAACAAATTAACTATTTGAATATTTGTTAACAAAATAATTTCGTTTCTTCAGTACTGTTTACATATAATTATTAATTTTCTAATTCTGTAAAATTAATTAACAAATTCCTAATTATTAATTGTTTAAACAAATTTTAGTTAACAAATTTAATATTTGAACATTTGTTAACGTAATAATCTCGTTTCTTCCGCAATATTTACATAAAATTATTTTTTTTTTTTAATTTTGTAAAATTAATTTCCTATTTTCAACTAATAATTGTTTTAAAAAAATGTTAATTAACAAATTCGCTATTTTCACATTTGTTAACAAAATAATTTCGTTTCTTCAGTACTGTTTACATATAATTATTAATTTTCTAATTTTGTAAAATTAATTAACAAATTCCTAATTATTAATTGTTTAAACAAATTTTAATTAACAAATTCGCTATTTCGACATTTATTAACAAAACAATTTTGTTCATTCACTTCTATTTTCATATAATTATGGAATTTTTAAAATTTTATAAATTAATTACCAAATTCCTAACTATTTATTAATAATTTGCTTATAAAACATTTTAATTAACAAATTCACAGTTTTGACAATAATTAACGTAATAATTTAATTTCTTTTTTATCATTTGCAATGATAATAATTTTTCAATTCAATTTACATAATTATTTTTTTTTTTACAAACTAAAAATTATTTTCTTAAAAAAAAAAAATTTTTTTTTTTCTTTAAATTCATTTTTTTTTTTTTAACTTTTTATTTTCAAGATCAATGTATTTGGTACACTTGAACGTGTCAATGAAAAACCATCAATGTTACATTCAGAGAATACAACGCAAACTGATTTATCAATTAATAATTTTGAGACAAATAAAACATTTACAAGCAGTCGTTTTGCAATTGAATTATTATTTATAAATGATGGCGAGTCAAATTTAATAATTCCAATAAATATTAAAAAAAACAATCAACGATGAACATACACCGGGAATATTTAAATTTATTGAAATTAATTCACCTTACAATAATAGTGAATATTCAATAGATGAGAAAAACAACAACAACAATAATAATAATAGTATGATTTAAAATTTTGCCTTTTCAAATATTTTAATTTCCAATTAATATTTTAATAAAAAAAAAAAGAACAATTACATTTTTAACCAATTTTTTGGAAATTTAATATTTGAATTAAATTTTTGTAATTGTCGCGCATAATGATCAAGATAAATGTTTAACAATTCATTACCACTTAAATCAAATTTATAATTTTCAACAAATTCATCAATTCTTTTAATATCATTTTCAATAAATTCAAAATCATTTAAATTATATTTATTTTGTATACCAATTGGTGTAAAAAGAAATTTTAATTTCATTGTTAATTTATTATCAATTATCATTGATTTTCCATTAATATCTAAACGTTTAATATTATCAAGATTCAATATAATTGTATCATTAATGACAAATTTATAAATACTACTATCAATTATTTTCATTTCTTCATTATTATTATTATTATTATTTTGTAATGAAAATTTTTCTTTCATTTCAACTTGAGAAATAAAAAATTCACTTGTTTTATAATCAATAAATGCTTGTGATATTAATATATCATTTTTATCAAAAGCAGAAATTGTATAATGTAATAATGGAAGAAAAATTTCATTAATTTTTTTAACATTTAGAATTATTTGAAAATTATTGTTTACTATTTTATGATATTCAATATCACTTAGATAAAAATTTTCATCACGTTTAACAATAATATAAGTTGAATAAATATTTACTAATAATTTTAAATTAAATTTATGTTTTTTAATTAAATAACAATTATTATTTAAATACAAACAATTGTTATTTAAATTAATTGGTGAATTTATTATAAATTTAATGTTAACATTTTTTTTAAACATTTTTCCAAGTAAAATTAAAGGTGTTGAATAACGAAAATCACGTTCTTTACTTGTTATTTGTAAATCTTTATAATTTACATTAAAATCAATTGCCGGCATTATTGCATTTGAATTTAATAAACGTAATTTAAGTTCTTCATTTATTAATGGTATTTCTGATTGAAAATTTAAAATTTTCTCCAAATATGGTAATAAATTGATATTATAAAGATCGAGGAATACTTCTAATAAATCGGGTACAATATTATTATAATATTCATGTTTTCTTTCAGAATGTTTATAATGTCTTTGATTAAATTCCCTTAATGCTGCATCAGTACCATCATAACCAAAAATACTAATAAAAAAATGTAATTTTGGTCGCCAATCCCATTTTTCTAATTTTATACCATTATTATAATTTTTTATTGTATCATTAACTTCAATTAATGATTCATTAATCCAATGTACTTTAACATGATATTTTTGTTGATATAATGCAGCATAAATATTATTCCAAACCTCACCTGTTTCACCAATACCAATAATATTAACATTATAAGATGCTAAATTATAATTATGACCCATTTCATGTAACAATACCCAATCTTCACCTTTTAATGGATTTAAAAATTCACTACAATCAGAAATAATTGCTATCCATTGTGATGAATAATATGCATAATATGGACAACCAGAATACATTTCACAATTATTTTTCACTTTTTCACATTTTATTGGTAAATAATTATTAAATGGTTTATCATCATCATTACATGGTTCAGTACGTAAAAACATTGTTGTACGTTCCATTTGTTGATACCAATGATTTTCATTTTCATTAATATAACGATTAACACCCAATAAATAATCATAATATTCAATTAAATCGGCTTGATTTTGTAAACCTAAATAAAGATTATAATTTTTTCTCTTCAATATTATAACATCATTAATTGACAATAACATTTGGGTATAATAATTTTCAATAAAACCATAAATTTTTATTTGATTAAAAAATTTTTCCTCTTCATCAATTGATGTTAAAAATGTCACATATTTAGTGTCAAATATTGGTAATTTTATCCAATTATTAGTGATAATTGTCATATTTAATGGTATATTGTGCGATACCGATGTAATTGGTACACAATCTTCAATTGTTGTCACTTTTATTTGTGTAGTGTTATAATTTTTTAAATTTATTTCATTATATGTACCTTTTTTTAATGATGTTAAACAATGAAAATATAATTCTTCAATTATATTATTATTTGTTTCGATATTTAAAATGAATGTTGTATTTTTTTTTATAATAATACCAAAATTTTTTTTATATTGAAAATGATTTTGTCTAACGACATAATTTTTTTTATTCGGCTCATATTGACGAACATCTGGTTTTAATGTTATCACAATTTCCTGTATTAATGAGAAAAAAAAAAATGAAAAATTTTAGTATCACTAAATTTTTATTATTATTATTATTATTTATTACTTAAACAATGAATACGGCAAAATAAATTTATTTGGCAAAATGAATTAAATTAAAAAAAAAAAGTATCAAAATTAAGTTAATTTTTTAATAATTTTGACCAGTTTAGATCGAATTAAGACCAATGTAGGTTCAAAATAGGTTTAATGTAGGTCCAATATATGTTCAAATAAGGTCTAATTTAGGTCAAAGTAAGTTCAAATAAGGTTCTAATTTAGGTCAAAGTACTTTCAAAATAGGTTCAATGTAGGTCAAACTAGCTCCAACATAGTTTTAAATAAGGTCAAATTTAGGTCACAGTAGTTTAAACAAAGTTCAATCTAGGTCAAAGTAGGTTCAATATAGGTTCAATGTAGGTCAAAGTAGATTCTAAATAGGTTCAAAGTAGGTCTAATTTAGGTCAAAGTAGTTGACAAAAGGTTCAATCTAGGTCAAAGTAAGTCAATGTAGATTCAAATAAGGTCTAATTTAGGTCATGGTAGTTTCAAAATAGGTTCAATTTAGGTCAAAGTAGGTTCAATATAGGTCAAATTATGTCCAATGTAGGTTCAATATAGGTCAAATTATGTCCAATGTAGGTTCAAATAAGGTCTAATTTAGGACAAAGTAGTTTCAAAATAGGTTCAACATAGGTTCAATGTAGGTTTAATGTAGGTAAAAGTAACTTCAAATAAGGTTCTAATTTAGGTCAAAGTAGTTTCAAAATAGGTTCACTGTAGGTCAAAGTAGGTCCAACGTAGTATCAAATAAGGTCAAATTTAGGTCAAAGTAGTTTAAAAGAAGTTCAATCTAGGTCAAAGTAGGTTCAATATATGTCAAAGTAGGTCCAATGTAGGCTCACAGGAGGTCTAATTTAGGTCAAAGTAGTTGACAAAAGGTTCAATCTAGGTCAAAGTAAGTCAATGTAGGTCAAAGTAAGTTCAAATAAGGTTTTAATTTAGGTCAAAGTAGTTTCAAAATAGGTTCAATGTAGGTCCAAGTAGGTCCAACCTAGTTTCATATAAGGACAAATTTAGGTCAAAGTAATTTAAAAAAAAGTTCAATCTAGGTCTAAGTAGGTTCAATTTAGGTCAAATTAGGTCCAAATAATGTTCAATTTAGGTCAAAGTAGATTCAAAATAGGTTCAAATAAGGTACAATGTAGGTCAAAGTAGGTCCAATGTAGGTTCAAACAAGGTCTAATTTAGGACAAAGTAGTTTCAAAATAGGTTCAACATAGGTTCAATGTAGGTTCAATGTAGGTCAAAGTAACTTTAAATAAGGTTTTAATTTAGGTCAAAGTAGTTTCAAAATAGGTTCAATGTAGGTCCAAGTAGGTCCAACGTAGTATCAAATAAGGTCAAATTTAGGTCAAAGTAGTTTAAAAGAAGTTCAATCTAGGTCAAAGTAGGTTCAATATAGGTCAAATTATGTCCAATGTAGGTTCAAATAAGGTCTAATTTAGGACAAAGTAGTTTCAAAATAGGTTCAACATAGGTTCAATGTAGGTTCAATGTAGGTCAAAGTAACTTCAAATAAGGTTTTAATTTAGGTCAAAGTAGTTTCAAAATAGGTTCAATGTAGGTCCAAGTAGGTCCAACCTAGTTTTATATAAGGACAAATTTAGGTCAAAGTAGTTTAAAAAAAGTTCAATCTAGGTCAAAGTAGGTTCAATATAGGTTCAATTTAGGTCAAATTATGTCCAAATAATGTTCAATTTAGGTCAAAGTAGATTCAAAATAGGTTCAAATAATGTTCAATTTAGGTCAAATTAGATTCAAAATAGGTTCAATGAAGGTCAAAGTAGATTCAAAATAGGTTCAAATAAGGTACAATGTAGGTCAAAGTAAGTCCAATGTAGGTTCAAACAAGGTCTAATTTAGGTCAAAGTAGGTGCAAAAATGGATTCAAATATAAGATCTAATGTAGGTAAAAAAAAAAATTTAATCTAGTTAAAAAAATGTCTAATGTAGGTTAAAAGTTTTTTTTTGTTTTCAAATTTCACTTACTTCTTCGTTCCATGTAACATTCTCATCACCGATTGCAATGGAAAAAAGTATTAAAAGTAAATGTCCAATAATTGCAAATTTCATGATTTTTTTTTTAATCTGCTTTCTCTATATTTAATTAAAAAAAATTTTTTTTTGTTCAATTTAATTTAAATTGTTCTACACCTAACGTCTAATTTTTATGACTGTGCAAAATTAATCAGAAATTTTTTTTTTAAACCTCTCTCTCTATATATATATATCCGAGAATCAAAGATTGTAATAAAATTTAAATCTTTAAGAAGAAATCAACAAAACAAAATTTTTATGCAAAAAAAAATAAATTATATTTTATCAATATGGAGGAATAAAAAAAAGAGAGAGATTTGATTATATATTGCCCTTGATTTTTAATATAAAAATAAACAATTTTTCAATGACATTATCATCAATAATAGATGATATCTGATTAAAATAACGTATCCTGTATAAAGATAATAAAATATGATTATAAAAAAAAATTTTGTCGTCTTTAATGATAATTATCTTTTTGGTAATTATATATATACATATATAAGAATAATGTATAAATAAAATTATATAAATATAATGTATCGGTAAAAATTAATATGCGATGAAATTTTGATAATTTAATTTAGTGCTATTAAAATTTTTTTTTTGGTTAAAAATATTTAAATTTAAAATTCGATTTAAAATTTGAGGTTAGGTTATAGGTGTATTTGCATAAATTTTACAACCATATTTACTACTCTTGGCATAAAGGATTTTACATTTTTAGGTTAGGTTTAAGGTTATTTAATTTAGGATTTTAGAGATTAGAGATTAATTTTTATTCTAAAGTTACGTTAGGCATAAAGTTTAATATATATATATATATATACACTAAAAAAATAATAAATTATAAAAAAAAAAAATTATATTTAATAATTTCAAAAAATTATAGAATTAAAAAAATTATTATTTATTTGAATAATAATTTTAATTTGTATCAAATAGATTAAAATAATAAATTCTGTAGAACAATTTTAAATATTGAAATATTTGAAATTATTAAAAAAAAATTTTTTTTATTTATTATTATTATTATATTATATTATATTATTTATTATTATTATTTATTAATAAAATATTGCATAATATTTTAAAATCGAATTGTTCAAAAGAAAAGTTTATTATTATTTTATTTTGTTGTAATTTTTTTTTCATTTTTTTAAATAAAGTTTTATTTATAATATTAATTTAAACAAAACAAAATAAATTTTTTTAATTTATCAAAATATATATATATATATATATATATAGTATTCTAAGAAATAGTATCAAAAATAATTTTATAATTTGAGTTTCCACTCTACATTCTATTTACATAGTCCTTGTTCATGTATACGCTAAAGTATTTCCAAACGATGTCTTAAAATTCTGCGCATGCGTCAATTCTTTTAATTTTCATTCGTTGAAATTTAAGCGCGAATGAAAATTTTCAAATAATAACCAATAATTTGAAAATTAAACGCCATTTGTAAAATTAGAAAAATTTCCAATTTCTCAATATTTGGAAACGTGTTTCTTTTCATTTTTCTCCATTGCCTACGTATTCTTATAAATTCCAATCTTTGTTCTCTATGCGTAATAATAAAAAAAAAAAAAAAAAAGTGCATGTGGATCATGGAAATTTGTTATTATTATTGTGTTTTAAAATATGATTCATCGTGATAGTGATTAATTATTTTATTGTCATTTGATATAGAAATAAAAGAAAGAAGAAAAAAAAATTTAATTTTTTTTTCTCCTCCCCCTTAAATGACTCGCCACAAGAATAAGTATTTACAATTAACTAATAAATACATAATTTAATAATATATTGAAAAAAAAAGAAAATAATTTAAGAAAAAAAAACCAAAAAATTATTGTAAAGTGTCATTTTAGAACGAAAATTATTATTATTATTACAATAATGGAATATAAAATTGTTTTCCAATCATTTTTATTGGTAATTTTATTACTGACACAAATGTGCAATTGTTTATCGAGAAAAGTAAGTTTCATTGTATTTTGTTTTTAAAAACATTTTATTTTTATTATAAAATTATTTTTAATTTTATTCATTATTTATTATTATTTATTATAATTAATATTATTGTTGTTTTTTTTGTTGTATTTTTGTTTTTTATTAAGAATTATTTTTAATTTTATTAATTATTTATTATAATAATTATTATTGTTCTTGTTTTTGTGTTGTTTAGTTTTTTTTATTATAATTTATAAATTAAATTAAATTAATAAAAATTTTTTAAAAAAAAATATAATTTAAAATTATAATGTTAAAATTTGCATTTTTTTTTTAAATTTACAGTTAAATGCAACATTTTTGTCGAGCAATGAGGAAAATTGCAAAAATCGACAAGAAACATTACTTTATATTGTTGCTGAAGGTCCTAATGATTCTTTAAATTATTTTTGGAATTTTATTGATAATCCATCGGTTCTCGTTGCTGTAACTAATCCAATGTCAAAATTAAATATAACATGGTCAGGTGATCCATTTTTATTAAATAATAATAATAATAATAATAACGATAACAATTGTCTACCTGATAAAATTACGTTCAACGAATCAGCTATTTTTGCCTATGGCCTAAGTATTAATAAGGTTTGTTATTAAAAAAAAGAAAAAAAAATAATTTTAATACATTTTTTATTGTTAAAAAAAAAATATTATTATTTTTTTCTAATAATTATTTTAATATTTTTTAATAAATAAATTTAATTTTTTTTTGTTTTATTGAATTTTGTTAATTAACAAATAAAATAATATAAAAATGGAAAAAAATATTTCAAAGGAAAATACATTTTTTAATTTAACAGATATACGAATTTAATGATGTCAATGACAATGGAAATATTAATTCATCGAATAGTGCAAATATTAATATATTAAATCCACGTTATTTTAAGTGGTACATTAGAAATAAAAGTTTTAATGATGAGTCAATTGAACTTGAAATGGTGGGACATTCTTATTTTGATGAGGAAAAAAATATTACAAGAACTGGTAGCATTACACTTTTGGTAAGAGAATTTTATTTTTTCATTTTTCGAATAAAAAAAAAAAAATTTTTATTTTAAATTTGACGAAAAATTTACGAAAAAAGAAATTAAATTTTTTTTTTGTTTAGTATATTTCCAAGATTTTATTTACTATTTATAAAATAATTAAAATTTTTTTGGAAAATAATTATTTAAATAATTTTTAAATTTTCTTTTTTTATTTTCTTTTTTATAATTTTTTTTTTTTAATTTTTTTTTAAATTTACCTGTACCTAAATTAATCTGTTTCTATATTAATAATAATAATAATTTGTTTAAACAAATGTTAATTAACAAATGTTGGTACTATTTAAATAATTATTAATGGAAAAATTTCGTTTCTTTAATATTATTTACATAATATTATTAATTTTTTAATTTTGTAAGATTAATTAACAAATTCATAACTATTAATTGTTTAAACAAATTAACTATTTGAATATTTGTTAACAAAATAATTTCGTTTCTTCAGTACTGTTTACATATAATTATTAATTTTCTAATTCTGTAAAATTAATTAACAAATTCTTAATTATGAATTGTTTAAACAAATTTTAGTTAACAAATTTAATATTTGAACATTTTTTAACGTAATAATCTCGTTTCTTTCGCAATATTTACATAAAATTATTTTTTTTTTTTAATTTTGTAAAATTAATTTCCTATTTTCAACTAATAATTGTTTTAAAAAAATGTTAATTAACAAATTCGCTATTTTCACATTTGTTAACAAAATAATTTCGTTTCTTTAGTACTGTATACATATAATTATTAATTTTCTAATTCTGTAAAATTAATTAACAAATTCCTAATTATTAATTGTTTAAACAAATTTTAATTAACAAATTCACTATTTCGACATTTATTAACAAAATAATTTTGTTCCTTCACTTCTATTTTCATATAATTATGGAATTTTTAAAATTTTATAAATTAATTACCTAATTTCTAACTATTTATTAATAATTTGTTTAAATAAAACATTTTAATTAACAAATTCACAGTTTTGACAATAATTAACGTAATAATTTAATTTCTTTTTTATCATTTGCAATGATAATAATTTTTCAATTCAATTTACATAATTATTTTTTTTTTTAGAAATTAAAAATTATTTTCCTAAAAAAAAAAAATTTTTTTTTTTTCTTTAAATTCATTTTTTTTTTTTCACTTTTTATTTTCAAGATCAATGTATTTGGTACACTTGAACGTGTCAATGAAAAACCATCAATGTTACATTCAGAGAATACAACGCAAATTGATTTATCAATTGATAATTTTGAGACAAATAACACATTTACAAGCAGTCGTTTTGCAATTGAATTATTATTTATAAATGATGGCGAGCCAAATTTAATAATTCCAATAAATATTAAAAAAACAATCAACGATGAACATACACCGGGAATATTTAAATTTATTGAAATTAATTCACCTTACAATAATAGTGAATATTCAATAGAAGAGAAAAACAACAACAACAACAACAATAATAATAATAATAATGATAATAATAATAATAATAATAATGAAAATAATTTACCATCAATGTATTTACAATGGCGACCTATTTCTTATTTGACAAAAGAACGTGAAATGAAATATTCAAGTGATGCAATTATTTATCAATTAAAAAAATCGGAAAATATTTTAAATGACATAAAAAACAGTATTTTATTATCATATTATGAAAATAATATTAATCATATTGTTGTACGTAAATTTAATATTTCATTTGGCAGTAATGGCGATGGATTTTACAAGAAATCAAAATATAATTCATGGTGAGAATAAATTTAAAGAATATTATTTAATTATTTAATTAATTAATAAATTAATTAATTAAATTAATTTAATTATTTATTTAATTAAATTTAGAATATTAATATTAATTAAATTTAATTTAATAGAAAAATAATTTTTAGACCAAATTTATAATAATAATAACATAACCTCAATTTTTTTATGTATAAATAATTAATTATTTAATTAATTATTAATTATTAATTATTAATTATTAATTATTAATTATTAATTATTAATTATTAATTATTAATTATTAATTATTATTAACAATTTATAATTTACAAAAAAAATTTAATTTCTATTAAATTAATTTGTCTAATGAGCATTATTGTTTATTAATAAATTGAAATTAATTTTTTTTTCTCCTATTCCTTTTTCAGGACATTTCTACTTGGTTACAATCATTCACTTGATGAACAATTGACAACTGAAACAATTGTTATCATCTCCAATGTAATAGGCATTCCTCTATTATTTATAATTTTTTACAGTTCTCTAATGTTTATACGCAGGACATCAACGAGAGAATAAAAAAATATTTTTTTAAAAATAAGTTTTTTTTTATATTTTTAGAAATTGTTGAAACATAAAAGAGAATATAAAAAGAAAAAGGAAGGAACACCTGAAATGCTCAAAAAAAAAAAAAATTTCTATTCCCTATTTTTTTTAATAGGAAAAAATTTTGTATATATATATATATATATATATATATATATTATATGTAGATATATATCGAAATGTATAAATTGTTTATGTAAATCGAAAATAATTATATTTATATAGATAAAAAGTATCGACAGGAATTCTAAAACAAGTGCCTTTTTTTTGCACAATTATTTTTACCATTATTTTATTAATTTTTATTATTATTATTAATAATAATAATAATTATATATTTAAAATAAGTTCCATTTTGTAATAATCAGAAATATTAAAGAATTTGAAAAATTTTGTAAAAAAAGTGTCTTTTTTTTAAAACCTATTGTTTAAATTTTGAAAAAAAAAAATATTTAAAAAATATTAATTACAAATTTTTTTTTTATTTACATATAATTATTAATTTACATTGATTTTTATTTTTTGTAAATAAATAGAATATTAAAAACTTTTCTTTCTGTGAATAGAAGAAGTTTGAATTCTGTTTTTATTGGCATATTTTTTTTATACATAAATAAATATATAAAATGCTTTTATATATATAAATAAATATAAAAAATTTTTTTATTTTTTTTTTATCTCGAAAATAGACTTATTTTTTAGCTTTGAATATAAAAAAAATAATAATAATAGTGGTCAGATTATTATTTGCTATGAAATAAAAAAGTTTATCATTTCTTTTGGATATTTAATTTCTTTAATTTTATAATATAAATATGTTACAATGAAAATAATTTACAATAAAATTTTTTTTTTACAATTTTATTTGTTAAAAATAAATTAAATTAAAAAAAAAAAATGAGAAAAAAATTTATTTGATTCGAATAATTGGTTATTTGACTATTAGCAAATAAATATTTGCTTGAACCGAATAAATATTTATTTGAACCAAATAAATATTTATTTGAACGAAATAAATATTTATTTCAACAAAATAATTTTTATTTACACTATAAATAAATATTTTTTTTTTTACCAAATAATTTTTTATTTGAACCAAATAAATATTTGTTTTACCAAATAAATATTTATTTGAAGTTGCATACTAAAAGTAAGATTCAACGGTTTCAGGTTCAAATGCTTCTTTTTCAGTTACATTTTTGACATTAAATCCTGTATTTTGTATATTAGAATTGGGTTGATAATTGTCTTTCCGTTCAGTTTCAGTTTTAGATGCTGCTTCATCAGCTGCATTTTTTGCATCAAAATTTGGATTTTGTAAATTAGGATTCGGTTGATAATTGCCTTTCTGTTCAGTTTCAGGTACTGCTTCTTCAACTGCATTTTTGACATCAAATTCTGTATTTTCTAAATTAGGATTAGATTTATAATTACCTTCAGACTCCGTACCTAAAGGTTGTTTCGTACTTTCAGGAAGTAGGGTACTAATAATTAAAGATTCTAAAGTTACAGATTCAGGTACTGCTTCTTCAGCTGCATTTTTGGCATCAAAATTTGGATTTTGTAAATTAGGATTCGGTTGATAATTGCCTTTCTGTTCAGTTTCAGTCACTGCTGCTTCAGCTGCATTTTTGACATCAAATTCTGTATTTTCTAAATTAGGATTAGATTTATTATTGCCTTCAGACTCCGTACCCAAAGGTTGTTTCGTACCTTCTGGAAGTAGAGTACTAATAATTAAAGATTCTAAAGTTACAGATTCAGGTACTGCTTCTTCAGCTGCATTTTTGACACCAAAATCCAAATTTTTTAAATTAGAATTGGGTTGATTATTTGCTTTAGACTCCATACCTAAAGGTAAGTGCTTACGTTTTTCACTTTCAGACATAATTCTACTTGTTGTCAAACCTTGAACAAATTCACTTTCAGATGTTGTCATTTTATTCGTTTCTATGTTCATTCGACTGTCAATTATTGGATTAAATAATTCCTCTTTCCTTTGTGCAGAGATTTTAGACTCTGGCTTGTTGGTACTATTAACTATTCTATCAATAATAATTTCATTATATTTTTTTTCATTCTTTATCAGTTGAGGTGTTACAGGTACTGGAGTAGAATGTTTTTTATTATTATTCTTATTAACAAAAAAAGTTGTTAGTCCAGCTCCAGCCACTAGCAAGAACAAACTATTGTACAAAAAAAAAAAAGAAGAAACATTTCAATTATTTAAATCAAGTAAATATTTAGTGGATTCAAGTAAATATTTAGTTGATTCAAGTAAATATTTAGTAGGTTCAAGTATAAATATTTAGTTGGTTCAAGTAAATATTTAGTTGGGTCAAGTAAATATTTAGTTAGTTAAATTAAATATTTAGTTGGTTCAAGTAAATATTTAGTAGGTTCAAGTATAAATATTTAGTTGGTTCAAGTAAATATTTAGTTGGTTCAAGTAAATATTTAGTTGGGTCAAGTAAATATTTAGTTGGTTCAAGTAAATATTTAGTTGGGTCAAGTAAATATTTTGTTAGTTAAATTAAATATTTAGTTGATTCAAGTAAATATTTATTTGATAATAGTCAAGTAACCAATTATTAGAATCAAATACAATTTCTTTTTCATTGTAGGATAAAGAAAATTTCAAGTAAAGTAAGTAAAGTAAATATTTAGTAGGTTCAAGTAAATATTTATTACGTTCAAGTATATATTTAGTTGGGTCAAGTAAATATTTAGTTAGTTAAATTAAATATTTAGTAGGTTAAATTAAATATTTAGTAGGATCAAGTAAATATTTATTTGCTTTAAATAAATATTATTTTAAATACACTTACCTTGGGAATATCATTTTTCTTTTCTAATCAGAAAAATTGATTTTAACAGTTGAGATGTTACAGATGCTGGAGTATAATCTTCTTTATAATTATTCTTAATACGTAAATCTTAACAGAACAATTGCGACTGATATTGACTCTCTACAATAGTTCTCATTTTATATATGACCAAAAGACATTAAAAAAAAAAAAAAAAAAAAAAAAATATTATCTTTCGTTCTTTAATCTTTAAACGATCATTAAAAAAATTCTTTTCTTCATAAAAAAAAAATGACACAAGATTGTGTGTCTTTTAAGCAATATTAAAAAAAAAAAAATTTCAAATATTTTTTTTTTGCCGTAAATATAAAAAAAAATGTTTAGATTATTTTAATATTTACAATATTTTTTTTTAAAAACTATTTTTACTATGCAATAAAAAAATAAAAAAAAATTGATAAATACTTTTTTGCGCACAAAATAAATATGAAATTTTTGAAAAAAAAATTTAAATAATAAAATAAAATTTTGTTTAAGGAAAAAAATTTTCAAGGATTTTAAAAGGTTGGGAAGAAAAAGAAAATGACAAGAATTTTTATCATTACAAATGAGTGTTAAGCTTTTTCATTTATTGAAAATATTTCTGTAAAATGTGTATATTGGCCAGGCCACATTAGCTAACAAACCGAGTTTTTTTTTTCATTTAATGATAAAAAAAAACGAAATCGTAGCGAATAGAAAAACATAGTTTTTTTTTTAGAGATATATATATATATATATTAAAAACTAACCATCGCTCTTTATAATCCTAAGTTAAAAGACCAATCAACGATACGACCGCTTACTTTTTTTTTTTTTTTTTTTCTCTTATTATAATCTTAGTATATATATATATTTATTTATATATATTAATTTATAATATTGTGTATAACAAAGCGGTAACAACTTGTTAATTGTAACTATTTACGATAATAATAAATATTTTTTTTTTCTTTCATATAATTACAATAATAAATATATAAAGAATTTATATAACTAAAATCGTATTAACAAAAAAGTTTTTTTTTTTTTTTTTTGTTGTCCTTTTTTTGAGATCCGATTTTTAATTCTAAATTGGTAAAAAAAAAAAATTCTGATTTTTTATTTCGCCCTTTGTTCAACCCCCCCTTTTTTTGTGAACGCTTAAATTATTTATAACAATTTTTTTTTTCGTCTCCTTTTTTTATTATTATTAATTTTTTCTTTTTATTTATATAATAATGTGCAAATAACTCATATTTTACTGGCAATTTTTTCGTTTTTGTTTTTTTTTTTTTTTTTTATTTGGAAAAAAGGAATATCCTTTTTTTTTTGCAAGGACGCTTTTTTTACAATCGCAAATGTTTACATAATTTTTTTAGTTCCGTTTTCAGTTTTTTTTTCTGGGTTTAGAATTAATAAAAATTATTACAAAATTTCATTTTTAAATGTGTTTATTATTTAGAGGGAGAAAAAGGTGTTAAATATCGAAAAACGTAGTGCGCATGCGCAGTAGATCAATGAGCATGCGCGTGATTTCCAGAACCGTTTGCGCATGCGCAGTAGATCTTTCTATGCGCGTGAATTCCTGAACCGTTAGAGCATGCGCATGATTTCCTGAATCGTTTGCGCATGCGCAGTAGATCCTTCGATGCGCATGCGTACAATTTAAAAAAATGAAAACCGGTAGAAAAATTATGTAAACTTTCTGAATAACGGACAATTTTTTTTATGTTTTTTTTTTTTGTAATATTTGGATAACTAGCTTTTTTTAAAATTGGATTCATAGCTTTTTTTTTCTATCTAGCTTGACCCATATGGCAGTTGCTTGTTCATTACTAGCCGAAAGGCTTATTTAAAAAAAAAAAAAAAGAAAAAATTTTTTTAAATTACTTTTTTATATATATATATATTTAAATTTATTTAATAGCTTTACATTTGAGAGTATAGCTCTTCTATTAAATTTATTATCTCGTGATTTGAAAAGTGAATGTGAGTTTTTATTTTTTTTTACTTTAACGATACGAAATTTTTTCGAGAGATTCTAGAAAGCCCCTGTTTTTTTTTTTTAATGATCAAGAAATTGCCAAAGTTTTCGTGTTTTTTTTTTTTTTTTTTTTGACAAAATCGCGGGGAGAATTTTTTTTTCAGGGGGGGGGAGGAAATTTGACGCTCGGGGAAAAAGAGATTAACTAACTTTTTTTTTTTTTTTTTATATATTACAGCCTTTTGGTCGCGTGAAAAAACAATGTACATACACACATACGTATTTTTTTATTATTATTTAATTACCCTTATAGTTTATTTTTTTTTCCCTTATTTTTTAAATATTACATTAGGTTTTTTCTTTATATTTAAAAAATTTACAAATTATCTCCCCGCGCTTTTAAAAATTTTTGTCAAAAAATTTTTTTTTCTCTTTTTTTTAATTAACGACGAGAGAAATTTTTTTCAGCGTTTTTTTTTTTTGATGAACACGTTTGAAAAAGATTTTTTTTAGGGGAAGTTTTTTTTTCGATACGCTGAAAGTAGAAATATTTCTTTTGTCGTTAAAAAAAAAAAAAAAAAAAAAAATAGCGCATGCGCTGTAAATTCGTTGCGCGCACACGATGATTGATTTTAAAGCGCATGCGCAATCGTCAAAGTGCGCGCGGAAAAATTTGAATGAAATTAATTTTTTTCTGTCACTAAAACAAAAAAAAATGAAATGGAAATATTTTTTTTCAAATTTATGGCCGCCTAGAGTCGCTGTTTTTTTTTCGTTCGCCTCGTTTTTTTTCGCTTTGATGAAGTAGTATCGAAAAATACATGTACAATATATATATATATTTATATTTATACGTTTATTATTATTATTATTTTTTTTTTTCATTTATGCGATTAGTTTCGAATTATTTGCACATATTACAGTATTTTTAGAGAAACTAAAAAGAATCATTGAAGCATTTATTTTTTAGTAATGCAAAAAAAAAAAAAAAAAAAAAATTATTGAACGACGACTCGTGAAGGGGTCAGTGAATAAATTTCGTGTTTTTTAATTTTACAATTTTCGAGATAGAGTGGGCTTTTTTCAAAATTTAAATTGAATTTTCAATATTTTCAAAACCGATTTTTAAAAAGTAATAAAAAAAAATTTTTTCTTTTTTGAAATGTTTCGAAATATTTTCATTTTTCTTAGTGAATTTTTTTTTTTTTTGAGAGAAAAAAAACGATTTTTAAGAGAAATGTGGTCAAAAAGAGAAAATCTGTGAATTTTTTTTTTTTAAATTAATTCAGAGTTGTTGTTGTTTTTTTTTTAACAGTTTTCATACTCCGCGTTCTTTTTACTAATTATTTTTTTTTTTTTTTATACAATTTTACAGAAATTCGGGTAATATATTAAAATATACGAAATGGTAAACATTTTTTTTTTTTTTCTCTCTCATATATTACAATTTACATATATACGTTTATAACATTCGTAAAGTTATATATACAAAAAAAAAAACTATATAAATATTTAAAAATATTAAAGATTTTTTTTTTTTCAATTTACTCAATAAATTGTAGAATTTTTTTTTTAAATCATTCCACAGATATAATAACATAATAATAATAATTAATAAAGAAGTGCTTTTATTTTTTATTTGTCAAAAATTTCCATTATTAAAGCTTTTTTTTTTTTTGCGCAGACAATGTGTGTTTTGTGTATATGTGCTAATTCTTATAAAATTTATTTATTTTAATAAACAATATATATATATATATAATATATTTTATATATTTATGCAATAATATTTTTTTGTCCGCAATTTTTTTTTTTTTTTTTTTTTTTTTTTTATCACTTCGTTCCTTAAAATGAAATTGTAAGTTGACAAAAAATATAAATTTTTTTTTTTTTTTTACTGCTGAGATAGATACCCCCTCCTTCAGATTTTTTTTCTTTCTTTTTTTTTTATATAATAAATTCTCTGTACAATTAAATTTTTTTTTTTTGCTCTGAATTCTTGATAATCACAGATTTCTCTGATATGTGAAAAAACAATTTTTTTTTTCAAGTAATCGAAACATTTCAAATTTTTTTTTTTTTTAAATTAACAAAATCGGTTTATTATCTAATATTGAAAATCAATTATTTAGAAGAAAAAAAAATGAATTTTAAATTCGAAGAATCGACGATTTACGAATCTTTTGTTGTTTTTTTTTTTATTATTATTATTATTATTATTTGACAAACATTATTATATATATATATAATATAATATATATAATATATATCTATATATATATAATAAATCGCGCCCGTGGAGAGAATTGAAAATGCAAAAAACTATGTAGAAAAAGTATGTGAAATATTGATTTGTTCGACAGGCATTCTAAGATTCTTCGAAAAAGCGGATTTCGACACCGATAGTGAATTTATTTTTATTTATTAATTTTTTTTTTTTTTTGTACGAGTAATTTACAATGATTTTTTTTTCATGTCGCTTGAGCTTCTATAGCTTAAAGTAATGAACATTTTTTTTTTTTTTTTTGTCGTTAATGCATTACATTCTCCCCCCCCCCTCGCAGTTCATCAATGCCTTTTTTCTTTCTATTATTATTATTATTATTATAATTCTTTTCGTATATTCTTTAAAAATTCCATAGCCTTCTCTTCCTAATTAAAATCTTAAAAAAAAATAGAAAATAAATTATCACACTTTTTTTTTCAATAACAAAGCGAAATTCAACGTTGAATTTCATAGAATATAAAATATTTTGCAAATATTTTACCAACGATTATATTCTGTTTTTTTTTTTGTAACATAAACTCAACATGTTTTTGATAATAATATTTGTTTACGTTACAATAATAAAAAAGTATTTTTTAACTGCCAACTAAAAGTATTGATAATAGATATAATAACATTGATATATTCATTTTTTTTTTTCAATAACATTCATATAACATTTTTTTTCAAGCCTTTAATTATAATTAACCATGAGGCATTTTTTTTTTTTGATAAATAACGAAACAATTTTAAAAAATTAACAACATTAAAGCGATTTTTACATATATATATATCACTTTCTTTCAATTCGTAATTGGGACACGCGAAGCAGTTTTTTTCAAAAAAAAAAATTATAGAAACAAAAAATCACGATCTGCGTGTTCTCTTTTAATTTTTTATCGCACACAAAAGTGGGCATTAGAAAAATAATTCGCATTCATTCGCAAAAAAATAAAAAAATGACTAATTATTTATATAAATCAATTAATTATATAAATAAATAGTCATATATCGCATACGATTTTTTAAAAATTACAATTACGTTCATTATAAATAGATAATAGAATGTCGACTCATGGGATCGCGTTTATATAATTTTATTTTTTTTTATAAAGTTTATTTTTATTTATCGTTAATATTTATTTAGTTATTTTATTTAACATTACGTCGTTTTTCATCGTTATATGTTTATTTATTTGTTTCATTTAATTAACCGACATTGGTGGGTTTTTATGTTTTAAAACGCGCGTAAAGATTTACAATGGACTTTTCCTACATAAAAAGGCGGTGCTTAAAAAATGGGACGGCAGGCAAGCTGAATCGGGTGAGAGACACTCGCTGAAAAGTCCTTGACAATTACGAAATTCAATAACTATTTTAACTGCGCTTAGATCCCGAAATGATCGACTGCGCATGTATTTGACTCATCAGGATCTACTGCGCATGTATGGACCCCCGAAAAGATCTACTGCGCATGTATTTGATACATTAGGATATACTGCACATGTGTGGACCCCCAAAAACATCTACTGCGCATATATTCCACTCATCAGGATCTACTGCGCATGTATCGAGCTCGAAAAGATCTATTGCACAAGTATAAAACTCAAAATGATCATTATGAATAGGAAATAGAATGTTTTTTTTTCGACTCATAAAGATCCACTAAACATATTTTTGGACCATTGGGATCTATTGCGCAGATATTGATTTAATAATGATCTTCTGCGCATGTTTAGTGATCGATTGCGCATATATACTACCAATAGAAATCCATTTTACTTGGATATTCTCCAAAAAGGATCTACTGCGCATATATAGAGTTTTAAAATGATCTATACCTGCGCAGTAGATCCCTATGCAATAAATACATGCGCAATAGACTTTTATGAGTTTATTATATACTATTTTATCAATTTTAAAAAACAGAATTGAATTTCGTAAACTGATGAGGATTACGGAAGGATTTTTTTTTATTTTTCATTATAAAAAAGTTGTGTTATCGATTCTTCTCCCCTTCCAAGATAAATTAAGAAACAATATTCGATACGATTTTTTATATTATATTTCTTTTCTTCCTTTTATATATATATATATATATATATAATATATTATATATATATATATATATATAATATAAGCGTGTGTTGAACGATTTTTATAAGTCGTTGCGGCTCATTATTTCGAGGACAAAAATTCACATTAAAAAAAAAATTATTTTTTTCACTTTAGTTTTAATAATAAAAGCTATACATATTCGCATCTCTATCACACGATACACGTTTATTCTCACGGGCAAAAAAGAAAAAACGGGCACACACGTTTTTGCAATTTATTTTCACTTTTTCTTTCTATTTTTTTTTTTTTTTGGTATATTTATTTAAAAAATTCACCGCTAAAAATTACAAGAATTATAGATTAAAAAAGAGTGCGATTCATAGAAAGCGAATATGCAAATCGAATATATATATTTTTTTTTCTTCTTCTTCTTCTTCTCATTTATTTATTTATAGTACATTGCAAAAAATTCTTTTTCTTTTTCACAATTATCGCACCATATCATAAATTCTGCACCAGATGAGAGGTATATTTAATTCGATTGTACCGATAATTATTATTTTCATTTCGGTATCAGGTCACACAAAGTTTTTTTTATTTCTCATTTCCATTCTTCCGCAACAAAATAAATGTCTGATAAAAAAAAAATAATAAAATAACTGATAAAAAAAAAATAATTTTTTTCATACTTTTATGAAGAATTAAAAAAAAAAAAAAAAAACGATTTATCATAGGATTGAATCATTTATAACTGAAATGTCTTGATTGTTCATTCAATCAGACTATTCGTTATAAAAAAAAAATCGTTTTCCCTTTGAATCTCTTAATTGACAATTGTCGCAAAAAAGAAATTTTTTTTTCAAAAAAAAAATTTGATCGTATTTTATTTTTTCGGGGGAAGATTAAATCATTTCTTGCTGACAAATGTCAATTTCAATTCAGTAGAGAAAATTTTGTCCTTTATTAATTCGGTGTATCTTTTTTTTTCCTTTTTTAATAACGGAAAAAAATTTGAGTGTAAAAAATAGTTTTTTATGATAATCACGATTTTATGGATTAAGGGAAGTTTTACTGCTTTTTACACTCGTGAAAAATTATAAATTATTCTATAAAAAGTGGTTTTTAACAAAAAAAAAAAAACTATTGCGCATGATTATTGACAATATTGATCTACTGCGCATGTGTGCTGACAATATTGATCTACTGCGCATGTGTGCTGACAATTAAAATTTAATGCGCATGTAAAATTATCAATACTGATCTACTGCGCATGCGTAGTGACAATTAAAATTTACTGCGCATGTTAAATTATCAATACTGATCTATTGCGCATGTACACCGCCAATACGGATCTACTGCGCATGATTATATTGATCTATTGCACATGTGAAATTGTCAATATTGATTTATTGCGCATACGCACTATCAATACATTGATCGCAGATGGGGAATTATCAATACTGATCAATTGTATTTTGATCTACTGCGCATGTAAAATTGTCAGTAATAATCAATTACATATGCGCATTAAGAATATAAATCTATTGCGCATGTGAAATTAATAATAATCTATTATTCGCATTTAGCATACAAATCTAATGAGCATGTGAAATTTTCCAGTAGTAATCCATAACACATGCGCATTAGGAAATATGGATCTATTGCGCATTTAAAATTAATAATGATTTATTGCACATGCGCAGTAACAATAATCCATAACACATGCGCATTAGGAAATATGGATCTATTGCGCATTTAAAATTAATAATGATTTATTGCACATGCGCAGTAATAATAATGATCTATCGCACAAGGTAATTTGCACAATAGTGATCTTTTGCGCATGCTTAGTGTCAATACAGATCACCTGTGCATGCGCAGTGTCAATACTGATCTTTTGCGCATGCGCAGTGTCAATATACAGAAGCTTTCGCGCATAGAAATTATAATTTATTATCTATCGCGCATGCGCATTGATAAATTCGGATCTATTGCGCATGCGCAATGTCTCTTTTTTATCAAGAAAAATACAATAAACTGCAAGAGGGGAAGATTCTGACAGTTTTTGTTTTTTTCAATTACAGTTAATAATTGATAAAAAAAAAAAAAAAAATGACCTAAGCTTGGCAGATTTCATAAAAGTTGGGGAAGCACATGAAATCCTTAGGTTAGGTTTTTCGTTGGACAATTTTTTTTTTCTTTCGATAAAAGATTCAAACCTTGATTTGGGACAGATTATTTTATTTGGAGGGTGTTGGGGGAAGAGAAGGCTATTTGGATATTTTGTTAGAATTTTTTTTTTTTTTTTTTTTTTTTTTTAATTCGGTCGGATGTTTTCGTAAAAACCCGTACACGCGTTTATTCCGACGAATCGCCTGAGTTTTTATTTTCAAGTGTTTGTGTGTTTTTTTTTTTTTTTTTTTTTTTTTTTTGTTTTTGTTTTGTGCATCCTCGGACACGGTCGACTCCGATCGACACACTCGTGCAGTCGATAAAAAAGGCAACTCGTTGGAGGAATTTTATTATTTTTTTTTTTTTGTATTATACAACTATAAGGCTGTTAAGTAGTTTCATAACGCACGTGCGATTTATTTTTATTTATTTTTTTTTGAAATTCATCTCCTCGTATTTATTTTTTAATTTTTTTTTTGGAAATTTATTATTTATTTTATTTTATTTATTATTGAGGAAAGCGTAACGAGGATCAAACATCGGCGGTGCGTGATGTGACACTTGGCGAACGACTATGAATAACGACACGATGTCCATTTTTAGTGACAAAACCATCACTTTCGACAAGTACGGCAGTTTGTCTAACGCGTGGATCCATATCGGGATCATCGCTTTCTTCACTTGGACCACCTAGTCGTTGTTGTTTATGTTTTCTCCATGCATTTTGTATAAGACGTGCACAATATTCTTCACGTTGTCGCCATAATGTTGATGATACTGGTTCATAGCCAACTTCACCGGGTCTTGTTTGTACTTCACCCAATTCGGCTGTCTCTTCAATTGGATTGCCTTTTCTTGCAAAAAAGTCTTTTGTGAGAGCATCGAGGATATCAACACAAAACATAAGGTCACCCTTACATATTGGTATATCCATCGATACAATCTTATATTTATTTGGTTTATGTATTTGTAATGGTGGTTCAAGAACGTCCAAGAATTCCGATAGCTGATCATATCGAATATATTGCGTACCATCAGGATCAAATTGTTGCCATATTTCATAATACATATCATAATCATCATCAGTTAATCCTTCTTGAACGTCCTCGGTTGCTTGTGAATAATTCTCCAATATCACCGCAATATACATATTGATGACAATTAGGAAACTAATCACTAAATACGATAATAAATAGGCAATTCCAATTGTTGATGAACCACAATTTCCTGGATAGCCAATTTCATTGTTTGGCTCTTGACAATCTTCCTCGTTGATTATGCCGTCCAATACATCATTCCAGCCAGCTGATGTTGACATCTGTACAATAACGAATAATACATAGGAAAAAAAAAAAAAATTACACCTACAATCGTTACATTTGAAAAGATTCCCTTGGAATTTTCGATTTCCATCAGATTTTGACGAAAATCCTATGTATAGACCCTAGAAAGATCTACTGCGCATGTATTTTAGCTATAGGGATCTATTGCGCACGTATTTGACCCATTGGGATCTACTGCGCATGCGTAGACACCAAAAAGATCTTTTGCGCATGTATTTTAGCTATAGGAATCTACTGCGCACGTTTAGAACCCAAAAAGATCACATGTGTTTGAAACACTGGAGTCTATTGATTGCGTTTAGATCGCAAGAAGATCTATTTGTATTTGATACACTGGGATCTACTGCGCATGTATAGATCCCAAAAAGATCTACTGCGCATATATAAACTGAAAAAGTTTTCCCTGTGAATGTATTCAATTTTTAGGGATCTACTGCGCATATGTAGACTCAAAATAGTTATTTTGCGAATGTTTTCGATTTTTAGAGATCTACTGCGCATGTATAGACTACGTAAAGATATCCTGCGCATTTATTTAAACTATAGGGATCTACTGCGCATATATAGACCTCAAAAAGATCTACTGCGCATAAATAGACTCCAAAAAGTTATCCTGCGATTGTATTCGATTTTTAGGGATCTACTGCGCATGTGTATAGACTCTATAAAGATCTACTACGCATATATTTGAGCTATAGGGAATTTCTTCCAGGGAATCTTTTCAAGTTCTACGATTTCTCATTGAAAAAATTGAGTCGACGCTTTTATAAACAAATTTTTTGTTAATTTATAAAATTTGGTAAAAACTAAAACTTCTTTTATCAAAATCAAAAAAAAAAAAAAAAATTAAAACTTACTTGAAACAGCAATATCATCGACTGTCCGAATGTCTTGAAATTGTAGACGTCGTCGAGTCCACTTTTATCCTTGACATGCATGAAGAATGACATTCCAAATATAGCAAATATGAACATCACCAAAAATAGTAGGAGGCAAATGTTGAATAGTGCCGGCAATGACATGGCCAATGCAAAAAGTAATGTACGAATACCCTTTGCACCTTTAACAAGACGTAAAACACGACCCACTTTTGCAACCCTCACAACACGTAGCAATGTTGGCGATACAAAATATTTTTCAATAATATCGCTCAGGACCAATCCTAAAAGAGAGAGAAAGAGAGAAAAAAAAATTATTATTATTATTATCCTCCATCCTTTCTTCAGTAAATATCACATGCATTTTTAAGGATAAAAAATTTTTCTAATAAAGGAAGATTTTAGATAGAAAAAAAAAAAAAAAAAAACATGCTCTTGTTATTGAGAACATGCAATATGTTTCGTGCTTTAAGGAATAAATTTTTCCAGAGTTTCATGGAATTTTATAAGTGGTGTTCAGGGTTTGTTTTTCCGTGTGAATTGAAAAAAAATTTATATATATTTTTTTTTTTAGAATAAAAACTATAAAATTGTGTGCTCTGCAACAAATTATTCAATTCTTATAAACAAATTTTCAACGAAATTCCGTTGAATTTCCCGCTAAAAATTACAAAAAAATTTTATTTGTATTTTATTTATCTTTATTTTTTAATATTGATCTACTGCGCATCGGAAATTGTCATAATTGATCTATTGCGCATGCGCATTGAGCATACGGATCTACTGCGCATGTAAAATTGTCAGTTGTGATCTATTACACATGCGCATTATGGATATTAATCTCTTGCTCATGTAGAATTAGCAACACTGATCTATTTTGCACATGCGCATTACAAATATAGATCTATTGCGCAAATATTTGAAATTATCAATAATGATCTATTGCACATGCGCAGTACCAAATACGGTTATAATGCACAAGGTAATTTCACAATACTGATCTTTTGCGCATGCGCAGTGTCAATACAAATCTTATGCGCGTAGAAATTGTAATTTATGATCTATCGCGCATGCGCATTGATAAAGTAAAATCTATTGCGCAAAGAAATTATAAATTAAGATCTATTGCGCATAGAAATTATAAATTAAGATCTATTGCGCATGCGCAGTGTCAATACGGATCTACTGCACATGATAATTGTTTTTTTTTTTTATGGAAAGCAATGTTTTTGTGGATTTTTTTCACTTTTATTGTGGAGCATCACAATTTTTATGATTCTACTGTAGAGAAAAAAAAATTTTTTTTTTTTTTTAATTACCATTCCTTTAAAAGCCAAGTGTCGCAAAAATAATTTGAATTATTCGAAAAAAAAAATAATAATTTACTATTCTGCTAAAAAAAAAAAATATTTCAGGTAATGTAATTTTTAGAAAAAATTCTTAAAATTCCTGAAATATTTTTTCTTTACTATCTCATTTTCTAGATTAAAAAAAAGTGTTTTCTAGATAAAATGTTAATGAAATTACAAGATCAAAAAAAAATTTAATTAATAAAAAATTCAATCTAAATTTTAGATACGTGATTCGTTAGAATGAAAACAAACCTCTTTTTTGGAAAAATCTTACCCGAAATTTCGGACCATTTTTATTTTTTTTTTTTTGTCAATATTTCCAATTTTGTGATTTGGAACCAAAAAATTGTGAAATATTGACAATCCTCAAAGGGGGGGGGGGGGAAGGGTCAAATTGGGAATGGAAATTTTTTTTTGGACAGAAAAAATCACATCAATGTAAGGCTACATAACGTAATGATATAAATCAGCTGTTGCAACTCGAATGAAATGTCGCACCTGTTTGCCTTTTTTTTTTTTTTTTTTTTGACTAATTAATGAAATACTATAAAAACGTGCAAAAAAAAAAATTGTGTTGTGTAAGAGAGCAAAAATATGTATAAAAAATTCTAGCAGAAAGCTAAACAGGATTTCCATTTTTTTTTTTTTTTTTTTTTTTTTGTTGTAATAACAAAAAAAAAAAATTTTTTTTCCTTTTTGGAATCACTTTCATTCGAATTATACAGCTGATGTTGTTCATTACGTTACATTACCTAATATTGATAATATAACAACAACAAAATCAAAGAGATTCCATGGCTCCTTGAAGTAATGATAGCGTAATGCGAAAATCTTCATGAGACACTCGCTGGTGAATATCACAATGAATATCATATTAAGATAGTCCAAAACATTGCTAAATGTTTCCGTTTGTTTATAATGGTCCATTGTCATTGTCAACATATTAAATCCGATGAATAACATAATTATCATATCGAACTTCTTATCGGTCACAATTTCAAACACTATTGCCTGTGGCCTCCACTGAAAAATAAAAAACAAAAATTAATTCTTAATTCGTTATAATGACGAAATTTTTTAAAGTATAAAAAATTTAGTTTTCTTAAAAAATTTTTCCCTTCCGTTAAAAATTTTTACCAAAAAGTAGAAAATTTTTTTTAAAAAAGTGTACAAAATTCTGAGTAATTTGAAAAAAAATTCAACTCTCTAGCTTAAAAATTGTCTGAGTTATGGCTGTAGCAAGAACCCGGTTTTTTTTACTAAAAAAAACCGGTACACTTTTTTTTTTTTTGATTTTACGCTTCGGTTAACGATTTTTCGAAAAAACTGACTAAATTCTGAAGAATTTGGAAAAAAAATCAACTCTGTAGCTTCAAAAATTGTCTGAGATATGGCGTTGGTAAAAACCCGGTTTTTTTTTCTCGATTTTAGAATAAAACCGGGTTTTTACCAACGCCATATCGCAGACAATTTTTGAAGCTACAGAGTTGATTTTTTTTCCAAATTCTTCAGAATTTAGTCAGCTTTAACTTTCCTTTCGGCAGTTTTTTCGAAAAATCGTTATCCGAAGCGTAAAATCCAAAAAAAAAAGTGTACCGGTTTTTTTTGGTAAAAAAAACCGGGTTCTTGCCACAGCCATAACTCAGACAATTTTTAAGCTAGAGAGTTAAATTTTTTTTCAAATTACTCAGAATTTTGTACACTTTTTTAATTTTTTTCTACTTTTTGGTAAAAATTTTTAACAGAAAGGGAAAAATTTGATTTTTTTCATAAAAAAATTTTTTTTTTTGCTAATCGTAAAGAGGAAGCAAAATGTTTATATATAATGAACATTTGAATTTACAACTTGTTTCTCTTGTACTTACCCTCGGACGTGGAATGGCTTTTAGGGGTTTTTTACTACCCATTTTTTTCATAGCATTATAATATTTTTTCTGATCCTCAGTCATGAACATTTCAAGTGAACCACCGGCTTTTTTCTTCTGCTCATTAAAATTATCAATGATAACTCCAATAAATAGATTGAGTGTAAAAAACGATCCGAAGATGATGAAAAATACAAAGTAGAGGTACATGTAGATGTTTGTCTCGCGAATTGGTTGTTTACCAACCTGTCGAATTGAAAAAGAGATAGAGAGAGAAAGAAGCAAAACGGTTTTTTTTTTTAAATATTTTTAAAAATATTTTTAAATTATTTTTTTTATTATTTATAAAAATAAAGTAAATAATTTTATTTTTAATTTAACATTTTTTTTTGTATTTATTATTATTTTTTTTATTATATTTAAAAAATTTCTTTTTAAAAATAAATTTAATTACTCTCACCTCTCTTGAGTCAATGGCGTCGTTCATAATTTGAATCCATCCTTTAAAGGTGGCTACTTGAAAGAGGCACAGATAAGCTTTACCAACATGATCAAAATTCATTGGCGAATTGTCCCAGGTGTAATTTTCGGCAATGCATGCATTTTTATCGGGAATAATCTCGTGACTTAACGTTGTTTTGTTTGCATCGACACACTGTAAATTTGAGAAATTTAATTTTTCAGAAAAATTTACACTCAGATCAATTACTAAAAAAAAAATTCCCCCCTTTTAAAGAATCTATTTAATATTTGACCGAATTCCGACCGAAAAGAATTAAAAAAAAAAATAAATAAAAAAAATTAATAAGAATGTCCCTCCTAAAAGGATCTATTCAATATTTGTCCGAATTTTGCCCGAATTCCGACCGAAAAAAATTTCTAAATATAAAAAAAAATTCCCCCCTCGAATGATTTAATGAATATTTGACCGAATTCCGACCGAAAAGTATTTAAAAATTTTTAAAAATCTCCTTTATCGGATCTATTGAATATTTGACGGAATTCCGACCGAATTTCGTCCGAATTTCAACCGAATTCCAACAGAAAGAATTTCTAAACAAAAAAAAAAAATATCCCCCTCTATGGATCTATTGAATATTTGACCGAATTCCGACAGAAAAGAATTTCTAAATTTAAAAAAAAAAAGAATCCTTCAAAGAAGCGATTGAATATTTGCCCGAATATCGACCGTATTCCGACCGAAAAAAAAGTCTTTAATAAAAAAATCCCCCTCTATGGATCTGTTGAATATTTGACCGAATTCCGACCGAAAAGAATTCCTAAATATATAAAAAAAAATTCCCCCCTCAAATGATTTAATGAATATTTGACCGAATTCCGACCGAAAAGTATTTCGAATTTAAAAAAAATCCCCTTCATAGGATCTATTGAATATTTGACGGAATTCCGACCGAATTTCGTCCGAATTTCAACCGAATTCCAAGAGAAAAGAATTTCTAAACAAAAAGAAAAAAAAATATCCCCCTCTATGGATCTATTGAAAATTTGACCGAATTCTGACCGAATTCCGACCGAAAAAAATAAAATCGCTTATATTTACAAAATTCCTCCTTTTTTTAATGAATTTTTTTTATTTTATTTTTTCCTTTTTTTTTCTTCGCTTACTTTGAAATATTTTCCAGCAAACAGTTGAACTCCCATAATGGCGAAGATTAGCCAGAAAATAAGGCAGACGAGCAGCACATTAAAGATAGATGGAATAGCTTGGACCAAAGCGTTCACGACAACCTGTTATTTAAAAAAATGGGAGAAAAAAAGAAAATCATTAACATTTTTTCTGTATATAATAATTCTATTTTGTAAAAAAGAAAATAAAAATAAATAAATTGTTTTATATTTTTAGAATTTTTTTTTTAACAATTGAATTAAATGTTTAATAATAATAATAATAATAATAATAATAATAATAATTCAAAAAAGCAATATAATATAATTTAAAACTGAATAATTAAACTAATTTTTTAAACATAAAAAAATCTTCACCTAGAACAGCCAAAAAGTTTCTCTGCAACAGCGATATATTTCTCTAGAATAGCGAAAACTTTCACTATTTTAGAGAAACATATCGCTGTTCTAGGTGAAGATTTTTTTGTCTGTATTTAAAAATAAAAAAAATTAATATTTTATTTAAAAATAAAATTAATATTTTAATTTAAGAATATATAAAATTAATTATATTTAGAAACAAAAATAATTGTTTTTTTTTTTTTGCAAAGGCCCAATTGCATGAAAGCAAAAAAAAATTCTTTTTTTTTGCAACAAGCATTTTACAACATAGACGGCAAAAAAAACATTTAACATTCACACAGACACATTGAATTTTAGAACGTGTCACATAAATGCAATGATAACAAAAACAAAAAAGAAAAAAATTAAAAATAAAATAAGCAACAAAAAAAGAAAAAAAAAACAAAATTAAAAAACTTACATGTCTTAATTATATTATATGTTGAGTATATTGAACAACATCATGCAAAAATGTCATGAAAAAAAAACTCAATAGAAACTATAGAAAGTTAAAGACAGTAATTGGGTTTTTTTTTTTTTTTTTTTTTTTTAAAGTGTCAGGGTATATGGGCATGACAGAATTCTACACACCCAATGTCTCAGCGACCTTTAAAGTTTTAGAAAACGGTTTTTTTTTTTTTTTATTATAAATTCTAATTTTTTTTTCACCTATTTTTTAATTATAATACTAATTATTACAATTGTACTATAATTAAGATGAAAAATTATAATTATAAATATAAATTATAATTTTACACCTAGAGAAATATTTCTTTTTTTTTAGACAAATAATAAATATATTTATTGAACATAAAAATATATTTATTTCAGAGGTTAATTTACTTTTTTTTTTTTTTTTTAATTTATTTCCAAAAATTTAATTAAGCATAAACAAAATTTTATTTGTTTCAAATAAAAATTTTAATTTAGCACAAATAAAATGTTTTATTTAAATCAAATAAAATTTTTTTTTTTGACTCTAAGAAAAATAAATATCATTTCTCTTACTGTAAATATAATTATAATATAATTAAGTATAATAATATATTTGACAATATATTATTATTATTATTATAATATTTTGAATCACTATCTTTTTTTTTTTTTAAACTAAATTTAGTTAACTCTAAACTAATTTTTTTTTCTCTCTTTCTCTCCTCTTAAAAATCATCTACTGGATCGAAGCTGTGCATTCACTTGGCAGCCTAAATGCATAACACGTGCAATGTTTTTTTTTTCTTTTTTTTTCGAAAAAAAAATATATATATATATTTTTCGAACCTAAGTGTCATGTCAATGTATAGCCGTGTTATTTTTTTTTTTCTCAACTATTTATAAAAAAAAAAAAAAAAAAAAAAAATCTAAAATGATAAATCTAATGCAAATATCAATCACTACATAACGAGAAAAATGACGTCGAGTGTTTGAAAAAAAAAAAAAAAAAAAAAAATGCGAGATTTAAATATTATGTATGTATATGTATTTGATTGAATAGTAAATAAATTATTACTAAACTGAATAAAACAAAAATTTGCAAAAAATTCAAGTCAAATACAGGAGAAGATTAAAATTTTTTTTTTTTTATATGAAAAAATATATTTTTTTTGTTTTAATAATAAAATTTTTTGATTAAATAATAATTTTTTTTTCTTTTTTTTTGAAAATATTTTTTGATTTAATACTATTATTTTAAATTAGTAATATTTTTTAATTTAATAATATATTTTGATTAAGTAATATTTTTTTGGATTTCATATATATTTTAATTTAATAATAAATAAAAAAAAAAAAAGGAAAAATAAAATTTAATTATTAAAAAATAATAAATAAAATAAAAAAAAAAAAAAAAAAAATGTTAATAATGTAAATGAGGTCGGCTGAGACGGTGGGCTACATACCCGCATCCCTTGCATTCTAGACATCGCCCTTAGTGGCCTTAGGGCCCTTAGGGTCCGCATTGTTTTGAAGGCTTGGATTCCGCCCGCGCCAACGAGCGATGCTACGAAGTTAATGAGAGACACCTGCGAGCGAGAAACGAGAGCGAGTCATAGCCAAAAAAAAAATTAAAGCTACGTTATTTTTTTTTCATCTCTCAATAATAAAAATAAAAAAAAAAAAACTAAATTTTCATTTCCTGTTAATCAGCAAAATTAGCAGCTTGCACCTTTGAACAAAAAAGCTCTCGACTTAAGCTGAAAGTTGAACTGAAAGTAGAAATTTTTTTCAGAACACTTTTTTTATATCCCAAATGCAAATAAAGTAAAGAAAAAAAAAACTTTCAAATTTTTTTTTTGTTGCTAATTTCAAGCTTTTTTTTTTGAAAAAAAGCTTTTAGTTGAGTTTAAGCTTTTAGAAGTATAAATAAAAAAATTAAATTATTAGTAAGGAAAAGCTTTTAGTAATATTAGTAAAGAAAATAATTTAGTAATATTAGTAAATAAAAGCTTTTAGTAATATTAGTAAATAAAAGATTTTAGTAATATTAATAAATAAAAGCTTTTAGTAATTTTAATGAATGCAAGCTTTCAGTAATTTAATACTACCATTTGAAAGCATTTATAAATATTAGTAAACAAAATCTTTTAGTAATATAAGTAAACACGATAGTTTAGTAATATTAGTTTTAAAAAAAGCTTTTAGTTAAATTAATAAATAATTTTAGTAATACTAGTTAACAAAAGATTTTATTTTTATTGTTAAAAAAGAGCTTTTAGTAATTTTAGTAAACAGAAGCTTTTAGTTGAATTAACAAAGGCTTTTTAATAATATTAGTAAACAGAAGCTTTTAGTTAAATAAACAAGAGCTTTTAGTAATATTAGTAAAAAGAAGCTTTTAGTTGAATTAACAAACGCTTTGTAGTAATATTAGTAAACAGAAGCTTTTAGTAATATTAGTAAAGAAAAGAATTTAGTAATATTAGTAAATAAAAGCTTTTAGTAATATTAATAAATGCAAGCTTTCAGTAATTTAATATTACCATTTAAAAGCATTTATAAATATTAGTAAACAAAAGCTTTTAGTAATTTAAGTAAACACGATATTTTAGTAATATTAGTTTTAAAAAAAGCTTTTAGTTAAATTAATAAATAATTTTAGTAATACTAGTTAACAAAAGTTTTTATTTTTATTGTTAAAAAAGAGCTTTTAGTAATTTTAGTAAACAGAAGCTTTTAGTTGAATTAACAAAGGCTTTTTAAGTAATATTAGTAAACAGAAGCTTTTAGTTAAATAAACAAGAGCTTTTTAGTAATATTAGTAAACAGAAGCTTTTAGTTAAAAAACAAGAGCTTTTTAGTAATATTAGTAAACAGAAGCTTTTAGTTAAATTAACAAGAGCTTTTAGTTAAATTAGTAAACAAGAGCTTTTAGTCCCTTTTAGTAAATAAAAAAAAAAAACTTGCTAAAATTTTTTTGGAAAAATTACAATGAAATCAAAGCTTTCAGTTGACTTACAACTTTTAGTCGATTAGAGCTTTTAAGTTGCTTTCTATAATTAAATAACGGTTCGTCCTTTTTTGTTTTAAAAAAGTCTCGAGTACTGTTTTATTTTATTTTAAATTTTCTTTTTTTTTATGGGATTTTTTCGTTTCGTAATGTCAATAAATATATATATTATATAAATAGACAACAGACAATTATATAATACAGTATACAGAAAGTTATAGTACACTAGAATATAGTAGAAGTAGTACAACAGTAGATATACAACAATCAGCGCAGAAACAACTAGAAGACGCGAAATAATTATATATATATATATAATAATTATGATATAGAGGGCGTTTATAGGAAAAAGAGTTTTTTTTTTTTTTTTAAATGAAATTATCAACAACAACAAATCAGCATCCTCCTGAAACAGATGAAATTTTTCGTTACTTTGCTCCACAAATATTTGACTGAAAATAATTTTATTCTGCAAAATTACCTGATTAAAAATAATAATACTAATAATAGTAATAATAATAATAATAATAATAATAATAATAATAACAATAATAAAAAATAATTTACATAATCTTCAATATACAAATTTTTTTATTTTATAGACTAAAACAGAATATTATTTTTTTTTTTTTTGATTTTCAATTTATTTTTAATTAATATATATATAAAAGAATTTTTTTTTAAATTTATATAAATAATTATTTATTTATTAAAAAAATTAATTTTTCGATTATTTATATTCATTAATCATTTTTTTTTTAATAATGTATTAAAATTTCAGTCAATTATCGTGAAGAAGTATATAGAAACAGTAATAACAAGAAATAACACGATTAATATTAATATTATTATTAGTATTAATAAGTAATAATAATAATAATAATAATATTAATAATTATTAGTAATATATTAATACATAACAATTGAGAAATATTTCCCACATAACAGACAAAAGCATAACCTTACTCGTTAGCACAACAAATATATAGTATTACCATAATAACAATTTGAGAAATTTGAGACAAAAAAAAATATATATATATATAAATATATAGAAAATATATATATGTATATAAATATATAAATTTTTTTTTTTTTAAATAGACAATATAGCAAAATACAACAAGAAACTCCAGTATCAGTGCAGACACCAAGTAGTTTGGACGCCAGTGAACCTCTGCACATTAGAAAAGCAAAACAATATGCCACATTCAAGCATCAGCGTTCTTTTATTATTATTTTTTATTATTTTCTTTTACAAGAGAAAGCTGAAGCTTGCAATTTTTCATTTCCAATTTTTTTCAACTAATTAAATTCACTAAAAATATATTTTTTTAACCGTATCAATTAATTTTTCGATATATCGATTTTAGTATCGATGTATCGATTTATTTCGATATATCGAGCTATTTTGAAATTTCAATTATTGTTTCTATATATCGAGTCATTTCGATGTATCAATTGTTCTTTAGATAGATCGAGTAATTTTGATGTATCGATTGTTGTTTCGATATATCGAATAATTTCAATAAACCGATTATTATTTCGATATAAAGAGTTATTTCGATATATCGATTTTTGTTTCGATACATCGAGTTATTTCGATATATCGATTGTTGTTTCGATATATCGATTATTTTTTCGATACATCGAATAATTTCGATAAACCGATTATTGTTTCGATACAAAGTGTTATTTCAATATATCGATTTTTGTCTCGATACATCGAGTTATTTCGATATGTCGATTGTTGTTTCGATATATCGAGTTATTTTTATATATCGATTATTGTTTCGATACATCGAGTTATTTCGATATATCGAGTTTTTTTTTTAATAAAAATCGAGTTATTTCGATATTGGAGTAAATTTTTATTACTAAATTAATTTAATTGTGAGTGATTTAATTAGTTTCAAGCAATTTTTGTAATAATATAAAATTTCGAGAAAAAAAATTCTTTTCTTTATATATTTCACAAGATTTTTGTGAATCCTCTGGACCGTTGACTTACTCTCATCCCTTCCCAGCGAGAAACAGCACGTAGGGGCCTCAAGGCCCTCAATGTTCTCATTGAACGAAAGGCTGGAATGTCAGCAGCACCGGCCCATATTGCCCCAAGATTGATCAGCGAAAGCTATTATCATTATTTATTTTTATCATCATTCTTATCGTCATCATCATCAATTTCATAGAAAATTTTTTTAAAATTAAAATTACATTTATCATTAAAAAATATATATAAATATCAGCTTCAGACTCCTAGTCTCTTGAACAGCATCTCAATTAATTTCTTGTAAAATTGAACAATTATTGGAAAAAAAAATGATTATTCTCTAACTATATATTTAGTTGTTTTTTTTTTTTTTTTTTTTAATTGTTCCTTTCAGGATTTAAATCACGTTTTATTAAATACAATTTTCTTTTTTTTTCTTCGTTTTTTGATCTAATTATTTCCAATAATAATTAATTAATTAACCAATCAAATAATAATAATTTATTTTTCAAAATTTTTATTCTTATTTAGCACAAAATTTGGAATAATAAAAAAAAAATATATATAATAATATTTTTAATTTTGAAAATATATCAACGTTCTATTTTCATCCTAAAAGAAAAGAAAAATACATTTTCAACTAATACCTATATTTACTACCTTTTTCATCCAAATAAATTTTTTCTTTTTTATCTCTGCGTGAAAAAATTTTTCCTAATAACATATGTACTAATAAAAAATTAACATGTAGAATTTTCTTTTTTTTTTTAAATAAATTTTTTTTTTCTTATATTATAATATTATTAATTAATTTTACTAATTTTTTTTTTTTTAAGGACTTACCATGACGATTATAAAGTCCAACCAACACCAAGCGTTCGTAAAATATTTCTGGAAGCCAAGAGCCAACCATTTGATTAACATTTCCAAGAAAAATATCACTGTGAAAATTCTGTCCATGTAATAAAGTATATCTTGAAGTATTGGCCTCGACTGAAGGTGAACATCCTCAAGAGCCTTGAAAAAAAAAATTTTTATAAAAAAAAAAATGTCCAATTCACCCCGTTTGACCAATTTACCCCGTGTACAGTTTTACCCCTTGTGTACAATTTTTAACTAAAATCTCAATCTCTTGTTAATAAGATTTCTTTTCTCTGAAAAATTTACAATTTTACTAATTTAACCCCATGTATAAATTTACCCCCTTGTACAAATTTACCCCGATTCACAATTTTGTTTTTTTCTATGTAACTTTTTTTCTTATTGATGAATTTAGCTAATTTACTGGCTTATGTAAATTTTACTTTAATTGACGAATTTACCCCATATACAGTTTTACCCTACTTGAACCCTATGTACACTTTTACCCCGTGTTCAATTTTCCCTACTTGTATTTATTGTGTTGTTTTTACCCCGCGAGACTATTTAATTAAAAAAAAACTTATAAAGGGATAAAGTGGTACTTGATTACCGTTTTACCCCAGTGTTAAAATTTTTTTTTTTTTTTTTAAACTTACCAGTGCCATACTACTCAACAGAATCATTGTGATGACGGCAGTTTCAAAATATTTATTTTCAATGAGCTGGAAGGTTTTTAATCTCAAATTACCCCAACCTTGCCAAAATGGGGCGTCTTCATCACCAGCCAAAAATGGAAATTTCTTGTACCATTTCTCGGGAAGACAATCAGCTGGATAGTCGTCAATTATCTCTTCGTTTGTTTGTATTATTCTTGGTACTTCCTCTTCTTCTTCCTCCTCACCTTCTTCGCCCTCATCGTCTAAATCTAAAAATAAAAAAAATTATAAAATTAAATTATTGCATTTAAAAAAAAAAAAAAATTATAATAATTTTTTTTTTATTTTATATTAAATTTACAATAATTTTTTTTTTATAGTCCAAAATTAATTATTAAAAAATTATTAATTATTATATTTATTTAATATTACAACAAAAAAAAAGTACTCGCCTTCCTCCTCAAGATCTTCTTTACTTGCATCCTTTTTTTCTTCGCCATCCAATGAATCCAAACTACCTTTGTGACTCTCGTTCTTAAATGATCGATTCTGGTGACTCCCATACGATTTGTTACTGTGAAATTTTTTTTTTAATTGAAATTATTAATAATTAAAAAACAATTTTTTAAAATTAAAAATTTTTAATTCATTTAAAAAAAGTTTTATTAATAAAAAAAAAAATTAACATCTGTCGGTAATGTAGGAATTTGACTTATAACGTCAATTTTCGAAATAAAATACCGGTGGCATTTAATTTGAATCTTAAATAAAAGAATGTTACAATAAATTTTTAAAAATATCTCCTACACTATTCGAGAAAGAACACCCACAAAAATGTACCGCAGTCGGTAATGTAGAAATCTAACTATTTCTTTTAAAAAATTAAAAATATTGAAGGCATATCGAAAGTAACACTTTACAGTATTCAAAAAAAAACGACGACAAAATTTTTCCCCTGTCGTTAATGCAGAAATGGAATTTAAAAAAAAAATTTTCATAAAAATAATAATTAAATTACCTGATGGTATCATCCTCATTGTGATTCATGTAGTCATGATCCAATCGAAAATCCCGATGATTCAACGAATTGACGAGTCCTTTTGTGTTGTTTAAACATAGGCTTCCTTTCTTTATTTTATTCTTAAGATCTCCTACAAGAAAAAAAGAAGAAGAAAAAAAAACAACAGTTTTTCTTAAGAATTTATTAATAATTTAATAATTTTTTAATTTAAAAATAGAAAAAAAAGTAAAATAATAACATGAATTGCCAACAGTCGGTAATACTGATTTCAATTTTACCAACGGTCGGTAATCCAGATTCAAATCTTACCAAGCGGTTTGGTAATTCAGTTTCCTACCTTACCAACGGTCGGTAATCCAGATTCAAATCTTACCAACGGTTGGTAATTCAGTTTCCTACCTTACCAACGGTCGGTAATTCAGATTTCTATCTTATCAACGGTCGGTAATCCAGATTCAAATCTTACCAACGGTTGGTAATTCAGTTTCCTACCTTACCAACGGTCGGTAATTCAGATTTCTACCTTATTAACGGTCGGTAATCCAGATTCAAATCTTACCAACGGTTGGTAATTCAGTTTCCTACCTTAACAACGGTCGGTAATTCAGATTTCTACCTTATCAACGCTTGTTCATTGATACTATTGGCAATTTATGGTTAATACCATACCGAAAATCAACAATAATGTAATACAATAATTGAAAAAAGAAAAAAAAATAAATTGTTTTTAAATATTACTTTTTTTAAATTAAATACCATGAATTGTAAATTCCATTCCATCGCCAATTGCAACTTCAAATTGATTGTTAAGTTCCTTGACGCTCTTTTTGTCACGAAATACATCTAAATCACCATCAGTGAGATCCAAATTTGCATCATGATCGAGACCTTCTAGAACAATTTATGCATAAAAAGCTACGAATTCGTTGGCATTTGCTTTGCAATTTGCAAAACCCTTTTTCTTTAAAAATATTAGGAATTTTTATTATAATTTCTACTGGACTTGTTAAAAAAAAAAAAAAAAAATTTTAAATGTTTAAAACTATTTTTTTCTTTGGTTCAAATCGTGCAAAATTTTCAAAAAAAAAAAAAAAAATTCATTCAAATTCTTCTTTTTTCCAAAAATGTAGATTAAATTTTGAGCCATGCATAACTTAAGCTTTAGGGTTTAAAAAAAAAAAGAAATACATATTTAGTGTCCGGACTAGTGTCACTAGAATTTAAAAAAAAAAATTTATTTTTTATTATGCTAGTCCGAACATTAAAAAAATCATATTAGAATTATTTCCTCTTGTACAATTTTTATTGTCAAAAAAAAAAAAATATTTTTTAAAATTGAAAAAAAATTTTCAAAATTTACATTTTTTTTCAAAATAATTTTTTTTTAAATTTTAATTATTTTTTTTACATAATTTATTGGAAATAATTCTAATAAAAAAAAAATAACTGTAACATAATTTTAACAATCTTTTGACAATTATATAATGATTAATAATAATTAAAAAAAGTAAAAAAAAAAAAAAATAATTGAAAATTTAAAATAAAATTAGGTAAGTACAGGCAATGTAGCCTATATCGCACAAGTCACTAGAACTGCCCTCCTACGAAGAAAGACACGCTAATAATAATATAAATATTATTGGCAAAAAGTTGTCTTAATAAAATCTCACAAAAAAAGTCTAAATAAACAAAATAATATTTTTACAATAAATTTTTATTTTTTTTTTTATTGACAAAAATTATTTATTTATTTATTAGTAGAAAAAAATTTTTTTAATTTAATTTATAATTAAATTTTTTCAATTTAAATAATTTGAAATTTTTTTTTTTTCTAAATTTATTAATGAAAAATAAAAGACAACTTTTCGTCAATGACTCACAATGAAAAATTAAAAATTTTTGCGAGTCACATGCTTAAATGCGATTCTCAGCCCTTGTAAGCCGCACGAGCGCCACGAATAAAAAAAGCAACCGTTCGAGAGTAAAAAAATTATTTTTTAAAATAAAAAGAAAATTATACACTTGAGGTTTTTATTTTTTTTTAAGGAGGGGGGGAAAATACATTTTTTCAGCCACAGAGTGTTTGTATGTTATTTTTCAAAAGTGAAACATAATTTTTTCTAAATATATATATTATATATATATATATATATTTAATTAATTTTAATTCCATTTTTATACAAATTGTAATTACTTTTTTTTTGTATTTTTGCAAAAAAATAAAAAAAATAATTTTTCTAATTTGTGTCTTAGAAATTATAATTGTTTTTTTTAACCACATTTTTTGAAAATGTATGTTTGTGTCTGTGAAAAAAAAAATTCACAATAATAAATATTTCTAAATGATTAAAATTGATGTATTTACTTTGTTTTTTTTTGTCTTGTTTTTTGGCCACATTGCCTCCACTTACCTGGACAAACGAGTAACTGCAAAACTACAAATCAATGTTTTAAAAAAATTTTTTCTTTTTTTTTTTTTAATTTCTATTAATTCGGCTAATATCCATTTCAAATTCAACTTGTGAAAGCAGCTAGTCGGTGTCAACTGTTTAAATCAAAAAAAAAATTATTTTATCGTGTATAAAAAATCAAAAGCAAAATTAGCGTTTAAAAAACGTTGCGTATATATATATAAATATAATTATAAACGATAATAATCGTCCCAGTCAAAACGACTCATTTTCAATAAAAAAAAAAATATATTTTTATTAAAAAAAATTTTTTTTTTTAATTCAAGTTATTAATTTAAAAAAAAAAATCATTTTTTACTTTGGAGAAATTTTTTTTTTCACTATTTCACTACTAATTTAACAGTAATTTTCGAAAAAAATTTATAAACAAAATATCACTTGAATTATTTGTAAAATTATTTTTAAATTACGAAAATTACTTTTTCAAATAAATCACATCATCTAAAAACACAAAAAATATTGAAATAAATTCCGTTGCGCGAAATTCGAAGTCCTCTAAAATACCATAGGTATTTATGGTACCATAGGTACCATGGCAGCGCGAGGGGCCAAAAAAATTCATCACAGGTGTCTTCTCTATTTAAAGAGCTTTTAAAGGCTAAAAAAAAATAAGAAATTATTCATGTTATCATTTTTAGGGTTTCGTGGCCTAGGGCCGAAAGGCTTATAGTTTCGCTTTGGCGTCCGTCCGTCTGTCGTACAAACCGAAAGAAAATTGCACGACGTCTGAAATGTGACGATGTCACATTTTGGATCCTTCACCCATATATTAACGTTTTGGCATTTGTATGTCTGTTTGTCGTAAAAACCCTTCTACAGAACGAAATTGAAAGTCAACTGCACAAGTTCTGAAATGTGACACTGTCACATTACGGATCATACACCTATATATTACCATTTTGGCGTCTGTATGTCTGTTTGTTCGTCGTAAAAACCTTCTTAGAGTCAATTGAAAGTCACCTGCACGAGTTCTGAAATGTGACACTGTCACATTACGGATCATACACCTATATATTACCATTTTGGCGTCTGTATGTCTGTTTGTTCGTCGTAAAAAAACCCTCCTACAGAACGAAACTGGAAGTCAACTGTACAACTTCTGAAATGTGACACTGTCACATTTCGGATCCTTCACCCATATATTTTGATCTGAATTTAAAAAGCCACGAAACCCTAGACATAGGCACTTTGCGCCTGCTTCTTTCTCTAATTTTTCTTGTCTAAAAAAAAAATTTCTATCGTATGGGGTAAAGTGGTAAAAAAATTACCATTTAAAAAAAAATCTATAAAAAAAATCAATATAACTCAATATAGGGGGAAAAATGATAGGAAGCAAAAAAAAATTTTTTCGATTGACTGGTACGAGACAAGGACGAAATAATAATAATAATAATAATAATAATAATAATAATAATAATAATAAGACAGTGTCACGAACTACACAGCGCACACAGCAAGCGATCTGATTGGATATAAACCTTCTTTCCAACTGTTGGACGGTCCCTCACCTGGCGCCTGATCGGATATCTGATTGGTGAGTTTGGCTCGCATCATCTTAAGTAGATTAAGAATACTTTGCTTGATCCAACCAATGAAACGTGCTATTCTTTCAATAGCTTCGGCTATTTTATTTGTATCATTGTCCGCTGTTGGCGCTGATAAATTCGATGAGCCAAAATTACTCAAAAGCAACGCCAAGAAAAGATTTAATACCTGTTTTTTTTTTTTTAAAAAAAAAGGGGAGAAATTTTTTTTTTCATTTCCTATTTCAAAAAGGGGGGAAAAAAAGAGAGAAAAAAGAAAGAAAATGTTAAGAAAAAAAAAATATGTAAATTTTAACCCATTGACGAATTAACCCCGTGGTGTACACTTTTACCCCATTTTGTAAGTTTATACCCCATATTGAAACTTTTATTCCATATTGTACACTTTTACTACAATTTATACACTTGTACCCCATGTTACTACTTTTACCCCATACTGTACGTTTTTACCCCATATTGACATTTTTATCTCATATTGTACACTTTTACCCCATGTTAACACTTTTATCTTATATTGTACACTTTGTACCCCATGTTGAAAGTAGTATTCAATATTTTACACTTTTACCCCGCTTTATGCCCTTCTACCCCATGTTAATACTTTCATCCCATTTTACACTTTCATACCGCAATGTCTTTCTTACCCCAATTTTTCAAATTTACACCAATATTAAAGTTAAAAAATCAATTATTCCATGGTATATTTTACCCCGTGATTTCAGTAAATTACAAAACAATGGAATAAAGTGGTACTTAATTTAAAAAAAAAAAAAACACCAAAAAATAATTATGGAAAAAAATAATTAATTTTTTTTAACTACATAGTTTTTTTATACGTACGACTAAATTTCCAATGACGACAGTTGCCAAAAAGAATGGAATACATGAGACATCACCAACCAGCATACAATCCCACATTGATTCAATCCATTCTCCGCATAATACACGAAATACAATCATAAATGAATGCATAAAATCAGTGAAATTCCAACGTGGTAATTCACCATCAGGAAATAAATGTACTTGGTCCGTGTAATTTTTACCAAATAATTGCATGCCCATTACGGCAAATATAAAGATAATAATACACAAGACAAATGTCAAATTACCCAATGCACCAACTGTACGGCCCATAATTGATATCAATAAATTCAATGTTGGCCACGATTTTGCTAATTTAAATACTCTCAACTGTAAACAAAAAAGAAAGTAGAAAACAAATTACAGTGAAATATTTTTTAAATGTGAAAAAAATTCATTTTTTTTTTTTGAAAAATGATAAACATATGTTGATAATACAGTTTTTTTCTAATACAACGATAGTCGATAAAGTGGATTTCTACTTTACCGACAGTTGGTAATAAAGATCTCTACTATGTCGACCGTTAATAAAGTGGATCCTTACTTTATCGACAGTTGGTATAGTTGAGATCTACTATACCGACAGTTGGTAATGTAGATTTCGACTGTATCGACAGTTGGAAATCTAGATCTTTACTATATCGACAGTTGGTAATGTAGGTTTCTACTGTACCGACAGTTGGTAATGTAGGTTTCTACTGTACCGACGAATAGTAATGTATACCTCTACAATAGAAACAGTCGGTAATTGTATGTACAATTAAATACTTTCTATACTGACAGTAGGTAATTCAATCTGCTTTTTAGATCAGTAGTCGGTAATACAGTTATCTATATTACCAACAGTCGGTAATGTATGTCAATAATTTTTATACTTGCAGTCGGTAATACACATCTCTGTGATACTATTAGTCGGTAATATAAGTATCTACTTTACCAACAGTCGGTAAAAAAAATAACTATTTTTCCAGCCGTACGTAATACAAGTATCTACTTTATCAACAATTGGTAATTTGTGTATCTACTTTACCAACAGTCGGTAAAAAAAATAACTACTTTTCGAGCCGTAGGTAATACAAATACCTACTTTATCGACAGTTGGTAATTTTTGTGTCTGCTTAACCAACAGTCGATAATTTAGATTCTCAACTTACCAACGGTCGATAATTCAGTTTTCTACCTTATTACTGTTGGTAATTTAGGTTAATATCATACCGACAGTTGGTAATTAAAATAAAAAAAATGAAATATTTCAAAAAAAAAAAATTCAATAATTTGAAAAAAATTAGAATAATAAGAAAATTTACCAATCTAAATGAACGAAGGACCGATAATCCCTGAACTCCCTCGAGTCCCAATTCCAGCAGGGATAAGGCCACTATAATGAAATCGAAAATGTTCCATCCTTCTTGAAAGTAAAACTTTGGACTCATTGCTACCAATTTCATTGTCGCTTCAATGCCAAACGTTGCAGTGAAGAACTATTTTTTTTTTTTGAAAATAATAAACAATTATAATTTTTTTTTTCTAAATTTCTAAATCGAAAAAAATTTTTTTTTTTTTTATTTTCTAAAAAAAAAACTTACATAATTTCCGGATTTAAGGATTTTTTCCATTTTACTGTCCATATCGTGATGATCCAATGCCATGAATAATGTATTAACGACAATGCAAAGTGTGATGAAAAGCTCAACAAATGGATCGAACACCAAAAGGGCAATGAAGTCTTGTATCTTGACCCACATGGGACAACAGTTCCAAACGCAAAAAACATCGATGCTTCGTAAAAAGTATTCTAATGCCTTTTCCTTAAATGTAATTCCCTCATCATCTTCGTCTGTGGGAAAGTAATATATCGACACTATACCAAATGTTAGTAAATTTTGTATTATCCACCACTCTTTTTTGGGGAAAGAGTTTTTTTTTTGTTTGTTTTTGTTCTATATAAATATAGAGAAATTTTGAAATATTAATTTGTTTTTAAAAAATTTTTTTTTTTTGTTTCTTAAATTTTTTTTGTTCTACAACTTTTTTTTTATATTCAAAAAATTTTATTTCTGCAATTTCATTTTTGTATTATTTTTTTATTATTTTCTAATTATTTTTTTATTCTTTTCTAAAAATTTTTTTTTGTTTTTTATAATTTTTTTTTGTTTTTTATAATTTTTTTTTGTTTTTTATAATTTTTTTTTTTCTACTTGTTTAAAGTTGTAGATCAAAATAAATTATTTTTTTGTTTAAGGGAGGGAATGATACTTTTTTACATTTATCTAGTCAAAAAAAAGGCAGGTGCAACAAAATGAGCCATAAAAAAAGTTTTTTTATATTTTTTTTTTTTTTGAAATTTGGCTCATCTCGAGTGCAAAAAGGAGCAAAAAGGGTCAATATTAGTGCTATCGGCCTTCTATTAAATATTAGAAATTAGAAAAAAAAAAAATTAAGCGGTAAATTGGAAAATCTAACATTAAGCTATATTTTTATTTTTGTATTATGTAAAAAAAATAAGCTCTCATTGATAATTATTTATTTTCTTGTGACTTTCATAAAATTAATTGAATTTACTACTAAGCTAACTAGTTGTAAAAATATAGATCCAGACTAGGATCATTTTCAATTTAAAAAAATTATATTTTTTTAAAATTTACTTTATCGACAGTCGGTAATTAAGACTACTACAATATCACAGTCGGTAATATAGATTTCTTTTTTACCCACAGTCGGTAATATAGATTTCTATTTTACCCACAGTCGGTAATATAGATTTCTACTTTACCCATAGTCGATAATACAGGCTCCTACTTCATCAACAGTCGGCAATCAAGATTCCTAATTCGTCAACAGTCGGTAATATAGATTTCTACGCTATCAACAGTAGATAATGTATAACTCTGCTTGCCTGTTGTCGGTAATACATCAACGGTCGGCAATGTATATTTCTACTATTTAACAGTTGGTAATGCAGGACTCTACATTATCGACGATCGGTAATATAGTCTACAACAATATCACAATAGATATTACAGATTTCAACGTTATAGAAAGTAGGATATACAGAGCTCTACATTATCGACGGTCGATAAGTGCGATAACTACAATACCGACTGATGTCAAGTCAGATCCCTACCATACCAACTATCGGTAATGCAGAAATCTAATATAATTAAATATCTTTTTTCCACGCTAGTCTGGATCATTTTTTTTTAAATTGAATTTATTTTTGTAAATATTAAAATTGCAAGCTTCATTTTTAAATATTTTGTGTTATTAACAATGAAAATTAATCTACAAAGGCCGTGCTTTTTAAAATAATTTCTCTCTTTCTTTTTTTGTTTTTTTTTTTTAATACAACTCTTTCCTATATTTAATTTTACTCTTAATGCTAAAGATTAAAAAAACCAACTATGACTACTCTACTTTCTACACTACAAAATGAAGCAAAAAAAAAAAAAAAAATAAACGAATAAATAAAATGCGATTGACAAAAAAATGCCCTACAATACAATATTACTGGCATGTGATTGGTGAAATGACAGAAGCGCAAATAAAAAAAAGCAATTTTATGATTTCTAATAAAAGAAAATTTGATAAAAAAAATTATTTTTATTTTAGAATTTATATAAAAATAGATATATATTATAAAATAAATATATTTATATTATAATATAAATTGAAAATTTTTTTTACTGTAATTTCAATTATAAATTTTTTTTTTAAATATTATTTTATATTTAATTAAAAATTATTTTTTAAAAATATTTAATAAATAAGTGAAGCTGTGTCAATTTATAGTGCAATGTGCGAACTAAGAAAGTGCAAAGACTAATAATAATAATAATAATAATAATAATTTGACTGGAGTGTAAAAAATTTGATTAAACACAGTGGAGAAGATAAAAGAACCAATTTTTTTAAACATTTATGTTTTTTTTGCTTGCATTATTTGCACAAAAACTCTATTTCCCCAAAAATTTAAACAGACACTCACATTTTTTTTTTTTTTTTTTTTTTTTTTTTTAATCTGAGGAACAAATATTGATAGGCACTTTTCTCGATTCGCTTTAAAGAAGAGCAATTAAATATATTCTCAATAAATGAAAAAAGAAAAAAAATTTAATTCAAAAATTTCTATATGGAAAATTCAAAAAAAAAAATTCTAATAAGAAAATTTTAATTTCATACCTTGTCATTAAAAATTTTTCAACTAATGCACTCTCCGTGTAAAAATAAAGTTTTTATTTTTCTTTTTTTTTTTGAATAAAAAAATATAATGTAAGTCTCTTTAAAAATATTTTTTTTAAAATTTATAATTTATATTGTCATTGTTATGTATATTTATAATAATATATTTTATATATAATTGAATATAAAAATTATATAATTTTGTTATATTGTAATTTATATTTTATTTATATTATTATATAATGAATTATTATATATTAATTGTTATTATAATTAAAAATTTATTTTAATAATGTTATTAGTTACGTAAGTGTAACGTATCAGAAAGGTAACATCTGTTACTTAACAGTAACGTAACTTTTAAGTAACATCCGTTACTTAAGAGTAACGAAACATTAAGGTAACATTAGTCACGTAACAGTTACGTGACAGAAATGTAACATCCGTTACATAACAATAATGTTACTTATAAGTAATATCTGTTACCAAACAGTTACGTAAAATAAAGGTAACATTAGTTACTTAATAGTAACGTAACTTTTAAGTAACATCTGTTACTAAAGAGTAACGTAACATCAAGGTAACATTAGTCACGCAACAGTTACGTAACAGAAATGTAACATCCGTTACATAACAGTAACATTACGGAAACGTAACATTAGTTACTTAAAAGTAACGTAACATAACAAAAAGACAATATTAGTTGCATAACAGTAACGAAATATAAACGTAACAGTCACTTTTTCCGAAGTGAATTTTTTTTTTTTTTGTGAAAAGAAGAAAACAAGTTCTGTACATTTGTAAGTGAAAAAAGCAGCCTGATGCAAAAGACTGATGAGATAATGAGAAAAAAAAACCAACATTTCTTTCTTTATAATTTTTAACCTCTTGTGGTACTTTTGGAAAAAAATTTATTTTTTTTTACCACAAAATGTTAAATTAAATGTGATTAATAGAAATTAATTTTGAAGATGATGGGAAAAAAAAAATTATGAATCACTGACAATCCTTAAATGTACATATATATATATAGCACTCATAAAAAGTGATGAATAAAAATACGAACTTCTAATTTAAAAAAAAAAAAACTATGTACAAAATAGTACAAAATTTACATCGATATTTTTTAAAAATATTATTTGTAAAAAAAAAAAGAAATATATTTTGTCCGTTGCAAAAATTAAATGAAAATATTTTTTTTTTTTTAATGTAAAAATTTACAACATTTTAAAGAAAAAGAAAAATATTTGATTTTTTGTAAATTAAAAGCGACACATTACCTGCTTGTTCCGATGACCTACTATGCCGACCAGCAGCTTGTTCGGTTATATCGTTTAACGCCATTGCATCTAGAATAAAGAAAAAAAAACAATTAAATATTATTCAATTTTTTGTTATTCAAAAATATATTTTATTTAAAATATTCTTTTTTTTCGAAAAAAAAATAACTAACCTTTCATATCTACCACCGCTTGTTGATGTGAAGAATCGATAAATGGATTGTCATGTTTCAATTTAATGAGCGAATCTTCCGTTTCTCCATCCTGAATAATTAGAAAATTAAAATTTTTTTTTTGAAAATATAAACAGTCGGTAATGCAGGATTTTACATTATCGACAGTCGGTAATTAATGATACTACAATATCACAGTCGGTAATAAAGATTTCTACTTTGCCAACAGTAGGTAATGTATATATCTGCATTGCGGGGTGTCGATAATACAGGAATCTTCTACATCGACGATCGATAATATAGGTTTCTTTGATATTAACCAACAATCGACAGTGAAGAACCCTACGTCGTTAATTGAAACTACTACAATGTCACAGTCAATATAAAGGTTTTCTACTTTACCAACAGTAGATAATTACCTCGACATTACCGATTGTTGGTAATAAATCAGCGATATCAACGAACGGTAATGCAGGTTTCTACACTATCAACAGTCGGTAATGTGTGTGTGTATCTCTACAATACCGACTGCTGTTCATTCAGATCTTTACAATATCAACTGTCGGCCATATAAATTAAGACTTTGGTGGTATTTCAAAACGATTATCTCAAAAAATTTAAAAATCGAATATTATTACCCCGTACTATATTAACTATCGTCAAAGCAGGACTCTACTGTTTCGACCATTGGTAATTGAGGCTACTACATTATCGCAGTTGGTAATAGTGATTTCTACTTTACCAACAGTCGGTAAAACAGACTTCTACTTTAACAACAGTCGGTCATGTAGGCGTCTTCTTTACCAACAGTCGATAATGCAGGCGTCTACTTTATCAACAGTCGGTAATGTAGGCATACACTTTTCCAGCAGTCGATATTGCGGGCTTCTACTTTATCAACAGTCGGTAATGTAGGCATCCACTTTTCCAGCAGTCGATATTGCGGGCTTCTACTTCAACAACAGTCGGTAATGTAGATTTTAAATTTACCAGCAGTCGTTAATGTTCGATTCTACAATATCAACAGTCGGTAATCAAGATTGCTACTTCGCCAACAGTCAGTAATGAAGAATCCTACTTTGTCAACGTAGTCGGTAATACAAATTTCTACTTTACCAACAGTCGGTAATGCAGATTTCTACAATATCAATAGTCGGTAATCAAAATTCCTACTTCGCCAACAGTCGGTTAATGCAGAAATCATATCCAATTAAATCTCTTTTTTTCGAATTTAGTCCGAATCATTTATCATAAAAAATTTTTTTAATATAAAAAAAATCAACTTACCGTACTATGATAATGATGTTTGTGAATATTTTCCGCTGCATTTCCATTGATTGATGCCTGCCTCGCTGATCTACTTCTCAATTTACTCTCTTTTGTCATTGGTTTGCCAATATTTCCAATACCACCGAGTAAATCGCAATGTGACGTATATGATAATTTTGAAGCGTGTGACGTATATGACGAATGACGTGAACCCAAATTTGCATAATACATTGGCACAACAATTGCGCCATTTTCTTCGGACATTGGCGTAACGGCATTTGAATCATCGGCATAGGGTAAATGCTCTTGTGCATCCAAATACGTTGACAATACAAGGGGTTTTCGATCACCACCTGATGGTCCAACAAAACGACGACCATTGCGTATTGTAAATTGATGACTACCACGACTACCACGTCTTATATTGAATGGTGAACCCGGTAAACTGAGACTTGCCTGCAAAATAAGAAAAAAAAAAAAAAAATTTTTTTTTTCTTTTCTTTCTTTTTTTCCAAAAAAAAAAAAAATATTTTCGCAATATTTTTTTTTTTTAATTTACTGATGAAGTTTGTAAAAAAAAAAAATTTTTTTTTGCCTATTTTTTGCTGACGAGATTTTTTTTTTATTAGGAAAAAAAAATGGCCTTAAATTCTAAATGAGCAAAAGTTTGATTTTTAGTAAAAAAAAAAAAGTTTTTACCACAGCGCTCTCTCGTTGAGAAAAATATTTTTGTAGAAATGAGTTTTCGTGTTTGTTTAATTTGTTCTCGTGCGTTATAATTTTTTTTTTTTTTTTTTCAACAGAAAAGTTACACGAGACAAAAAAAACTGAGAGATTATTTTGCATGCAATTTTTTTTTTTTTTGAAATATCTCAAAATTTTTTTTTTGGAAAAAATTATATATGTAGCTAAAAGAATAATTTTTTAATTTTATTTTTGCTATTTTTTAAATTGCTACAAAAATTCTAAATTAATTTTTTTTTTATTTAGGAAAAAAATAATTATATATTTAGAAATATTTACTTGCTGGAAAGATTTGTAAGAACGAAGAAATTAATTTTTTTTAATTAGAAAAAATTGGTTTCTTTTTTTTTATTTCCTGAAATACTAACAAAACACGAGAGAGAGAGAAACAAAGAGAGAGTGAGAGAGAGAGAGAAGATTAGAACCCATGACGTACCTTCCTCAGACTTTCCTGGTAGGCATTAGTAAACTGGCCATTAGGGACGCGAGAGACCTTGAGAAAAAAGAAGAAAGAAATATCTTCCTAACCAAAAAAAAAAAAAAAACACAAAATTTTTTTTTTTTTTTTTTTTTTTGCGAAAGCACACATAATGGAGGAAGTGTTGCTTGAATTTTTTTCCTTCAAATGATCAGAGAACATTCTAATTTTTTTAATTTTCCAGTCATACGTATAGCCAGTTTTTTTTTTCATTCGCATATATAACAAAATACTTTTTTTTTTTTTGTAAATACTTTGCATGCAAAGAATTTGTATATGATGATCTGACGTACCGTTTTTTTTTATCAGAAAATTTCATAAGCTACGATTTCTTCACTTGTTTTGAAAAAAAGGTGAAAAAGGAGATATTTTTTTTTTTTGTAAGTTAATCGAAAAGAAAAAACTTTTTTTTTTTTGATAAATAAATAAAAAAGGGAATGAGAAGAAAAGAAGAAAAATTAAAAATTTGAAAGAAGAAATGAAGAAAAACAAAAGTAGAAATGAAAAACAAAAAATTCCGGAAAGCAAAAGAAAAAAAAAGAAACGAAACAGAAGAAATTTAAAAAAACAAAAAAAAAATAAATACAAAATAAAAGAAGAAATACGAAGAAGAACAACAAAAGAAATACAAAGATGAAAAACAAAAGAAATACAAAGAAGAAAAGAAGAAATACAAAAATAAAATAAGAAATAAAAAAACTAAAATAAGAAATGCGAGAAACTAAAGAAGAAATACAGAAATAAAAGAAGAAATACGAGAAACGAAAGAAGAAATACAAAAATAAAAGAAGAAATGCGAGAAACGAAAGAAGAAATACAAAAATAAAAGAAGAAATGCGAGAAACGAAAGAAGAAATACAAAAATAAAAGAAGAAATGCGAGAAACTAAAGAAGAAATACAAAAATAAAAGAAGAAATACACAAATAAAAGAAGAAATACAAAAATAAAAGAAGAAATGCGAGAAACTAAAGAAGAAATACAGAAATAAAAGAAGAAATGCGAGAAACGAAAGAAGAAATACAAAAATAAAAGAAGAAATGCGAGAAACTAAAGAAGAAATACAAAAATAAAAGAAGAAATGCACAAATAAAAGAAGAAATACACAAATAAAAGAAGAAATACAAAAATAAAAGAAGAAATGCGAGAAACTAAAGAAGAAATACAGAAATAAAAGAAGAAATGCGAGAAACGAAAGAAGAAATACAAAAATAAAAGAAGAAATGCGAGAAACTAAAGAAGAAATACAAAAATAAAAGAAGAAATACAAAAATAAAAGAAGAAATACAAAAATAAAAGAAGAAATACAAAAAATAAAAGAAGAAATGCAAAAATAAAAGAAGAAATACGAGAAACGAAAGAAGAAATACAAAAATAAAAGAAGAAATACAAAACTGAAAGAAGAAATGCGAGAAACGAAAGAAGAAATACAAAAATAAATAGAAGAAATACAAAAACAAAGAAGAAAAGGAAGAAACAAAAACATACAGAAAAAGTAAAGAATAAATTTTAGAAAAAAAAATAGAAAAGAAGAAGTACAAAGAAACAAAAGTAGAAAAAGTAAAACCGAAAAAATACAGTGAAACAAAAGAAGAAGTACAAAAAAAATAAAAAAAAATTTAAAAATAAAAAAAGAGATACAATATAACAGAAAAAATAAAAATTGAAGAAATACAGAAGAAATATAAAAGAAAAAAAAGAGTAAAAATACAAAAAAGAAGAAATAAATTTTTTTAAAAATAAATGATTAAAAAATAGTTGTACAAGTGAAAAAAAAGTAATTCTTTGTCACCTTTTCGTAAATTTTTCCTCCTTAAAATAATTTTTCAGTGAAGAAATCAATTATTACAAATAAGAAAAGAGATTAAATTTTTCATTTTTTTTTTTTTTTTTTTTTTTTTTTTTGAGACAAATATTATTATTTGATGAAGAAATGGAGGATCAATGACAATAATTCAAAATCCAACTACTGCATCCACAATAAATCTGCAAATGACGACGATGCCGAATAATTTAATTTTTTTTTTACTTGATAGATGAAGAAGGCCCTACGAGAAACTACTTTCTACATTTTTCTAATGAGAAAATATTATATATATACTTTAAATACACATTTAAATAAATACATTTTCATATCCTACACCAAAAAAAAAATGTCGATTTCATATTCTGAAAAATTCAACCAAAATACTAAATTTTTTAAAAAATTTTTTTACATTAATTGCAAAATTAACTACCAATTAAAAAGTACAAAATTACTTTAATTAAATCTACAAAAAAAAAATATATATATATATATATATCGCAATACTAAAAATTAAAAAAAAAAAATTGTTAAACATTTTTTAGTAAAAATAATTTTAATTTACATTTTTCTAAAAAATACAACTTCTTTTCTACTTTAAAATGCAAATTTTTTTTTTTTTTTAAAAAAAAAAACCGTAACTACAAGAAGAAATTTTTTCAATACAATTTTAATATTAAAATTAAAAAAAAATTTAAATACAATTTGTATATTAAAATTTAAGCAAAAATAATTTAGATAGATACAATTTTTTAATATTAAAATTTAAAAAAAAAATTAATAAATAGTTTTAGAACTGTAGTAAATAATTTTAATCCAGTATAGAAAAAAAAATTTTTCATTAATGTTAGAATTTTTTTTTTTTTTTTTGTTTTGTCACTCGCAAAAAAATTCAATTTTTCCGGGCAAAACTCGTTGGGCCTTATATAGTAGTGGATAAATAACTTTTTAATTTTGCCAAAAATAAGCTCTAAATAATGAAACATTAAAATAGAGAGATACTTGGGAAGAAAACTAGAAAGATCTAAATCTAATTCCTGGAAAATGGAGCTAAAACTACGAAAACAGCTTTTTTTATTTCTTAAAAACAAAAAAAAAATTCTAAATCCAATTTTTTTTTTCGTTTTTTCTTTTTTCAATCAAAAAATAATTTTTTTTTATTCGCATATATATTTTTAAATATTTAAAGGGCAAAAAAAAGTAAAAAATATTTATTATTTTTACTCAAAAAAATTTTTCTTATTAAATAATTTTTCAAAATAATTTTCATTTTATAAAATTGGAAATTTATAAATAAATCCTAAAAAAAATCGACTGTCAAAAATGAAAAACAAAAATTTCCAGCTACAAAGAAAAAAATTTCAAAAAACAAAAAAATTCTTAAGTTAATAATAAATAATTTTATTCATAAATTAATTTAAATCAAAATTTATTTATTTAAATTAATTGAAAATAAAAAAAAATTATTTATAATTAATTTAATTATTCAAAAATTAATTTAATTTCAATTTTGAATCATAATAATAACAATAATAATAATAATAATAATAATTTCCAAAATTGTGTTAGAAATATTTCAACATATTTTATTTTATTTAAGTTGCAATGCAAAAGCACATGCATTTGTTTTCGTGCCACTTTTTTTTTTATCTTGCTTTCAATATAAAAAAAAAAAAAAATAAACAAAAAACAATAACTACAAAGTTATAAAACTGTTCGGATGAATAATTCTTAATTTTCATATTCAAACATGCAAATTATTTTTTCAAGAAAAAAAAATTCAAAAACTTTTATTTTTACATGTTTTTTTCTAATTATTTTTTCATTACCGATTTTTTTTGCAATAATTTACTATTATTTTTTTTTTTTTAAATAAAATAAAGACAGAAAATATTCAAAAATTTAGCATCTATTTGTCTTATTAATTTATAATTAATAATTAATGTCAAATTATAAATAATAAATCGTATCAACATAAGAAAATTTTTTTTAAATAATTAAAAAGTTTCTAACAAATTGATTTTATAAACAATCTATTTCAGATTTTTTTTCTATTTAAAAACTATTTATTGTTTTTTTTTAATTAAAATTGTTTTAACAATATTGTTCATAAAAAAAATTTGTTACAAAAAAAATAAGTACAAACAATTAATTTGTTTACAAACAATTATTATAAATAATTTTTTTTAATGAAATTAATTGTTTATAAAAAAAAATTTGTTACAAAAAATATTTTTAAACAATTAATTTGTTTATAAACAGTTTATTTCGAAAAAATTTTTAAACAACTAATTTGTTTATAAACAAATGTATATGAACAATTTGTTTACAATTAGTTTCTAATATTAATTAATTTTTATTAAAACGAATTAAGAATATAAACAATTATTTGTAAACTAATTAATTTTATAAACAATTGTTTACAGTCAATTTATTAATTTATAAACAATTGTTTATAACAAACTAATTTATTTATTAACAATTGTTTATAACAAATTAATTTATTTATTAACAATTGTTTATAACAAATTAATTTATTTATTAACAATTGTTTATAACAAATTAATTTATTTATTAACAATTGTTTATAACAAATTGTTAAATTTAAACAATTGTTATTAACAAATTAATTTTTGTTAAACAATTGTTTATAAAAAAAAATTGCATATAAAATTAATTTATTGATAATAAAATTGTTTCATTTACTTGTAATTAATTTTTTTCCATATGTTATTTGGAAAAAAAAATTAATTTTTTCTCAAATATATTTCGTTGATTCATTGCGTTTGTTTATTTGTTATAAAATGGAAAATAAACAATAATTGTAATAAATAAAAAAATTAAATGAAAAAAAAAAAAAAAATTTGTTCATTATACTTACGGCACTGACTTTTCTCACTTTGCTGGTGGTTGTTGTTGTGTGATTATTAATTATCTTAACTCTGTGTTCGCTGATTGATTCAACTGATCTAATGCTCATTTGTTCTTTATTGTTGTCGTCTGTGCCTTTTTCTTGACCAACGAATAATTCATAACTATGGCAGGAAAAGTCTGAAGGCGATTTAACTATTCGTTCGGCAGCTGCAGCAGCCGCTGCTTCCCGCGCAGCTTGCTGTGCCGCCTGTTTATGTTCTTTTGCTAAAGCCGCTTCTTCCGCTTCCTGTAAACAAAAAATAAATCAAATTTAGTTCATACAAATTTTTTTTATTTTATTTTTTCAAAAAAAAAAAAAAAAAATTCAACAATATTTAAAGCAATTATTTATTTATTAACAATTAATTATTTATTATAAACAAATTATTATAAATAATCAATTATTTGTTATAAACAAATTATTATAAATAATCAATTATTTATTATAAACAAATTATTATAAATAATCAATTATTTGTTATAAACAAATTATTATAAATAATCAATTTTTTTTATAAACAAATTATTAAAAATAATCAATTTTTTTATAAACAATCAACTATTTGTTTTAAAAAAATCAACAATTTGTTTAAACAATTACTAAAAAAAATTAATAAACAATTGTTTTTATAAACAATTTATTGTATATACAATTAATAAACAATTGATAAAGAATTAATGAACAATTTTTTTTATAAACAAATTATTATAAATAATCAATTTTTTTATAAACAAATTATTATAAATAATCAATTTTTTTATAAACAAATTATTATAAATAATCAATTTTTTTAATAAACAATCAACTATTTGCTTAAAAAAAATCAACAATTTGTTTAAACAATTACTAAAAAAAATTAATAAACAATTGTTTTTATAAACAATTTATTGTATATACAATTAATAAATAATTGATAAATAATTAATGAACAATTTTTTTATATAAACAAATTATAAACAATTAATAAATTAATAAATAATTGATTGTCTAAACAATCAATAAATAATTTATAAGTTAATAAACAAATTGTAAACAATTAATTATATCAATTAATAAACAATTGTTTGTTTATTATTATGAAAAAAAATTATTTTATTTTTTTTGTTCAGTTTTTTTTTTTTTTTTTTTTGGTTGCATAAAAAAAGAAAAATTGTGTTCAAAAAAAATTATATCAATAAAAATTTATTTGAAAAAAAAAAGAAAAAAAAATTTACCCGAATAGCTTCCTCTTCAGCGGCTTCCTCCTCCTCAGCTTTCTTTTGCAATTCATCATATGACATCGCAACAATGGCGAGGATCAAATTGACAAGATAAAATGATCCCAGGAAAATGATAACAATGAAAAATAACATATGCCATGGCCCCGCCGATCTCAGCACCAGCTGATAAAGATTCTCCCAATAATCCTGTGTCATTAAACGAAATGCAGAAAGAAGCGCCCAACCAAATGTATCAAAGCTTGTATAACCATAATTCGGATTATCACCATAACCTTGTAAACACGTATAACCAGGAGGACACATCCTATTTTTTTTTTTTTTTTTCAAAAGAAAGCAAAAAAAAAAAATTACAAAATAAAAAATTTTTACTATCAATTGAAAAATATATTTCAAAAAAAAGGAAAAAAATCACCATTTAATTTGTAAAATTGTTCAGTTTCGATATATCGATAATACTAACGATATTTTCTCTTGTTTTCGATTTATCGATACTCAAATATAGTATCGATAAAATGATCAAAATTTGTATCTGTATTCCAAATATCGATATTATTATCGATATTTCGATATGTCGACATTAATTTCGATATATCGACATCATTATCGATATAGAAATATTAATATCGATATATTATTATCGATGTGTCGATATTTATTTCGATATATCGAAAAAAATTTCGATATATTGCTATTTTTATTGATATATTGATATACTATCGATATACTATCGATATACTTTCGACATATCGATATACTTTCGATATATCGATATACTTTCGACATATCGATATATCGATATACTTTCGATATATCGATATACTTTCGATATATCGATATACTTTCGATATATTAATATGCTTTCGATATATTAATATGCTTTCGATATATCGATATACTATCGATATATTGATTTCGATATACTATCGATATATTGATATACTATCGATATATCGATGAAACGTTCGATATATCGATACTTATATCGATATATTGCTACTTATATCGATACTTATATCGATAAATTGCTACTTATATCGCGCTATATTGATATATTATCGATATATCGATAAAACGTTCGATATATCGATACTTATATGGATATATTGATATACTATCGATATATCGATGAGACGTTCGATATATCGATATAAGTTTCGATATACCGAAAGTTTTATAAATATATCGATATTTAATATCGATTGTCGGTAATATTTAAAAAAAAAATTTCGATTAAAATCGATAAAAATAAATCACTTTGTTAATTTTTGTTTTTAAAATGTATAAAAAAAAAAGTGACTTCTTACCCCGCGCCCGACGAATTTCCACACAAGGGCATATTCCCGGCTTCATCCACGTACCAATTAGCTGTATTAAATTTTTTAAAAAAATTGTTTTAAATTATTTTTCTTTTTCAAAGAAACAAAAATTGTTTTCCTATTTTTTTTTTTTTATTTTTTTTTAATAATACAATTAAAAAAATATTTAAAAATTAAAAAAAAAGATTACAAATATTAAAAAAAAAAAAAATTTTTTAATTAAAAAAATACAAATTTTTCAAAAAAATTTTTTTTTTTAAAACTAATAACCTTAAATTAATTACTTACAATCATTGTTAGTAAATCGTTCCCAATTCTCGTGCGACAAATTACCCCACGAGTTGTCGTCGGGAAAATTTTTTATACATTTTTGCGTAAGCACCCCCATATAAATTTGAAGACCCATAAGTGCAAAGACGGAGAGGGAGAACATTGTTAAGATTATCACATCGCGTAGATTTTTAACGGACTCTATCACAGCGCCGACAATGGTTTTAAGACCTTAAAAAACAATTCAAAGACAATGAATTAAAAATTTTTTTTATTATTTATTTATTTTTTTTTATTTCAATGGAAACCCACCACAAATAATAAACAAAACAATTTAGGATTATTATTGTAATTATTTAGCTTTTATAGGTTTTTATTTCAATTACATTACCCATACATATAATTTCCAAATATCATTTATCGTTTCCTAAAATATTTTCAGGTTCCCACATGAGTTCCTAATATTATAAATTTATCAATTTCTACATTGAGTACCTGCAAAGTATTTTTTTTGCAAAATTATTGAATTTTATACAACGATTCCTACATTCTTTGGATATTTCATTCGAATGTAGGAAAACGTTAAATAAAATAATAATAATAATAATAAATTAAAAAAAAAAAAAAAAATTTTTTTTTTTAAATATGAGGTATTTTTCTTTCTGTTTTTTTTTTTTTTAATGTGAAAGTGTCAAGTGTTTAATGTCTAAAGTATCACTAAATTAGTATTATATACTCTCTAAATTTGAATTAGTAAAAAAGTTTACTAATTTAAATTAGTGACTCAGTTTTTGCTTCTTAATTAGTAAAATGTTTACTAATTATTAGTAACTTTTACTAACATTTAGTAAAATTTTACTAATTATTAGTAACTTTTACTAACAATTATTAAATTCACTAATTATTAGTAACTTTTACTAAGAATTATTAAATTCACTAATTATTAGTAACGTTTACTAACAATTAGTAAAATTTTACTAATTATTAGTAACTTTTACTAACAATTAGTAGCTTTTACTAACAATTAATAAAATTTTACTAATTATTAGCAACTTTTACTAACAATTAGTAACTTTTACTAACAATTAATAAAATTTTACTAATTATTAGCAACTTTTACTAACAATTATTAAATTCACTAATTATTAGTAACGTTTACTAACAATTAGTAAAATTTTACTAATTATTAGTAACTTTTACTAACAATTAGTAACTTTTACTAACAATTAGTAACTTTTACTAACAATTAGTAACTTTTACTAACAATTAATAAAATTTTATTAATTATTAGCAACTTTTACTAACAATTAGTAACTTTTACTAACAATTAATAAAATTTTACTAATTATTAGCAACTTTTACTAACAATTAGTAACTTTTACTAACAATTAGTAAAATTTTACTAATTATTAGTAACTTTTACTAACAGTTAATAAAATTTTACTAACAATTAGTAACGTTTACCAACAATTAGTAAAATTTTACTAATTATTAGTAACTTTTACTAACAATTAATAAAATTTTACTAATTATTAGCAACTTTTACTAACAATTAGTAACTTTTACTAACAATTAATAAAATTTTACTAATTATTAGCAACTTTTACTAACAATTAGTAACTTTTACTAACAATTAGTAAAATTTTACTAATTATTAGTAACTTTTACTAACAGTTAATAAAATTTTACTAACAATTAGTAACGTTTACCAACAATTAGTAAAATTTTACTAATTATTAGTAACTTTTACTAACAATTAATAAAATTTTACTAATTATTAGCAACTTTTACTAACAATTAGTAACTTTTAATAACAATTAGTAAAATTTTACTAATTATTAGTAACTTTTACTAACAGTTAATAAAATTTTACTAATTATTAGCAACTTTTACTAACAATTAGTAACTTTTACTAACAATTAGTAAAATTTTACTAATTATTAGTAACTTTTACTAACACTTAATGAAATTTTACTAATTATTAACAACTTTTACTAACAATTAGTAACTTTTACTAACAATTAGTAAAATTTTACTAATTATTAGTAACTTTTACTAACAGTTAATAAAATTTTACTAATTACTAGCAACTTTTACTAACAATTAGTAAAATTTAACTAAATCTAAAGCAAAAAGTGAGTCACTAATTTAAATTAGTAAACATTTTTACTAATTCAGATTTAGAGAGTAGTAAAAAAAAATATAAAAAAAAAAGTTTTTTCTAAACAATCATTACTTATATATAAATAAATATATATATGTATTATATTAAAATACACTAAAAAGAAAATAGCAAATATAAATAATAATATTAATGTTCACCCAAAAAAAAAAACAAAAAAAAATAAAAGAAATATGACTAATGCCACTAAAAGACAAAGAAAAAAAAACTAATTTCTAAAGCATACCTGGTACAATAGCGACAGTCTTCAAGGCTCGGAGGACTCGAAATGTCCTGAGAGCAGCAAGGTTGCCTAGATCTATTCCCATCGTCACATAACTGCAATAACCCGAACATCACACACACATTACAGTGATAAAAGAAATTTAAAAAGAAACAAAAAAAAAAAAAAAACCACCGAAAAATAAAAATTAAAAAAAAAGATAAAAATTTAATAATGTTATTTGTAATAATAATAATAATAATAATCAATAAAACAAGAACAATAATAATAATTGTTACTCACTACTGCCTAAAATATAACCTACCCCCATTGTTAAAATCGATAAAAGGATTTCTGCACTAGTACTGCATGCAGAATCATAATAATAATAATAATGATAATAGAATAATAATAATAATAATTGTAATAAAATAATAATAAAAATAAAATAATAATAATAACAATAATAATAAGAACAATAATAATAACAATAATAATAACAATAATAATAATAATAAAAATAATTATAATAATAATAATAATAACAATAATCCATAAGGTCAATTAATAAAAAGGATCATTAATTTTAATCCATATTTTTGGCACTTCATCCTCTTTTTTTTACCCACTTGACACTCTTTATCAAAAAGGGTATTATTGTATTATAACCTGTTGCTCATGACATACAAAGGCAACCAATTATTTATTTTTTTTAATTTTTCATTAAATCAAATATTTTAATTTTCTATTTTCAAAAATTTTAATTATAATAAATAACAAATTTTTGACAATTTATTTGCAAATACAAAAAAAAGGATGAGTGTCAGATTGGATTTTTCAAAAAAAAAATAAAATAAATAAATAAATAAAGAAAGAAAGAAAGAAAGAAAAAGAAAAAAAAAGAAGAAATAATAATTATAAACAATCAATTAATAATAAAAAAAAATTTAAAAATAATAAATATAATTATGTGTAATGAATTATATTTATGTCTAGTTTCTCAAAAAAATTGTAATAATATAATTTTCTATCAACAATTATTTAATTATATATAAATTTTTTTACTCTAGTCTACAACAATATTAATATAATATTCAATTTTGTGTATGTATATATAAATATAATAATCAGTTAACTAGTCTAAGAGAAAAATGAGTGACAATCATTTATGATAATAATACGTTTCGTATCATTATAAAATAATAATATTTTTTAATGACGAAATATTATATTTCTGGGAATTGATACTTTAATTGTGTTTATATAATTTTATTATGCCTTTCCTATTTACGTAAAATACACAGATTTACGTGTATTTAAATATATATGCGTATAATTACGTATATTTACATATATTTGCATATACTTAAGTGTATTTACGTATAATTAACGTTTATTTGTGAATAATAACGTATTATTACGTAATTAAGAAGTTACGAAGTTATGTACTTAAGTATATTTACATATATTTGCGTAGAATTACGTATATTTACCTATAAACACATATATTTGTGTAATTACGTATATTTACGTAACTTTGCGTATAATTACGTAATTTACGAAACTTTGCGTACAATTACGTATATTTACGAAACTTTGCATGCAATTACGTATATTTACGTAACTTTGCATGTAATTACGTATATTTACGTAACTTTACGTATTATTGCTATATTCATCGTAAAATGCAGATTAAACATAATACATGGCTACGTACACATCATACAGTTACGCATATTTACGTAAACTGCATAGAGTTACATATATTTACGTTTTTCTTATAGTTACGTACTTACACATTGTTACGTATCCTTACAGAAAGTTACGTATATTAACGAACCCTCATAGAAAATTTCGTATATTTACACATTGTTACGTACATTTACGCATATTTACGTAAATTACTTATATTTAGAAAGTCATAAAAAATGTTTTAAAGTTTTATTCAATCCCATATATCAAAAGTGATTTATACTATACCTATAGAATATGTGGAAAAAAAATAATGAAATTATAAATAATCTATTTCTTTTTTGTTAAATTCTAAATCTCTAGGTCAATGATCGATGTATATATATATGTATATATATATAACAACAAAATGTGTAAGTCATGTCCTATATATTTATGTAATTTGTAATATTTTCAAGTACTTAACGCATCTATCGATGATTTTTCAATGAGATATATATAACCTGGAATCTAACTCTTGGCTAATTAGTACTTTGAAGTAAGGGATAAAGATAGAATGAGAGAGAAAGAGGGCTTATCTGTAAATGTGCCTGATGAAAAATGGAATAATAATAATAATAATAATTGACTCTACTTATAATATACTCGAAACGAAATATTGGTACTGTATGAATGTTTCTTGTATATATTTTATTTGGAAACAGAGAAAAATTATTATTACAGGGTGGGGAAGAATTATTATATAAAAAAAAATAATAATAAAGAAGGAATCTTTAAATGCCCATCGCAATAAAAAGAAAAAAATTAATTTTTGGAATGACAATTTAAAAAAAAAAATTTTAACTAATTAAATTTTACCATTACTTTTTTTATATATATTTTTTTTTTAACAAAAAAAACATGAATTATTAACTACTCACGCTAAAGCTATAACTACGAAGTCGAGCCAATTCCATGCATCTCTAAGATAGGTAAAAGGCTGCAGAATGAAACCCCTCGCCATCACCTTAACGGCGGACTCAAATGTGTAGATGCCCGTAAATATGACTCTAAAAAAAAAAAAAATGAGAAAATATTTTATTATTATTTATTTTGCTTTGAAAAAAAATAAAAAAAAAATTTTTTACATACGCAAGGTATTAAAAAACCCTTGTTTACTATTAACAAATCAGAAGCTCTGACCACTATAGACTACTACCTTAAAACCTTAAAAAAAAAAATTATAATAACTTACTCGGTGGATTCGATGGTGGGCGTTGTGGGCATGATCATGAGTATGCAGTTAACCAAAATTGTTGTAATGATGAATAGAGAGAAAAGTGGGTGGACCAATATGTAGATGGCCACCCGTCGTATTGGATTAAATGGATCGAGGATCCACATCGCATCGGTCGCGGAGAACCTGAATATGTCCTTTCCTTTACTGATAACCACGAACGACTGCATTAAAAAAAAGATACAATTTTTTTAGACCATTTCTAAAATTACGTACACTTACGTAAGTTACGCAACCTTACGTATATTTACGTAAGATACGTCACCTTACGTATATTTCCGCAACTTACGCTAATATATGTATTTACATAATTTACACTATCGCTTACGTTTATTTACATAAGTTACGCTAAATTACGTATATTAGCGTAAGTTTCACTACCTTACGTGTAGTTACGTAAGTTACCCTACCATACGTATATTTGCGTAATTCTGTCTACCTTTTGTGTAGTTACGTAAGTTACCCTACCCTACCTATATTTACGTAAGTTACCCTACCCTACGTATATTTACGTAAGTTACGCAACCTTGCGTATGTTTACGTAAGTTACACAACATTACGTATATGTACGTAAGTTACGCAACATTACGTATATGTACGTAAGTTACGCAACATTACGCATATTTACGTCAGTTACGCTAACTTACATGTAATAATTTTATTACGTATATTATTATCATTACCTTAATTTGTAAAATATTACGTATAGTTAGGTTACTTTACGCATAGTTACGTACAGTTACGCACTGTTAAACACATTTACGATGTTAGGTAGCCAGTTATTAGTTATGTATATTTGCGTACAGTTGCGTATTCTTACGTATATTTACAAACTCTTACATATCTTTAGGTACACTTACGTTTCATTACGTACATTTGGGTATCTTTACGTACACTTACGTATATTCAAAAATACCTACCTACGTGTATAGTTACGTATACTTAAGACACGTATAATTATGTATACTTACGGTAACTTACGCATACTTACGCGTAATTACGTATTGTTACGTATATTTACGTGTTCCTAGGAATTTTTTTTTTAATTTTAGTTATTGTGAATTTTTGTATTTACCCTTTGATTGAAGTAAAAACTATCAATATCTTCAAGAGGTGTGGAGGCCAGCTCGGGGGGAAATTCGTTGTGCAGTCGGACCGGAAGGGGCGCTCCTTGCTCAAACATAGGATCCGGTTGGGGACCCTCATCCTCGTCTTCGTCATCGTAACGTACCTGTGAATAAATTCTTATTTTGTAATCAGTGCAACCAAAAATTATATTTAATAACTTTTTTTTTTTTTTTTTTTAATTTTTTTAAATTAATTTTTTTTTTCTCAAAACTTGACACCAGATTAATCAGAGAAAAAAAAAAGAAAATACAATGATATTTAAAAAAAAATTTTTGTACTTTTAAAATTTCTTAAATAAAGAAATGATGGTCAATATTAATATATGTTTAAAAATTTTTTTTTTTTTAATTTTTCCAAAAAAATAAAATATTTTTTAAATTTAAACAAATATTATTAAATGCCAATTCTATTATTTTCGTATTAATATTAGTGATATTACTGTTAAAAATTTATTAATTTAAATTTATTATTAATTTAAATTTTGTTTAAATATTTTTAACAGTGTATATTGAGTGCTTTTCAAAAAAATTTGAAAGCAAACAAAAAAAATGGATAAAAAAAAACCTGATGCCACATTTTTTATTACTTATAATAAATTATTATTAATAATAATATTGATGATAATAATAATAATAATAATAATAATAATAATAATAATAATAATAATAATAATAATAATTGATGAAAACTATTTCTAATCCTAAAAAAAATTGTACACGATGCAGCTGCGTGGTCAGTGTTTTGGCTTCTTATGCGTGAGTGAAGTGTTTTTTTTTTTTTTTTTTTTTATTTTCTTGTCTGAGATCAAAATAAAAAAAAATTAATAATTAGGTAATAAAGTATTAATCTTATGAAAACAACAATATTATGTAATTTTTTTTTTAATACTAAAATTTTTCTACTCATTTATATAAAACAAAAAAAAAAATTGTTTTGGAAAAATTTTGGTTTTTTTATTTTTGCGAAAAAAATATTATTTGACAAGTGTCGCGACCTCCTTTTTTTAAAAATCTATTCTTAAAGTTCTTTCGTTAAAAAAAAAAAAAAAAAACTATAAGCAACACGAAGAAGATATTGACACTTATCGAGTGGTTACTGTATTTATAGACAGCTATATATTCTTATACAGTTTATATAGCTATATAAATTGTCTGTACTATATTATTATGAAACAAAGAAAATTATTTTCTTAACTAAAAAGAAAAAAAAAAAAATTAATATTTTCCTTTCATTTTAAATTGTCATTTCTTAATTTCTTATATTTTGTAAATTAGAAAAAAATTAATTAAATTTTTTTTTTAAATATCGAACTCAAAATTTCTATTTTTTAATAAAGAAAAATAACTAAATTAATTTTTAAATAATAATTAAAATAATTAAACAATTATGTGAAATAATATTTAATTTTTCAACTACTTTTCAATTATAAAATTCTTGTTTTCAATAGATTTTGTTGTGGATAATTAAAATAGATTTAAAAAAATATTGTCTAATCAAATAATGAAAAAAAAAAATATACTCTTCACAAGTTTTCAAAAATAAATTTTTTACTTACACATTTCTTGTCAATTGCACTTCAATTATTATTTGGCCTTAAACCTAATTTTTAATTATTTTTCCTTCTATTTTGTGCATTCTATTTTTTTTATATGTAATGATGGGATATCGATTTATTGTTTTTTTTTTCAAGGTAACGATATATCGATTATAAAAACATATCGATATATCGGTTATTGAGATATCGATCATAAAAACATCGATATATCGATTGTAAACTTAACCAGATATCGATTAAAAACATCGATATATCGACTGTAAAGCTGTCGAGATATCGATCATAAAAACATCAATATATCGATTGTGTACATATCGATATATCGATTGTAAACATATCGAGATATCAATTGAATACAACGATATATCGATTGTAAATATATCGATATTTCATTTTATATGTAAATTTAAAATTGTAACAATAATAAATAAAATAAATAAATGTGTTTAATAAAATTTGTAAAATAAAAATTATTGTTAGAAAAAAAAAAAATTTTCCATTATTTTTTATTCTTTTTTTTTTTTTTGTATAATATGTGTGTAACTAAACTAAACGTTCGTTCCAATCTAGTCTAGTTTTGTGTATTAAAGCCGGATTCCACGAAATTATCAACTTTTTTTTTCATTTCCTCATTTTAACTTCAAAATAATTGCAGCCAGAGCTATTGTAATAATGGAATATCGATGAAAAAAAAATATTTAGATTTTTAAATTTTAATTTAATTCTTTCTATTAATGTATAGATATATCGATTTTTATGCTATCGATACTGAAATTGTGGAAAAAAATAATTGATATTTCAATTATAAATTATGTATATCGATATCAACGATAATACAATATATTAATCGATAACATCACCATTCGATATTAATCGATATATTATAGAAATAAATCGAAAATATTCGATATATTTCCATAATATATCGATTAATATCGAATGATGGAGATATCGATTAATCTACATAATGTTTTCGATATATCTCGATATAATATCGAATTTTCTCGATATATCTCGATACTGTCTCGATGTATCTCGATACTGTCTCGATTATTATCGATATATTTCGATAATATATCGATACTATTTCGATTATTATCGATATATTTCGTTCATATATCGAATATTTTCGATATATCTCGATACTATTTCGATTATTATCGATATATTTCGATCATATATCGAATATTTTCGATATATCTCGATACTATTTCGATTATTATCGATATATTTCGATCATATATCGAATATTTTCGATATATTTCGATACTATCTCGATTATTATCGATATATTTCGATCAAATATCGAATATTTTCGATATATCTCGATACTATCTCGATTATTATCGATATATTTCGATCATATATCGAATATTCTCGATATATCGATTCTTAAGCATCGATACTTGGATATATGTGAAATAATCGATTATAAAATATCGATATTCCATTAATTGAGCTATTGTGCGTGCAGAACAAATATAATTTTTAATTGTAGGTAATTAATATATAAAGTGACGATGTTTATATATAAATATATAATATAGATATCGCATTGGTTTCATATATATATATATTGGTTACATTCTGTTTTTAAAGCGCATACTCGGCTATTCGTTAATTGGCTGATTAATCAATAATTTATTACTAGCTGCGCTTTAAGGCAAACGGCAAATGTCAGGCATTGCGAGTATAACATTCACTCTAGAAGCTTTTGTATTGTTTTCTTTTTTCTTTTCTTTAATTATTATTATTATTTTTTTTTTTTTTTACTATTTTTCTCTTCTCTCGATAAATGTGATATTTAAATATATATTTCTTTTTTAATTTAACGAAAATTGTCTTTTTATTTTTAAAAATATTTAAAAAAAAAATAATAATAATAATAAATAAAAAATGTTTGTCTTTAATTTTAAAAACATTAATTTAAAAAAAATCCTTTTTCCTCTGTCTGATATTTAAAAGACACAGTATCGAAAATTTTCAAACAATTTTTATTCTAAACAAAAGACACAGATATATCAAAAAAAATAATTTTTTTGTAAACTTTTTTTGTTTTTTTGTTTTTAATTTTTTTTTTAATTTTTCCAATTAGAATGTAAATAAAATTTGGGTTTTTTTTTTACAAAATTTTACGGTACATTTCTTTTTTGTAGAAAATCTTAATAGAATAAGAGAGAAAGAAAGGGAGGGAGAGAGAGATAGAGAAACACCGAAAGAGAGGAAAGAGAAAGAGAATAAGAGAGATAGGGAGAGAGAAGAAGAAGAAGAAACTATCAGAAAAGGCAAATATTTAGAGAAGAATATAAAGCCAGGTGCTAGTTTCTGTAACAGCAAGAGTTTAATTAAAATCTCTATAAATTACATTAATGCTCATTAAAAGTTTCAAAAGTTATTTCAATTTGAAAAATTAATTAATTTTTTTTTTGTAAAAATTTAATTTTTTCTTAAAAATTATAAATATTTAAAAAATTTTCTCTATTTATTTATAGCTTAATAATTTTCAAAAAATTAAAAAACAATAATTTTCAAAAAACAAAATTAAATATTAAAATAACTTTCAAAACTATTGCAATTATCGAGGAAAAAAAAGTGATTTCAAAAAAAATTTTTATCAAACCATAAACAATATTTTTTTTGACTATTTAAAATTAATATTAAAAAAATTATTTTCTGCCATGTGAATAAATATATAAAAAGAAAAAAAAATTTTTTTTGATGTTTTTTTCCTCGATATAGAACATTTTTAAAGAAAGCGAAAGAGTAAGCAAGCTTTAACAATGCAAAAAGCGCAATAATTTCTTTTTTTTTTTAAATATAAAGTGCATAAAAATGTATTAATAGAGAATTTTTTCTGAGAAATATATTTTTTTTCATTTATAAAAAAAATTGTAATTTAAAACTAGAATAGTAGGGTAATTGGTTCTAGTAATAATTAAATATTAACAATTGATAATGCAGATTCCTATCTGACCAACGGTGGGTAATACAGATTTCTATATCCTCAACAGTCGGTAAAGTAGATTTCTGACTTACCAACAGTCGGTAATATAGAATTCTACTCGACCAACAGTCGGTATTATAGAGTTCTATTTAGACTACAGTTTATAAAACAGATTTTTATCGCATCAACGTCCGGTAAAGTAGATTTCTGACTTACCAATAGTCGGTAATACAGAATCCTACTCGATCAACAGTCGGTATTGCAGAGTTCTGTTTAGACAACGGTAGGTAATACAGATTTCTATTTCATCAACGGTCGGTAAAGTAGATTTCTGACTTGCCAATAGTCGGTATTATAGAAAACTGTTTTACCGGCAAAGCTTACTTTATCGACTGTTGATATTTAGGTAGTTTTCTTTTTTTTTAGAATATTTGATCGCTCTATTAATACATTAGCAGTAATTGATAAAAGTAGTTTTTTTTCCTCTAAAAACTATTCAAACTGCTAGGAATTGAGAGAAAAAAATGTCAAGAGAGAAAGACGATTAAAAAAAAAAAATCATAATTGTAACTTTGTGAAAATCAAAAAGTGGAGGAAGTTAAAAACAAGAGTGTAGCGTTTTTTTTTTTACTTAGCATGATTCAAACTCTTACTTCTTTTTTCTTTTTCTTCCGTCCATATATACTTCCCTGCAAATTGGAGAAGTGAGAAAAAATACAATTACAAATAGAAATATTAAATAAATATATAGTTTTGAAGATGGTAATTTAAAAAGGAAAAAAAAAATTTCTAAAATTTCTTTCTACTTTTTTGTTTTATTGAAGAATTGTATGTGTGTTTTTTTTATCAATTTAAGCCTAACAGTAGAAAGGCGAGATATTTTAAAATAAGCAAAAAAAAAATTACAAATTTTTTTTTTTTAAGGAAAAAATATAAATTTTGCCCCAAAACAAAAATGAAAATTTAGCAAGAGAGATTTTATACAAAAAAAAAATTAATAATCACATACATACACACATACTTTTCACACAGAAAAAGGAAAATTTACAGGAAACAAAGAAGAGTCACTATATATAAATGTATTTATATATATATATGAGTCAAAAAGACTTTGTAAGTTAAGAAGACAATAAGCAACGTAGCTTAAAAAGTAAAATTTTTCAAAAAAAAGAAAATAAATACAGGGTAAAGTAGTTGATACTTTTTTACACTGTACGATATTCAAGCAAAAGATACAGCGGAAAGGTGAAATTTTTTTTTTGTAGTTAAAATTATTTTTTTTTATTTACTTATTTTGCCTGTTAACATTTAACAACAATTTGAAAAAATTTGAAAAAAAAATTTTTTTTCTAATTAGTTATTTCTAATAATAAATCACATTTCAGATCTTCTAGGGATAATTCAGGGTTGGGTCGCCGGGGTTATTGTCCAAAGATGTCACATTTCAGATCTTCTAGAGATAATACAGGGTTGGGTCGCTCGAGTTATTGTCCCCCAAAGTTTCATATTTCAAATCTTCTAGGGATATTGCAGAGTTGGATCGTCAGGGTTATTGTCCAAAGATATCACATTTCAGATCTTCTAGGGATATTTCAGGGTTGGGTCACTTGGATTCTAGTCCAAAAGTGTCGCATTTTGGAACGTTCTAGGAATATACCAGCGTTGGATCGCTCTGGATATTATTCAACAGTCAACATTCTAAATTGTATCAATTTTGACGTCTAAAATGTGACAATTGAATAATAACGGTAACTAGCCAAACCAACAATATCCCTAGAACGTTCATAGTGTGACACTTTTGAACCAGAACCCAAGCGACCCAAACCTGTAATATTCCGAGAAGATTTGAAATGTGACATCACTGGACAATAACCCTGGCGACTCAACCCTGCAATATCCCTAGAAGATCTGAAATGTGACACTTTGGGGGGGGGGGGAGCAATAACCCGAGTGGCCCAACCCTATATTATCTCTAGAAGATCTGAAATGTGACATCTTTGGGACAATAAATCCGGCGACCCAAACCTGAATTTTCCCTAGAACATCTGAAATGTGACACTTTTAGATTTCTTTAGTAAATCACTTTTGTTGTTGTTAAAAGTTAAACAAATTATGTTAAATTTAAAAAAAAAAATTTTTTTTATTTTGAATTCTAATGGAGGTGTTTTTTTTTTTAATTTGAAAAAAGGGGGAATAAACAGGCATATATAGCACGAATTACATCGCAAACATTCAGCACGCGACATATTTTGAACATCAGAAACACAGACAGGAAACAGGAACAGAATATGCTGGTGGCAGAATATGATTAGAGAAGTTCATCAACGCTACAATAGATATATATATATATATACATATATACACACATATATATATAATATATGTATATAGTATATATATATATTAAAATACGTATATATACATATACAGTATTAGTGTATAGAAATACGTAACATAGTTGAATATGAAGTTTGCTATATATTAATTAAGGAGACATATTAATATTTTTTTTTTAAAATAAATTTCTCTTTTATTATAATAATAATAATATAATAATAATAATAATAATAATAATAATAATAATAATAATAATAATTTTAAAAAAATATTCATATGTCTCGATATTTATTATCGTTTTTCAAAAAAAAATTATCATTTTCAAAAAAAGTATTATTTTTTTTACTATTTTATTCTTTTTGTTAATATTATTTATTGATTTTATTTTTTTAATTTTCATTTCTAATTTTAATTAAAAAACGATAATAAAAAAAATAATCTTATAAAAATATAATTTTTTTTTAAGCAAACACTCAACATAATTATTTTAAGAGTCAGCAACGCCTGTAACCTTTTTTTTCGACACTTTTTGCGCAATTCACCAATGCAATATTGTTCTCAAAAAAAAAAAAAAAAAAAAAAAAAATTTTCCCACTAACAAGATTAAATAAAAAAAAAAAAATATCAATTGAGCTTTTTGTTTTTCCAAACAAAAAATTTGTTTTCTTTCCACTCTCGTCGTTAAATATAATTCAATTACAAAAAAAAAGTTAAATTTTAATTAAAAATTTTCAGTAAAAATTTGGTATTTGTAAATTATTTACAAAGAAAAAGAATTTAAAACAATTTTTTATAAAAATTCTTTTTTAAATAAAAAGTTGTTTTTAAATAATTTTTTCTTATTCAAAAATTAAAAAAAAAAATTTTTAATAAAAGATTCTTTCTAAATTAAAAAATTTTTTTATTTTTTTTTTTTAAATTAAATTTCTAAATTAAAAAATTCTTTTTGTAAATTAAAAAAATATAATATTGTAACTCAAAAAAATGCTATTTAAAAAAAAAATCCATTTTTTTATAATTCTATTTAATGAAAAAAAAAATTATTTTCTTTTTGAACGTAATTTTGATGATGAAGTCACCTGTAAAGAAGAACGTGATGAATATGTACACACAGATATTATATTGATTGCGGATTTTTTTTTTTTTTAAACGTAAACAACAACAAAAAATGTATATTACACACAGAATATTTGTGTTTTGTGTGAAAAAGCGCATACAATTTTTTTTTTTTTTTTTGCTTTTTTTGTGCACACGTAACACAAACGCTGTCATTTTAACATTCAAACATATGTGAATTTATAAAATAAACATATATATATTATTTACACAACGTTAGAAAAAAATGTGTCCTGATAAAAAAAAATTTTTTTTTCAACTTTAGAAAAAAATTTCACATTTAAAAATAATTACATTTTAAGTTTCATTTTTTAAATTCTTTTACATTTTTTTACTTTTTAATTAATTAACTAATTTTTTTATTGATAATTAAAGAAAAATGTATTTTTTTTTATTTTATAAAAAATTTATTTTTAATTTCAATTTTACCAAAAAATTAAGAAAAAAATTTTTTAATTTATTTTTTTAAACAAAAAATGAAAAAAATTAAAAAAAACATTTTTAATTATTTTTTTGTACAAAAAAACTAAAAAAAAATTTTCAAAAATTATTTTCTCCAATTTCATTTTCTGAAATTACTTTTATTTACTTTTACTTCAAGTTTTTTTTAACAATTTATTTTTATTTTTCCAATTTATCAGATCGTTCTCGAGGGAAAAAAAGGAAATTAAAAACAAAAAACAAAAAAAAAAAAATGAAAAAAAAAAAACAAGAAAAGTTGGTCGCTTACCTCGCCTTCAGCTCTCTTTTTCTCAAGCTCCTTTTGTTTAGCTTGCTGCTCGGAAATACGTTGTTCTATTGCTGCTAAGGATTCCCGCGTGAACGGACGGAACAAACTTCGTTCTTCCTCTGATATAGAGCCAGAAACTTCGGACATTGTCTAGGCTGCACACAACTGAGCCACCTTCCTGAACAAGAAAAAAAAAATTTATTTTTGATTTGCTTCTAAAAACAAAAAAATTCATTAAAAATGAAAAAAATAATAACAAAAAATAAATTTAGTCTGTTTTTTAGAACAATTTTTCAATAATAATAATAATAATAATTTCAAAAAAATCGGCAAACTTAAAATTTGTGCATGAAGGTCAAAAATATTTTAGGTTATGTTTCAATAATTATAATAATAATTTGTAGAATAGTAATTATTGTTCCTTTTTTTTTGTTTCAGGTGCAAACGGAAGTGGAATCAAAAAAGTAACGGACGGTTACGAAAAAAAGGTTTGTTTTATATTAATGATGAATAATAAATATTAAAGAAAAACAAACCAATAATTATGGTGAAACAAAATAAAAAAACAATTAATGCATTATCTATATACATAGACAAATGTATAACATAACCTAAAATTTAATATTTTAAAAATAATAATAATTCTCATTCATAACCATTAAAATTAACTTAAAATTTGTATTTCCTTTTTAAACTATAAAATTTAAAAATAATATTCAGATAATTCTTGATTTTCTCTAATAATAATAATAATAATAATAATAATAATAACTAAAAATACAATCTAGAATAAATAAAATAAACCCATTACCTTGCTATTGGTGCTAACAATTTCTACAATGGCGGCTGTATTCGTATTGTGGGGAATAATTCAGCTGCTGTTGCCGATAGCGAAATTGAGAATGAGATCTAGAATTGCTTTTTGAAAGCTGCCTTGTCGATTTAAAATGTGTTGTGTTGATGATGATGATGATGACAGTTGAATGTAGAGTAGACGTTTTTAGTGGTCGGACGGATAAATGTGTTTCTCGCACCACGTTACTCCACGGTTTCCGCTTTTGGTTAATGTTGTTTATTCTCTCCTTCGAACTCCACTTTCGTTTTGTTGTTGTTGTTGTTATATTTTTATTTATATCTAAATAACAATCTTTATTCTTTGACAAAATGGCGGCGACCAATAACGAACGCTCTGCGGCAGTGCGTGGTACAGTGGGGCCCGTCCAACTCGAACCAAAATTTCTCATGTCCGATCTGAAATTATACAAAAAAAAAAAAAAGAGAGAGAGAATTAAAAAAAAACCCCGCCTACATTATTATTAAGCCCACCTTTTATTTGTAGCCCCGCCCACTTACTTTTCTACCAACGCCTCCTTTTCACTTGTAACTCCGCCTAGTTTTTTTTTACAAGCCCCGCCCACTTTGCTAATAACGCCTTTTTATACTTGTAACTCCACCTACTTTATCATAAGCCCCGCCTACTTTGCTACTAACGCCTTCTTCTTACTTGCAATCCTGCCTACTTTACCAATAGCCCCGCCTTGAACGAACATGGACCCGCCTACTTTGCTACTAACACCTTTTTTATACTTGTTGCTCCGCCCATTATAAACATAGACCCGACTACTTTGCAATTAACTCCGCTTACTTTGTTTATAGCCTCGCTTTTTACATAAATTCTACTTTGCTATTCACTCCTCCTTTTTTTTCTTTGTAGCTCCGCCTACTTTACCAACAGTCCCGCCTTTAATAAAGAACCCGCCTACTTTTATGACTGATTCCGCCTTTTTTTCTCAAAGCCACGCCTACTTCATGAATAGTCCCGCCTCTAATAAACATAGACCCGCCTACTTTATTGATAGCTCCGCCTTTAAAAAACATGGATCCGCCTACTATGTCAGTAACGCCTCTTTTATACTTGTAGCTCCGCCTACTTTATCATAAGCCCCGCCTCTAACAAACATAGACCCCGCCTACTTTATTGATAGCTCCGCCTTTAACAAACATGGATCCGCCTACTATGTCAGTAACGCTTCTTTTATACTTGTAGCTCCGCCTACTTTATCATAAGCCCCGCCTCTACCGAACATGGACCCGCCTACTTTGAGAATAATCTTGGTTTATCTTAAAACTTAACCTATCTAATAAACTTTAGTTTTTTTCATTTTTTTTTACAATTTAACCACAATTTTTCTAAAAATAAAAATTTAGTAAACTTTTTGCATTAATATTCTAATATTAACTTTTTGAGAATTTTTTCACACACACACACACACACACGTCAAATCAAAATTTCGCAAAACTTTTTGTGCAAAATCTTTCCGCTCTCTTGTTCAACTTAGGCAAAAGCAGGCAAAAGTTTTCGTAGTATGGTTATAAAGTTAGTTGAGAAAGTTTGATGAACTTACGTTTCGATTTACACTCGAATGTGTTTTATAAGCTTATGGCAACAATATATAAGGCAATGTTGCCGTTATGATAATGTATATAAGAAAGTTATTGCATCAAGTTTTAATAAATTCTTATGAGTACAATAAATTTTTTTTGGGGAATGTTTTGACGGAATTTTTTATTTTTCGAAAACAAATAAATATAATAAATTTTTTTTTTTTTTTACTTACGTATACATGAAGCGGCGTGTGTAATCAATTTGTTATCCGAATTATCATAGTCTGCTCCACGTTTCAGTCTGTATCTGCAAAAAAAAAAAAAAAAATTTTTTTTTTAGTAATTACAAAAATTTTTTAAAAAAGACAATTCACTTTTTAAAATAAATTAGGCTATGTATTTAAATTTCGCTCTATATTTGAGGAGAAAAAAAGTTAATTTTTGAATTATGATGGGAAATTAAAAAAAAAATAAATAAAAATTGCTTTTTACCAAACAGAAAAAAAGACTTTCATTATTTTATGTCAGTTTTTTGTGTGTTTGTGTGACATCATTGGATGAGATAACAAAGTGTTTAAACACGTGACTAGGCTTTAGTAGTAGATGCGGCAAAAGTTGAAAAAAAGAAGAAATACCCCCAGGGCAGATGGTGTGACTTCATTTATAAGTGTTAAACGAGCTAACACAATTTTTCAAGGGTTGCCAATTACATTAACTGAACAAAAAAAAAAAAGTTCTCACCACATACACCTGAATGAATTATAAAATAATTTAAAAAATTCCCTAAAAAAAAATTCCACAATTATCAAATACACTTTTATGGGAGTAGAATTTTTTTTTTATTTTAAATCACTTCGTAATTTTATTTCTTCTAATTAGAATATTTCATCTCGAAAATAACAAAACTCATTAATAAAGATTCAAAAAAAAAGTCACAGTAATTTGTTAAGTAATTTGAAAAAAAAAAATCTTGATAAAGCAATACCTCATATCAAACGAGGGGAATCACCTCAATCAGATTATCAATTAAAAATAAAAAAAAAAAAAAAAAAAAAACCTCTCTACTGTTATTGGCATCATTTATCACAATCGATCAATATACTTATAAATGAAAATAAAATTTACTTATTTATAAAAAAAGAAAATATTTTTCACTTCCTTGTTTCGTCCATTCATCGTCGGAGAAAATAACTTTTATAAATAAGGGAGGAAAAATCTTTATAAAAATTTAAATCACATAATCCAAAAAAAAATAATTTAAATGTAAAGAAGCTTGTCAAAAAAAAAAAAAAAAAAAATGAAATTTTAGCACAAAGGAAATTTCTCCGCTTCCACTATATACGTGATACAATATTCAATGGACTACTCACTGTCAAAGAATGACTTTTGTCCCTCTCCATAATATATATAATGCTCTCAAGTATAATAATGTAAAAAAAAATATGGACGAGGGGAAAAAAAACTTCGAAAAAGACAAAGTTTTCATATTACTCCAAAAAAAAAAACGTACTAAATAATTCCATGAAAGAAAACTTTTTACTTTTCTTAAAAGCAAAAAAAAAAGACTTTCCAAATTACACATCCCTTCCCTTTGCCCTCCCCGTGTTAGGAAAAAATTATTCTTCCCTTAAAGTAGATGTCCTATGCGAGAGGTTTAATGGATTTCAATTCAACCCGAAAGTCTCCTCATGCAACTGGGACATGAGACGACCCAGGACATCATTCACTACTTCACCCAATGTATTTTCAATCAATAAACGTGTACGACTGGCTAACCATTTGAATCGAACAAAAAAAAATTTAACGATAACTACTTACTTTTTAGATAAAAAAAAAAGAAAATTATAATTTAATACATTTTTTACAATATTTAAAAAAAAATTTTCCAAATTTAACATAGAATATTGGTTACAAAAAAAAATCCACCATTTTTTTTACTGTTAACAACACTGATTTTTAAAAATACCGCCTTTTTTCTAATAATTTCCGCCTATTTACATAAGACACAACAACCTATTTTTGTTACTGCCCACTTTTTAGTCCCGCCTACTTTTTTTTGTCTAGCCCCACCCATTTGACCTTTAGCTCCGCCTATTTGTTGTATGGTACCGCCCTTTTTCCCCAACATATCTCCGCCTACTTTGGGAATAACCCCACCCATTTGACTTTTAGCTCCGCCTACTTTATGAGTGGTTCCACCCTCTTTAATGTTAGCTCCGCCCATTTTTTTCTAATTACACCTCCCTTTGATGTAATAGTCCAGCTATTTTTAACCTAGCTCCGCCTATTTTACGAATTACTTCGTAGTTTTATATAACAGTTCCGCCTTTTTAAATATAACTCCTCCTACTTTATGAATGGTTCCACCCTCTTCACTTTTAGCTACGCCTACTTTAGACAATTGCTACACCTACTTATGTGTAGCACCACCCTCTTTTTTTTTAAATAATTGTTCTGCATTTTCCAACATAGCTTCGCCTACTTATTTGAAACTCCGCCTTCTTTTTGGTAATAGCTCTGCCTTTTTCAACGTAGCTCCGCCTACTTTATGAATGGCTTCACCCTTTTAAATTTTAGCTCCGCCCACTTTACAAAATAACTCCCCCTACTTATTTGTAGCTCCGCCTTCTTTTTTGGTAATAACTCTGCCTTTTTCAACGTAGCTCCGCCTACTTTATGAATGGCTCCACCCTTTTAAATTATAGCTCCGCCCACTTTACAAAATGACTCCATCTACTTATTTGTAGCTCCGCCTTCTTTTTTGGTAATAACTCTGCCTTTTTCAACGTAGCTCCGCCTACTTTATGAATGGCTCCACACTTTTAAATTTTAGCTCCGCCCACTTTACAAAATGACTCCACCTACTTATTTGTAGCTCCGCCTTCTTTTTGGTAATAGCTATGCCTTTTTCAACGTAGCTCCGCCTACTTTATGAATGGCTCCAACCTTTTAAATTTTAGCTCCGCCCACTTTACAAAATGACTCCACCTACTTATTTGTAGCTCCGCCTTCTTTTTGGTAATAACTCTGCCTTTTTCAACCTAGCTTCGCCTACTTTATGAATGGCTCCACATAAAATTCAGATCGTTGGAGAAAATATAAAAAAAAATTCGATGATATATTGCAAATATTTTCTTTACTTAATATCTGATTTTTGTGAATATCGTGTCACTTAAGTTTATGTATAGAGACAAGAAAGAGAGAAATTGAGTGTTTGACATCGATTACAAAAGGGGATAGGATAACAGAGAAATCTGCCAAAAGTGGAGAGAAGTGGGAAATTTTATTTATTTTTTTTTTTTTTTTATAGAAACAGAGACCTTGAATTTGTCAATATTCTTTTTTGGCGACTCACTGGCGGGATTTGAAATAGGAATAATTTTCTATGAGCTTTAATAATAAAAAAAATTAACTGTCAATGAAAAAAACAAAAAAAAAAAAAGATGAATCTATGTATAAAATATTTTTCCCTTATGAACCCAAAAAAGATTAAGCGATAATAACTTTTCTCTCTCTCTCTCTCTCTCTCTCGTTGTTATTTCTCAAGAAAATAAATCACAGTTCAATCGTGCAATTTTCTCTGCAAGTTTTTTCAATGGCGCTTTTGCTTTTCTCTCGAAATTTTCCCGGCGACAGAATATCAAATGAGGTGAATACCAAAAAACTTTCAAGAGAAAAATATTCACTTTTATTGATATTACATTATTGTGTTCAACTTTAAATCCACACTGATGCTTTAGTAGATAAAAAAAAAAAAAAAAAAAAAATTTCTTCCTTTAAAAAAGAAATAAATAATTCCATTTTTGTAAAAATTATTTTATTTAGAATTAAATAAATAATTAAATAATAATAATAAATTCTATTATTATTATTTTTGCTATTATTATTATTATTATTATTATTATTAGTAGTAGTATTATTAAAAAATAAAATCACTTTTAATTCACATTAAATCTCACAGTATAATTTAAAAAGTAACCTCATGACAAGAGCTTTTACTGTAATAATGGATATTGAAAAAAAAAATATATATATAGAGAGAGAAAGTTGTGAAGCTAGAAACAATCCGTTAATTAATAATCAATAATAACGTCAACGCAACGTAAAAATTATTATTTATTCATTCAAAAAAAAAAAAAAAAAATAGAATTTATTTTGAAAATTAATGGATATTTTGTCACGATAAAAACTTTTATTTTTATATGTCAAATAATTATATAATTATTTAATTAAATATTAATATATCAACTCACGAAATAAGTAAAAAGAAAAGAAAAAAAAATTTTTTTTATTGATTTTCGTCAGTAATTATTATTAAAATATTCATGGAGGGGAGGAGAGTTAATTTTTTTTCCTATTCAAAAATTTGAATTCTTATGTAATATTGTTGTAAGAAAGTGAAGGACAAAAAAAAATGTCTTAAAAATATTAGTAGCTCAATTTTTTTTTTTAAATCAACATAAAGGTAAACTGAATTTTCTCGCTTCAAGTATTAAGAAAATAGCATTTAAGTATTTCTGAATTTATAAAAGGCAAAAAAAAAAGCGAGTCAAGTGTGAGAGAGACGACAAAAAGTAAAAAGGACTTGTTTAATAATAATAATCAATAACAGGCGTCTGAAAAGTTGTTGAACATTAAAAGTAGGAAGTCTATATAATTTGTTTTTATTATTATTATTATTATTATTATTTCACTCTATTTCTTAAATTCTTTTTTTTTCTATTTTTATTACTATTAATTATTTTTTAATTTCCCCCTCCCCTTTTTTTTAAAAATTAATTTAGATAAATTTTTTATTTTTAATTTATATTATTATTTATTTTTTATATTTTTAAACAAATTTATTTATATTTACACTTTATTAAACATTTTTTATGGATAAATAAAAATGAAATTTTTTGATATAATTTTTTTTTTTTGTGGGGAAAATTTTATGACTAATATTTTTTTTTTTTTTTTATATTGCTATGATTCGTCATCTAAAAATCGTATCAAAATTCAAGGACATATTTACTATATGTGAGATCAATAGCAAATTTTTTTTTTTTTTTTTTGTGGTCATGTGGAAACTGAAAGAAAATTCTCTTTCAAATTACGTTAAATAAACATATCCCTCGGTCAATTTTCCCCCTTTCAACGAATATCGAATTTTATTTATAGCATGTCAGCATTTTTTTTTATCCCCTAATTTTTTTTTTGGGAAAAAAAAAATTGTTTCACGAATTTATATATATGCAGGTAATAATTCTCGTTATTAGTTTATGACGCTATTGACGAGAACCAATTAGAATATGGTCATAGACTAAA